ACAAGGGCATTTTCTTCAATTTAAGAAAACTTGAAGAGTCAAAGATTGAGGTTCATTCTTTCAGGCAATTTGAATTTTACTTATATTACCTTTCATGCAAGAATGGAGAAGATAGAGCAGCTGGAGAATGATCTTAACCTCAGTGAGAAGGTATAATTCTCACACGTTGTGCGTTCACTTTTTTCTTGCCATATCATATTTATTTCTTCTTCTTCTTCCTCCTCTTCTTCTTCATGTAGCAAGCTGATAAGTATCGTGAGCTGTATCTCACTGAGCAAGAGCAAAGGTTGGACTTAGAAAGTGACCTCAAGGATTGCAAGGTAAACATGGACTAGAAATATCCATATTTGCTCTCTCAATTCTGAACACTTCCCTGCTCACAAATTGATTTTTGTTCTCCAGATAAATCTTGAAAAGAATAGGAAAGAATTCCTTGATCTTCAAGAGAACCACACAGTAGCCATCTTGACACTGAAAGAAAAGGAATTCATCATCTCCAAACTGCTGTGCTCAGGTACCAGAGTCAATGCTGGAAATTTTCATTGTCTATCTTTTTGCTTATTAGTAACAATATTGTTTATGAACAGAAAATTCTTTGATCGAGAAGGCAAAGGAGTTAAGTACTGATTTGCAACATGCATCAGAGGACATAAATTCACTGTTTGCAAAACTAGGTAGAATACCTTATGTGCTCTTATTCTGTGTTTACACTAAGTTTATCTTAATGATTTGCATTGGAAACTATTTCATTTTTGAAGTTCAGTGGTGCTTGTTAAAAACAGTTGCCAACCACCTTGTAATAAAAAGGACCTTGTTGCTTCCAAACAAATATTATAAGGAGATGTGTTGCATTTGTCAGACACTAATGCACACTGTGTTTCATAGTTCACCTGTGCAGATGTCCCAATGGTGTGGGCGCTCCATGAGTGCTGCATAACGGAGTGAAATGCCCCTTTACATGAAAGGTTGTGATGGATCAAATTGTAGCAACTTGAGTAAAGATATCTCCCATGAAATGAGACCTGAAACAACAATAATTGCATATGAGTATTTAAGAATGCAAAACATATATATAAAAAAACTAAAGGAATGTTCATGTACCCATGTACCACCATTTCAGAGATCTTAAATATAAATATTTTATTCTGTACAGATGATAAGGACAAGATGGAAGCAGAAACTGAAGCATTGTTTTAATGTTTGGTTCTCAGCTTGATAAGCATCTAAAGGATTAGCACAAGACCATCCTGGGCTCCATTTCTCAACAGCATCAACAACTTAGATGCATGGAAGAGCATGCTCATTCATTTCTTGCCAGTAAATGCGATGTAAGAGTGGAAAAATGTTGCCTTCTTACTCTATGAATGTGGCTATTTTAATGCTGATTCATGATTATGCATTATTGGCAGGCAACCAAAGCTTTGGAATCTAGGATTAAGAATATGACAGAGATATATGCTTCAGGAATGGCAACAATGAAGGAACTTGCCAACACCATGCAAAGGAAAGCTTCCTCCGACCTGGAGCAAATGAATTCTTCATTTCATTTCAAACAGCAGCTATTGAGCAGGTATTCTATTCAAGGAAGATAATTACTTTTCTTCGAGTCCCTTATGAAAATGAAATTACTTCTAGTCCCTTATGAAAATGAAAGCATGTGACTTGGATTTGCTAAATGGTGTGTTAATTTTGTCTTTGTAGTTCCTTGTCACTGCAGTGCTTAAGGCCAATGAGGTTATGGAGGATCTCCAGAATTCTCTTAATGAACAAAAGGAACTATTGATTTTCTCTGCTCGACAACAAGAAGAGGTGGGTGTATTTTTGGTTTCCCTTTTATCCATACTATTCACTCTCTTGAGTAAGTATTTCTCATCTTTTGGATACTGTCAGGGATTATACCGCAACTTGATTTCAGCACAAAAATTATCCAAGGCAACAGTTGATTTTCTGACTGACATCAATAATCAAGCTTCCAAATTTATTGCAACCCTTGAAGAAACACAAAACGAGAAATCTCAGCAATTAACAAATTTTGAAGACAGATTTAAGGCAAGTTGATATTTTACATGGGTGATTTATATTGGGAAGAAATTAAGGCTAATAACGAACTTTAACTGCTGTGAAACAGGAAGAAGCCACTAGGGAGGAAAAGCAGGGCTATGGAAAAGATTGCATCAATATTAGCAACTTTGACATCTAATAAAAATGCTATGGTTGGTAATCTGCCAATTTCTTACCCTGCAAAGCTCAAATATATTTTAAGAATTTTATGCTTATAGAAATTATTTATTAGGTCTCAGAGGTATTGAGAAACATGAAGGACTCGGATCTTCAAGATAATAAGATATTGCAGCTGCAGATGTCCGTGCTGCGGCAGGTTTCAGCTGATGCTGGGAAGGAAATGTGCAAGTATATAGAAAAGATGGAAAGCCATTTCATGGAAGACACCTTCTCAATGGCTGAATCTAGGCGTATAATGGATGATGGCCTTCAAGAATGGTAAGCCTTCATTTGTTAAGAGATAATAAGTCATCCAATTTGGTAATTGAAACAAATTCCTGTTTCTGCAAATCAAGTGGCAAGGTGCAAGGAAGTAGCTCCCCCCTCCTCTCTATCCATTTTATTTGATTCCAAGCCTCTAGTAAACACCAAATCAATTTATAAACACACACTAATGGTGGTATTTAAATGATTTTATGATTTTAATCGTATCTTTTCATTTGATACAGCTCAAAAAGAGTGAATGATTCTAGGCAGCAGTCGGAAAATGCCAAGTCATACATAAATAACTTAATATAAGCAGTCTCGCAGATATCAAATCTACCGTTAAGTAGGTTTTTCTTGTTCCTGGGTTCTTAAAGTCCTTATTGTTTTGAACTTTAAAATGTTTATTCTGTGGTAAACCCTCTGCTTATTTCATTGACAGGGAAAATATCAAAAGAAATCACACGGTACATGAAGAATTTTTGCCCGCATTCTCCTCTATGGATGCAGAGTTTGGTGCTAGAACTGGAGCTATAATGGCAGCAATTAATGGAAATTAATTTGTGCAAGTTCTTCATTTTACAATTGCATATCTTTCTCATTCTAAGTGGGAAAATATTGCCCATTGGCAGATTCATTACTCGTGACCGTGAAAGTAAGAAGGAAATAGACTCCCTTACAAACTTGTGCTCAGACCAACTTAAAACAGTGCAAGAAAACCATGGTGACAGCATTTCAAATATCAGAAGAGAAGCTGAGAAACGCCTCATAAAAGACTACTTGGTAGGTTGGCTTGCTCAATTGTCCGTACAATAGTTCAGAGCATCAAGTTGACATTGTTATAGAATTTCTAAGTGTATAATTGGTGTTGCCTTGAACAGGTAGGTTGATACTGGTTCAGCACCAAAGAAGCGAGACATAGCTGTGCCTAGCTTAGCATCAATTGAAGAGATGAGGACATCGTCCTCCTTTGAAGATGTAAAGGAAGACGAAAATAACTCAGAAAACAGATCAAAATGGGGCAAGGATGAAAGCAAAATCCAGCAACAGATTGCATGTGTGGCATTCTCACCGAATAGAACTCCTTTCGCAGATGTCAATTGATTATGATTAGGATAATACGAATGTAGTAGCAATGCTTATCAGCTGATGAGTACAAAACCCTTGTTCTCAACCTATTATGGTTAGCAATTTTAGGACTGAATATGAAATATAGCATTAGGCTACGTCTTGATTTACTAGGTCTCGCTAGGGGTCGGTTTGATTTTTTTAATAATATATAATATAATAATTTTTTAAATTCGATCTAAATCTAAATCAAATTATATCGAATTTTATTTATGTTGTTCAATTCATCAATTTTTAAATTTTTTTTATTTCTTTTAATAGAATTTTTAAGTGATTTGATTTGATTTTTTATATTTTAATTTAAATTTTGATTCGAATTTATATATTTAATATTTAAATTTAATTTAAATCAAATAAAATAAAATTGATTTGAATTAAATTAAATATTATAATTTTGAATTAATTTTTTATTTTTTCATTTTTTTATTTATAATTAACGTCATGCCATAGGCCTGTTAGCATCATTTGTTCTTTAAATGTTGATGCTATGTTTTCATCATAGATGGTATAGAAATATAAACTTTTATGCTATTTGACTAAGCCATCATGGCATCATCAAATTATTTCTTACATCATCTCTTACGCCATTTGTTTCCCCTTCATCAGTTACAACACTCTTGTCCGTGGGAACTTCCATCCTTATCATCAGAATTAGCTGGTTTTAGTCAGATGATAAAATCCAAGATATGGAACTAAGGAAAAGTGGGAATTTGATAACTTCTGTAGCCATTTCAAAGTTTTAGAGCATAGTTGAATGAAAGATTAGCCAAGTCAAATCTGTTTTAGAGTATGTCCCTTACCTGCCTCAACTAATTAAAAAAAAAAAGCAAATTTGACTTGTTTTAACACCCTGTAAAATAAGAACTGGCTATGGAAAATTGTCCATTCACACTGCACTGACTGAAGAATAATTACTCATTTTCGCCTACGCTTCATTAGAAAGTACCCAATTTAGTTCACCAGAAAACGGCATGTGCAAGCAAGAAGGTTGAAACTTGGAAAAGTTGACAGTTCCATTCGGCCTGTACAAGTAGTTTATCTACTACTAATCAACGACGTTGAAAATTTCAAGCAATGGGAAAACATTTTAGGTTTTGACTAAGCAGCTTTCAAGCCCTTAACTTTTTTGACATTAGCAGTTGGGGCTGGTGTTTCAGCCTTCTACGTTACATCAACAATATCCACACTGATCTCTATTCCCTACCTACCTTAATATATATCTCTATTTCTCAGCGCGTGTTGCATTAGATATTCCAGAACAAAAGGTACCCGAAGCTTCAGGGAGAGTCACTGTTATAGCCATTAGCTCGCCAGTCGCCATACGTGACGTTGTCTCTAAAAAGACCAACGTGGGGAAGGAGACTGCCTTCTCCCAACAAAACATCCCTACTATACATTTCCTTATGTTTGACCAAATTGAGGGTATTTTTAATTATTACATTTCCTTATGTTTGACCAAATGGGTACTTCTGTCAATTAGAATAGTCAAATTAGCGGTCAAACTTCACGGCTTTGGAGTTGAGTTTCCTTCCTTACTTAAAGCTGAAGCAATAACCCATAGAAAAACAAGTATTGATATTCAGATTTGTAAGTTTTTCTTAGCTGTAATGAAGAGAGAAAGAGAAAATGGAGAGATTCAGGGTTTTGACATTGCCAAATGTCTAATGCTGCTATCTCAAGGCGTGGAAACCAAGCCAAAAGACCATTCAGTGAGCGAGGTTTTCGAGTGCAAAACTTGTCACCGTCGCTTCTCATCATTCCAAGCATTGGGAGGGCACCGAGCAAGCCATAAGAGACCCAGGTTGATGGGGGAGAAAGCAAATGAACACACACAATTCCTTAGTTTATCAACCAAGTCTAAGACCCATGAGTGCTCCATTTGCGGCCAAGAGTTTTCCATGGGTCAAGCTTTGGGTGGGCATATGAGGAGGCATAGAGCTGCCATGAACGAAGGCTTCTCGCCATTTCCGGTTGTTTCAACGGTGCCGCTGTTGAAGATATCAGATAGCAGTCGGATGGTTGTGTGCTTGGACTTGAATTTGACTCCATTGGAGAATGATTTGCAAGTTTTATTCGGGACCAAGGCTCCCAAGATTGATCTCTGCATTTGATATAGTGACCCTTGTAATTTCCATTTCATTAACATCATTTTTTCATTTGTTTTATGTATACAACATTTGAAATATTCATTCTTTTTTCTTATTATTTTTCTCTTCTCTTTATTGATTTGTACACTTGAATTTGGATTCATTAGGGGTTAATTTGTTGTAAAATAGAAATTTGTAATAATATTACATTCATTTTCTTTTTCATGATTGTAAATTCCATCATCTCTAAAGTGTATTAAATGTTTTGGTCCAAAATTTTTGTTTATGTTCTTATAAATTTTTTTTTAAAATTACGTGTTAAAAACTTCTTTTGCCTATATTATTAGAGGTATTTTTTTCCCTTAGCCATGAGAAATGGTAAAATATAGTATAGTTGTTTGCATGATTAATCTTGGGAAAAAAAAAAAGAATTGAATTCTAAAAAGAAATTAACCATTACTATAATCTATTCTGTCAAAAATTATAAGTCACAATTATATATACTAGATATTCTATCCCTAAAAAAAAAGTCATGTTTATTTTCTTGATTTTTACATAATTTATAGCTTAACACTTGAATTTTAATGTCTTTTTTAATGCATTTCTCCCAAAAAAAGAATTTTGTTTTCAAATAATCATTAAAGATAAAATACATCATTAACCCAAAATCGAATGTTTTGAGTTTAACATGAAAATTAAAAAAAAATGATGAGACGAAGATTTTTCATTTTTTTATTGGAAAAATATGAACTTGAATTTGATTAATTTTTTTTGAAAAAAATAATGAAGATTTTGCTTTACATACATACAATAATAAGAGAGTTTTGGTCTCAATATTTAATATGCCACAAATTCTTTAATTAGTTATTTAAATTATGAGCATGATGTACAAAATAATACATATAAGAATTAAATTCATTGTCTTCTAAAAAAAAAAAAAAGAATTAAATTCATCGTTACATTAAAGTGGCTTCATCTTTGCTCTATAATTATCTATATTATATCTATTCAAAATTGGCTGATGTACTGATGAAGTAAGGAAATAGGTCACATAAGCCCGAAAAAACATACTAAAATCTGAAACTTCCCACCAGCCTGACCGTGGAGCTTTCTTCAAGCATTTCCTCATTGATTGCTGTAACAATTTTTGGGGTCCATAGATTCTGTCGGATACTCAAAGCCTGTCTTTTCATATAAAACAAAGGTTTATAAAATGTGAAGCAGACAAACGTGACAATTTTATATTATAAGAAATTAAATAAAAAAATAACTAACGTATGAATTAAGAAAGTTCGAATCCAACCAATTACGATTCCAGCTGCTTTGTTTAAATGCCCTTTTGGGGTCCATAGATTTTCTCTCACACAAATTAAATCATATACACGAAGTTTCAGTGATGGTTCACAGCGCCACTTGTGACGTTGTTCTTTGCTTGGTGCTTACGTCCGTTTCCGTCTGCTAAAGAGCATTTAATTTTCATCTAATCTAGTCAAATAACCAGTCAAAGTTCATTGATGGAAGATCCTAGGTACAAAGTATAAATACAAGCACCAAGGTTTCTCAGTTACCAATCCAAAACATTCTTGATCATCTAGCTTTGGGTTTAGAAACCCACAAAAATCTTCTTTCGTAGATATGAAGAGAGGGAGAGAAAATGAAGAGAGAGTGAGTTTTGAATCCATTGACATGACAAAATGTCTAATGTTGCTGTCCCAAGTCCTGGAAACCAAGCCAAAGTTAGAGCATCTGGTGGATGATGTTTTCGAGTGTAAAACTTGTCATCGCCGGTTTTCATCATTCCAAGCACTAGGAGGGCACAGGGCGAGCCATAAGAAACCCAGATTGATGGGGGATCAGAAATTAGGAAACGATTCCAAATTTCTAAGTTTAGCAACTCAGCCTAAGGTGCATGAGTGCGCTATATGTGGTAAAGAGTTTGCCGTGGGGCAAGCTTTGGGAGGTCATATGAGGAAGCATAGAGCTTTAATCAATGAAAAATTCTCTCCTTTTCCTGTTGTTTCAAAGGTGCCAGTGTTAAGCAGATCGAATAGTAAAAGAATTTTGAACTCGGACTTGGACTTGAATTTGACTCCTTTGGAGAATGATTTGCAAGCATTGCTTGGGAAAATGGCTCCCAAAGTTGATCTCCGCTTTTGAAGATCCTTAAATTTGTTTTTCCCCCTTAACGAAATACTTTTTCGTTTATTTCATGCAAATGTAAATTACGATTGATCATTTATTTTCTGTAGTAATGATTCAAACTCTTAATAATATTAGATTGATTTTTCCCCCGTGATTCTACATTCAGTTAGACGAACTGATGTCAGGAATTTGATGATATGTTGGCGGCCATATTGTGCAGCTTCCTGTAAAGTATATGGAGGTTTCTGACTTTCTTCAAAGGATAACAAAAAAAATTATCAGAAGCTTCAGCAATGGTGTCACTGCATATATAGCCATCGGGCCATCGCTCACTACCTGCGTGGAGAGCCATCCGGTAATTATGTACTCAATGTTACATCATGAGTCCTGGCCCATTGTCTGCTAAGCTTCAAAGGAAGAAACTAATTTACAAGAGAGACCCTCTCACACCTTAAATATAAAATTTGAGAATTACAGGGTATTTTGATCATTGTAACAAGCCAAAGCAAACTACATTTCCAATTTTTCTAATGCCAGAAAAAACCAATTAGAACGTCCTTTATATATAATAAGCTCGTACGTCTTCCCATTACCCACCAAAAATTTAGATCAAATATCTTTGGTTGCTATGAAAAAGCTAGAGAAAGTGGAGAGAATCTAAAGCTGCTGAACCACATCTGATCTGATTGGGGATGATTTTGAGTGCAAAACTTGGGTCAGATTGAGAAAGTAAATGGGCCTTGGTTCCTGCTTCCCAGTAGTGAAGTGGGCTTTCAATAATGGATACGTTCTATTGTAACATATAGCATCTCAGTAAACTAAAAAAGATAGAAAAATAAAAATAAACCATAGACTTTGTTTTGGTCCATGAAATCAACCATTAGTCCTCAAGCTTTCATGCATTTTGTGAACACAACTTTTAGACAGAACTCTTGGTGCTTTTTGGCATGTATCTTTCGAATGGAAATGTATCATAGCAATCATTTTAGCCAGTAAACCAGTGTTTGGTTCGGATTTACTTTCAATTAGGCATGATATTTTAATTCAGGTCTTCTTGAATAATCAAGTAATAGATTATGACATTCAACCATAAAATCATAAATTGTTTGGCTTTTATATTGTTAGTGATATTAATTCTTTCTTTAATTGTTCAACCAATGGCCTATTATCATTTATAATAACTTAGCTTTGATTGATTTCAAACATATATCATGATCTTCCCTTCTTAAATCATTCATAAAGACTTTTGTGTCATCATGTCATATAAAATATTGTATTTATATCGTGTTTTATACGAAAATCACGTGTCGTAATTCATGTCAACATAAAAACATAAAATATATATTTTTTATTTTATTAAATCTATTTATGATTTTTTAAAAGTTTTAAGTTGTGTTATTTTCATATTTTTATTCACATCGTTTGATCATATCGTATTTAAAATTGTCTGATTTTCATTCAAAAGCTTAAGAAAATAAATTAAATAAATAGAGAAAAAAAATAAAGTTAAGCTATAAATATCACTGTTCTTGTCAAAAACCTCTGTCAATGAAAACGACTGAGCTTCCATGCACTGTTTTTAAATCTCCATTAAAACTATAATCTTGCGTAATTGCTATATTAGGTAAATTGAACTATGCCTTTCTAATCTATGTCGTCAGTGATATTACTTTCGAAGAAACCTACTACTCCGATGCTTAGGGTATTTTCAAGCTGAAACGAAATTAATGAATGAAAAATGAAGTCAGGAATTATGTCATTAAAGCCTGGAGATATAATTTTATTGTCTGAAGAGCTTAAACATGCATCGATCCCACCAGTGCTTCCTGGAGGGGTATCTGACATCCAAAGGAGTAACACCATTTTTATATTAATTTGGATCGTTGGAATTGATAATATATGAAGAAGCATTGATTAATTTTGTGGAAGAATCTTGAGGGATCCATCGTGGGATGATCAGCTGCCAAGCTGTAATGAAAGGAAATTATAATGACTTGTATGACCAGTTCGCTTTCGAGGGTCTAATGCCGGTCCAATTATATTGCTTAAAATCTTCACTTCATAGACGTTTTCAGGTTTCTTTGTCTTGTACATGTAAATGGGAAGCAGCATGACTGTGACACTTCAACGATAATAGTCCATTGGGATTGAATAATCAGTCCAAAAGGATCTTACTAATGACACGGATCTCATATTTTCACAAAATATATCCAATAAATAATTATAAAATTATAAAAAAAAAGAATAAAATGAAAAAGTAAAAAAGAAAAAAAAATTCAAAATAAAAAATAAAAAAGAGGTCATAATAAAGGATGTCACATGAATATTTTTATTGAGTTTGAACTATTAATTTATTAAATTAAAGTATCAAATAATAATTTTATGAATATAATATATATAAATATAAAATTAAAATAATTATAAAATATATATTTGTATATATATCCAAACAACATTAGCAAAAAAAAAAAAAGGGTTGAGTAGCCACATGATAGTAGAATGATGAGATTTTATTAAGAAATTTATATCATTGATTTAAAAAAAATAAAAAAAAGGAAAATGAAATAAAATGAAATCCATATGTGACATCAACACTACTACTAATATTTGTTCAAAAAAAATTATTAAATATTAAAAAATAATGGAAAATACAAATTTTTAATAATAATACCAAATGAATATGATATTTAAAAATTTTAAAAATATTTAAAAACACTTGTTAAATATAAAATATAAATAGAAAAATAACAAAAATGAAAAAAGAATCAAATGACTTAATATATGAGATAATCTTGATATCAAATAAGAATTACAAAAAATAAAAATAAAAAATTTATTTAATGAATATATAAAAAACGAAAAAAAAAAAAACAACATATCTTTGGTATCAAGCAATTCTCGCACAAAAATTTAAAATAAAAAATATATTTATTAAATATTTAAAAAAACTAAAAGAAGGGAAAATATTTTTTATATAAGTGAATCTAACAAAAAAATAAAATCTTTAAAAAATATTTATTTTATATTTTAAAAAAATTAATTAAATATAAATAATAAATAAATAAATGGAAGATGAGAGTGTGACACATGGCACATCCTAGAGAAAGTCAACGTTTAGTCAAACTGACCAAAATTTAATTAACAGATGAGAATTTAGACTTGTCTTAATAATGCAATGTGTATTTTATAAATATCATTCAGTTTCAGCTACTAAATCTGAGTCATCTCCAACTCCAGCTTCAAGTTTTTTCTGACTTTGACTTTCAACAATCATGTCGTTTGGCTTGAATAGTTAATGGTTGTGAAATCAAGAAATGGTATCTCTAGGAAGAGCTAGCCTTGCTTTTTGAGTCAATCTCGATTTCGTTCATGTGAGGACATATAATTGCAATCCATATAATTCTTCCCATAATAGGTATATGGTTCCGTTTTTGCCTAAATATATTCCCATTTTAAGGTTGTTGCAATGGCATTTGTGATAACCAGGAAAAACATTGATCAATTGCTTTTGCTGCAGACAAAACAAGAAAAATCCTCCATCAATTCTCACCAATGTCTTTGCCAAACGCATTAGCCATATGTGATTTCTTCTTCTCTCAGTTTGAGGACAAAATCGTTCCTTGAGACAGCCATGCCTTCTGCCATTATAGGATCCATGCCCTTGTACTTGACTTTAATTTCATGGCCACGTGTTTGCCTACCTCTGCTAAAATCTATCACCAGAAAAACACGCAGTTGTTCATTGCCAGGCAACAGAAGCATATAGCTTAAGATCATAACGCAGGAAAAAGTGGTTCTGACTGTACAGAACAGGTTGTAATGGAGCCACGTGAATCATAACTCAGCTTGGTTCTAGGTAACTGTCTTAGTCTCAATTAGTTCTTCATAAAAATCCAAATAGCCCTTCAGAATCAGAAGTTGTGTTCGAACATTTGAGGGTTCCTACCACCTTAACTAACTGGCTTTGATATCAAAAAAAGTTTATACGGTCTTGAGAGTTGATTAACAAATCATTTGCATAATTTTAAACAGCAACTTGTTTTTGAAGTCAACTAATGGTGGGAGCTCATTTTTGGAGCACAATCTCACAAAAAGTTGTTTTCATAATCATCATAAATTTAATAAGATTGAAGCAAAAGCCTGATCACGTTTTCCCATGGAATGAAGCAGACAAAGTGAAGTTAAACGTCATTGCTTAGCCGATTCATATAAAAATGTTGGCAGTACCCAATATAAGCATCAGATAATTACCAAATGCAGATGAGCCTGAATCATGTTTTCCCATGGAATGGAAGCAGACAAAGTGAAGTTAAATGTCATTGCTTAGCCTTATATAAAAATTGTTGGCAATTGTTAAGCATCAAATAACCTACCAAATGCAGGGGATTTCAGAAAAATAAAGAAATCAAAGGATTGGACCCCAAAGGCCATGAATCCCACTTTGAAATCTTCAGAGCGTATCAAAAAGTTTGCTAAGGGAAAACCGTTTAGTAACCTAGCAAATCATGCGGGTTGAGGTACTAAAATATGCTTGGAAACTAACAGTTCTTTGGCAGACATGTCATCGCAAATAAAATATTGTTAACAATTATGCTTTCATGAGAGCTTCACGTTTGTTCATAGAGTAGTTTAATTGCAAACTTCAATAGTGGCAATGATTGTATTAAATTAATCATAAAAAATGTACTTTGAAACCAGGTCTTTTTGTGCCTTTTTAGCGCATGAAGATGAATGATGATCAAGCTCTGAAGAGGGAAATAAAAAATACTCCTATATATTAAAGGTCTAAATGAACATAAATTTTAAAAAAAATTTCGTGAATATGTTTGATTTCTATTCGTTAATTTAATAAATAATTTTAAATATTATTTGTATGTTCGTTTATTAAATGAACAAATACAAACAGTTGTTTATTTGTTTATTTATGTTCACGAATAAATTTATTTACGATTCGTTTAAAAATTATTTATTTATTGTTTGTATGTTATTCATTTATAATAATACTAATAAAATTATATTTTTATCTTTTATCTTAATTTTATTTTAGGATTCGTTTATATTTGTTTAGGTTTGTTTATATTTATTTAATGTTTGTTTAAATTTATTTGATTATAGTTCGTTTATTATTCATGAATGTGTTCATATATATATATATATATATTCGTGAATATGTTTGTAAACATATTCATTTAATATTAATGAATGAACTCATTTAATTTAATTAAACGAATATAAACTGAACACGAACAATTTATTATTTAAACGAACAAATATGAATAAATATAATAATTTTTTAACGAACATAAACGTATTTAAAAATAAATAAATAAATAAAAATATGTATTAATTTATTTATGTTTGATTCGTTTACAGCCCTTGTACAAATTAAGCATTCCGCAAACGAAAAGGACAGAGCAAGAAGAAGAGTGGAATCGAGGACAGTCATGTGCATGGCACTGAGTTCTCAATGGTGGCCCATGCATGACAATTAAGCTTCAATTCATGGAAGCTCAAAATCATATATACCTGTAATTATATGGAATGAAGAGCCCACATAAATGATCTTATGGAGTTCATGATTAGCTGTAATTATTTCAGTCTAAACCTAATAATTAGGTGCTAGCTTTGCTTGAAATTGCAATTCTATTTTGTTCATCAACTAATCCATCTTTCATTGTTGATAAACATATATACCTTCTCCTAAATTAACCTGGCTTAAAGGTAGGTTTCGGATGCGAGTAATTTAATCACTATCTCAGGCGACTACGCTAGTTATTTAAAAGGATATGTAAGTATGGAATCCAGATTACGAAGCTGACATTCCAAAGGCATTTTCTTGTTCTCCAGATAGATTAGTTTGTTATCACTGATAATAGGATATATATATATATATATATATATATATAGGAACATGCTTTTCAGCTCCAAACCAACCTCGTGGGACAGTATCATCCTCCCAATTTCTTCTCCTTTTGTTTTATTTATTTATTTATTTATTTTGTTGTTGTTTTTATGGTTTCAAAATAAAGAAGTAGAGATGAATGCTAGTAAATTGAAGACCAAGAGCTCATCAGTTCATCTCCCTCATCAAACTCAGCACTATCCTCCATTTCACGTTCTAAAAATAATCCCATAATGACTAAGAACTAGAGCAATTTAATTAATCAATCATCTCATTTTATTTGATCACGCAATGTTTTAATATATTAATTTACATGATAATTATCATTTAATTAATAGTTTTAACACCAATCTCATTTTGCCTTTATATGCAAATTCTGGACATTTGTACTTGTGAAAACAAAATAATTAAGCTCCCATTTGGTTTTTAGACTGCTAAGAACTCTCCAAGTAGTTTCTCCTAAGGTCATATCATTCCGTACTCGCCTCTAACACTAAAACCATAATATGTGGCAATAATTTCAACTTAAAATGCTTCAAAAACTGTTTTTCATGATTCATGTTTTGTTCCGAAGCAACAAGACAAATTCATAATTTCACTTGTGGTATCTCATGATTCACGACCATGGCCTATAACTATATGCACCCAATTTGTTGGGGGGTTTCTTTCCATTTCTCTGATCAAATAAAAAAATATATATGTTATTGAAGACAATCCCACGATATATTGCAGGAGCATTAAAACAATTGTATAGTTAACAAACCCTTAAAATAAAAAAATAAAGTGTATGGAAGTTTCCAGGGGAGAAGATGGTTGAGCCAGATGGTAGCCTGCCTAGTATGAAGATCAACCATTTACACCTTGGTGCGCTTGTCAAAAGGGGTTTTTTAATAAGGAAACTCGGCTTTGACCAGAGCATATTTCATAGTTTGATTTGGTTACATGCGAAAAAAAAAATACTAACCTAACTAATCTTTAATGGTTACATGATAAGTTCAAATTAATGGAATAAAACTAACAAAAAATTAAAAAAAGGTGGAATAATCAAAATGTATCTTAGTGAAAAAGAAATGCAAAAGATGTATCTTTTTGTTTGTACTGGAAAATCTACGGTCGTGACGCAACCTTATGCCTCTCCTCCGTGTCTTTCAATCTGGGTAAGGTTTATTTTATAATAAAAATTTAACTGGTTACGCACATTGGGGGGGTTAGGTTTGCAGGCATGTTCTGGGCAATCGCGATGTGCCACGAGCTTGGCTGAATCATTGTTTATCTCGTGGGGAACAGGAACAGAGCACTTCACCTTTATCCAACCAATATAAAAGGCAAACTGTAGGTGTCATTGGATTGCCTAAAGATTATTACTATATATTTTTAGTAAAATGTCACCTTTTTCTCTAGCTTCAATCTTTGACCCACGGTAAGGCTGGAGAATTTGGGCACGTGTAAAACGATTAGGTTAATGGTTTTAAAGGTTAAATTAAGTTAATCAGAAACATATGTGGGAGTGGGAAATGGGGATCGGTTCAAAAGATGCGAAACGCTAGTACACTTTTGGAGGTACTATTATTAATTTCTGCCAAGAAATGCACTTTCCGTCGTGATTTGACTGTTGGAAATCGGAAGCTTGGAGATCTAAAAGACCAAGTTCTAGTACTCCACGTGGCGGCCACAAACCTGGCTAACGCAAGCATGAGGCTAAGTCAGGGCTGCTTTATCCAAGCTATTATCATGAGGATTTGGCAATTAATTTATGTTGAGAAGGTTGGCGGTTGAATCATTTATACCTTATTTGTGCAATCTACAATATGTTACTACGCTAGTTGGGGGAAATATGGTTAAAAAGCTGGTGCACCCATCATCTTGAACTGGTTCAGACTTGAAATCAGATCTTCCTTAAATTATTTTTGTGTCAAATCAGCTGGTACTATGCCGTACTAGACTACCAGAAGGATAAAGTTCTAATAGTACTATTCAATCGAAAATGTCAGGGAACTTCCATGCATGGTTGGTCATTTGAAGAATGAGGCTATTTCCATACAAAGATTTAGAATTCAAGCCTGGGTTTTAACACTCTTTCGCTTTAATTAATAGCGGCTCTGACAGACATTTGAATTCACCAATACAAACATTCAAATCAAATGGCAAATCCGTGGCAGCTGACGCAGATTCTTGTCAATATGATTAGCGTCAAAAAGGATGCCTGAGGCTGTACTGCTATTAACTAAATCAAATCACACCAACCTTATAAATACAAAAGAAATTTTGCATTTGCGACGATAACCGAACCAAACCAAATCGCCTACAACTACAAAAGGAAATTTGCGTTTGCGGTAATCGTTTCATCCGGTGATAGCGCTACTTAGGGAGGGATTTATCAATTAAATTTAAATTTTAATTTTAATGATATTATTTAATATAAATTTTTTATTATTTTTTAAATTATAATTATAATAATTTTTTAATCATAATTATAATAATAAATATAATTTTTTTAAATTAAATTAATTTTATCGTTCATTGAATTAAATTTTAAAAGATATGTGACATCTTAAATGTCACCCATTGGATTATATAATATAATATTTTGTTTTTGTTCTGAATCTTGACCAATTATAATATACGGAAATTTCAGTTAAATTCTGGAATTAAAAAATTGATAGGAAAAGTAAAAATTGATGAGACGAAAAATTTATTAATTTAATAATTAAAAACTATAACTATTTTTATTTTATAATTTAATTATTATCTTAAAAATTATTTCTTCTTTAATCTTTTCTATCAATTAAAACTTTAGTGTTCAGACTCAGAGATTTGACGGAAACAACCAAGCCACCGATTCGAGACTACTTTTGTACGATCCTACTCGGTAAGCGGAGAAATAATATAAGAAGGTCAAAATATGTTTGGGTATATGATTTGGACATTAATTAATTTGAAGTGATCCGATGGATTGAACACAACATTTCAAATATCATATATGTACCAAAAAAATTAATAGTGCCGAAGTCACAAAAGTACTAATTAACCAATGTCATTAAAAATAATGGACAATTAGCTTAATGTGTTTTGGTGAATATTATTAGAAAACATGCATGCAAACCTATTTGTAATTCATTGTACTGAGTTATTTATTATATAATCTGCATTAAATTTTTTATATTAAAATTATTAAAATTAAAAATTCATTACTCATCAAAAATTTTACAATAAATATGCACTATTTATAATTTTAATTATATGTTTAAATTTAAAAGCTTGCTCATTTTCTCATTATAAATAATATTTATAAATAAATATTTCGATTAGATTCATTATTATCCTAAAAACTAAGAGATAAAACAATAATATTTTAATTTGAAATCTTTTCATCATTTAATTTCAAAATTCAAATTATGTTTAGATAGACCAATCATACATGAAGTAGTCTACACTTTCAGTTAATCTTTTTTTTTTTTTTTCATTGAATCTCGACGGTCCAAAATCCAAACATACCCTAAAGCCATTAATGTTAGGCCACCACTTTGACATAATAGAGTTGAAATATACGAGGATAATATATTAGTGTTCAGAGAAATTTGACTATTAATAAATCAATTAGCATATTCAAAGGGTAGGTTTTTGTTCTTAAGATAGTCGACAAGGGTGTTTTAGTCATTTCAGGGGGGGGGAATTTGGGACCCAGATGGATCTATTTGGGTAGGGGCCGTCTGAGTCTGAGGGCACAGAGTAATTTGGACCCTTTTTTAAATTTTTGTTCACTATCAATTTGTTTTAGAGGATAAAAAAGTTATTTACTCCCTCAAATTCAATTTAATTCAAATAAAATATGAGGCAAAATTTAAATTTATTTTGTAATTTAGTTATTGAAGGCATTGGGTTATGATATCTAGCATTAAGTTAGCAGATTTTTTTTTTAATAATATGAATAATATTTTAATATTTGATTAAACGATTAACATATAATTTTGATTAAAAAATAAAATTAAAAATATTATTGTTTAAATAAAAAATAGTAATATGAAATATGAACAATGTGAAGCCATAGGTTTCTGTGCATTGAACCAATTTTCTTGTCCGAACGATTCACAACCACAAATACAGAATCTTGGAATTAAAGCGAGAATTTTGAGAAATAATTGTAAAAATAATTCAAACAAATCTGCTATAAAACCATTATCCAAATCGTGGAATTTTCGTGCAAGTCTCACATCAATACGTTTATTTTCAACAAATTGCACAATAAGGGGAAATTTACTCAAAACTGAAGAAAGAAACAAAGGCAAATTAAAAAAAAAAAGGTCAATCATAATAATTACCCAAGGCTGCTGTGAGTGTGGACAAATCAAGGGGCTGACCTAATTTAACAAAAAAATGGCAGCAAATTCATCTCTGAAATCCCCTCCTGGCCTCCCCAAAAGAAGAAAAGCAAAATCACGCTCAATCACCACTTTCAACGATGGTTTAAAATTGAAGTATGTAAAGACTAGAATGCCCCGAGTTAGAAAGATGAATGTGCAGTAGCTTCGGCGTCAGAGTTTGGCTTGTTTCTGACAAAAAATTGCTTCTCTTTATCTCTCTTTCTCTCTCTCTCTCCGAAGCACTTATAAATTAGAAAGGCAACAGCTCCTTCTGGCTTTTACGAGGGACGCTCCCAGCAACATTACTCTGCATATTTTTTCGCCTTCTCCCTGTAAACAAAAACCAATCAAGAAGGCAAAACAAACGCACGGGCTTTTTCTTTCTCTGAAACCTCACCATCTTTTCATTTCCTTTTGTCTGCTTGTAGCTTGTAACTTGTAAGTGCTTCTTAACATTTAATCTGGGATTAATTTGTTTTTGTTCTTTGCTTTGATCGTATGCAATTATTTGTTCAGTTGGGAAGTCTTATTTTTCCATGGTCTTTTTCGTTTCACGTTTGTTGAGTTTGTCCCTTCAAATTATTAACAATGGCATTGACTACTCTTGCCTTAAAAAACCACATATTTGCATTAAAAGATCCTTCTGTTTCATTTGATGGCCGCTTTGTGGGAACTCCATTTGTCTGTATCATTTATTTCCCTTTCAAATATCCTTCTTCCAAAATCAGACTATGACCTTGTCTTCTGATTCTTTTCATGTTCCTTTCACTTCCCAATCTTCATATCCTTAAAAAAAAAACCAAAGATTTCTAATGAGCTTTCACTTTCCACTTGTGTTCAAGATTGAGTTTTACTTCTGTTTTGATCTCTTTCTAAATCATGTATTAAGTGTCAATTATACAAAATTCCAAGCTGCTAGCTCTTTTTCTTTTAGTCAAGTACAGACGTACCAAATAAAAGGCCAAAATTTTCCCAGATGATACAAAAGCTTAGTAATTCTTTTCTATGATTAAGATTTACCCATTTTCCACTCTGTTTTCCTCTCTGTAAAGACGCTTAAAGCCAAGCTTTTTTAAAACAAATATTCACCCGAAGGCACGAACCTGGCCTATTCCCCACCGCTTTCCTTTATATTATATTGAGAGTCCGTTTTCCTTCTCTTTTAACTATTTTCTTTTCCATTTACGTTCCTTCCTTGGAAGCTGTTTCCATTTCTCCTGCAACTTGTTCTTTTTTATTGCCTTTGAATTTCCCCGTTTAGTTTTAACCTCCCAAACTATCGAGTATTCACTCAAAATATAGATAAATTAATACCCAAAATCCCTTTCTTTCAACTCTTATGGATACCCTGATTTGCCTCTCATTTTTGTTTTCTTCTTGAAGACTTTTATCTATTTAATTCACAAAATATATACTTTGCCATTTAAAACGGATTAATCAATAATCTATTATACAATCCGCCAACTTGTTTTGATCCCAGTTTGAAATTTCCATTGCTCAGGCGGTTTCAGCAATAAGAACAGATATGAGAAAAATCTCCAAGGTATATGCGCCTCGCCCTTTCTTTCTTTTCCTTTTATTTTTTTTTCTCGGCGATACGATTTAACTTTCGTCGGGTTTTTATTAATGGTTGCAGCCTTCGTGGCCTAAAGTAGTCGTGAGAAAATGGCTGAATATATCGAGTGGAGCAGACGAGTTTTACTCCGATTACGCATTAAACGGTAAAAATCTCATCCCGGATATGTCTCGTTTCATTTCAAATTTTGTTCGGAGATTTGGTTTTGGATTTCAAAGGAAAAATTCCTATTATTTTTGGCAGAGAAGACTGATGAAAGAAGAAAGAGCTGTTCTGACGAGGATTACTTCGTCATCGTACCGGAAGATTTCTCAGGTATATTTACTATGCCACAACGGCACTGTTTTAATGTTCTGTACTGATCTTAACTCTCCCGAGGTTTGAATTTCCCGAAGCCGTCAGTTTGACGGCCATGATTCTTTTTGATTGGACGTCAAAGAAAGAAATCGTAAAGATTTCAGTTGGGTCCCGGTTTGGTTAGTTAGTTTTTATGATCCAGTGTTTAATTCTTTGCCACGTGTACGGGCTAGATTTGACTCTCTGTAGCATGTAGTTGTACTTAGATTTACTTTTGTTTTTCATTTTTCTTTTGTTTGTAACTGTGAGTTTATGGTTTCAATAGAAGGCTGGATGATGGAGGGTGCCGGCGGAATCAAACCGTCGAAAATCAAGCCGGTGGTACCACCTGTCACCGATTTGCTCAACCTCAGGTAAGGTTACTTTTTAAGTTTTGTTTATATAATGTTGAGGATGCTTAATAAATCATTTGACCTTCGTAGCAAACTTTTAGTAAATGACATATGAAGACAATTTTAGTACTTGTTTGAATGCTATGTATTAAACTTGGCATTATTGGAGCTGAAGATGCATAATAATCATCAATAATTGTGATTTACTTGTTGTTTTAAGTGTAATCTAATTTTTTGGTTTTGTTGTGATAAGGATTATGCAATGATGTTGGGTTTGTTTTTGGAGTTTCCAGGATGTTTGTAGGGACATGGAATGTCGGAGGGAAGTCGCCACATGAGGGTTTGAACTTGAGAGAATGGCTAAGGTCACCTGCTCCTGCCGACATCTATGTTCTTGGGTAAAGACTTGCTCGTTTCTTTGTCCCGATTAGTAGATAGTCTAAACCAAAGTGCTTTTTACACCGTCCTTTACAAGTCTAAGGCATCGTATTGATTAAGTTTTTGCTATTCCTTTCGATTGTTGAAATTTATGTTATAGCTTTGTTTTTTAGTTTTTGGCAGTTACTTGTATGATTAGTGCATGTACTTGTGTGGATAAAGTTGTCTTTTCATTAAGGGCGTCAACTATTCAACTTGGCTGTGGAGTTAGCGGACCGCGGTTGACGACGCCATTTTAACATGCACCACAGCTCATAACCATTTGACCTTTGCCCACTAGGATTCCGTCGGCCCACCCTCTTTATTTACCTTTTTGCCCCACCTTAAATCTCTTGTTGACTTACTCGGGAAGAAAGCAATAAGTGAATAAATTAGTTAGTTTTTGAAGAGTTAAGGGTGTTCTGGTAATTTAGAATGATTTGCTAAACGGGATTTTTCTGCCTGCTAGGTTCCAGGAAATTGTTCCCCTAAATGCTGGCAACGTGCTTGGCGCTGAGGACAGTGGACCAGCGGCCAAGTGGCTTTCCCTTGTTCGACAAGCCTTGAATACCAGCAGAGTTGACCAAGAACTTGCTCAATGTTACAGCAATGTCACTGAAGCAAGGAGTCCATCCTCCCCGCAGCTTGAGCAGCAAGCAGGCCTGAAGCATAGGATCAGCTTTTCTGATTTACTATCAATGGAAGATGAACTTGGCAAAGAGGATTTTGAAAGATTGCTAAACTTGAGTTTGAATTCTAGCGAAGAAGGCTCTCCTAGCCCCACTTGCATGTCTGGCAGTCCAACACGGCAACGTTTCTGCCTAGCTGCAAGCAAGCAAATGGTAGGGCTTTTCTTATGCGTGTGGGTTCGGGCTGATCTTTACAAGCATATTAGCAGCCTGAAAGTCTCATGTGTTGGCCGTGGCATAATGGGATATCTTGGAAACAAGGTCAGCACTTGCATTTATTCTACACTGTTGCTGACTTGTTGATAACGAAATGAGAAATATCCAGCATTTATAGCACTTAATTGTAATTATATTAATTTTATCTTCTTTTAATTGTTTGGTAACAGGGATCAATATCCATTAGCATGACGTTGCACCAAACGACATTTTGCTTTGTTTGTAGCCACTTGACCTCCGGGGAGAAAGAAGGGGATGAGATCAGAAGAAATTCTGATGTTGCAGAAATATTGAAGAGAACAAGGTTTTCTCATTCATTTAGAGATCTCAGACAGCCACTTCCTCCGCAGAGCATTTTAGATCACGAGTAAGCTTCTTAGTCCACTAATTCATCTACAATCGGCATGGCATAATTTTGTTTTGTGGATAAATAGGCACGGTTTTTGTTTTGTTATCAGTAAAGGCAAAAGAAAATCACTGGAATATCTTGAAAGTTTTCACTCATTTTTGTTAGGCCTCTAATGTTTTTCCTTTCTTGTCTTTGTTCAGCAAAATTATTTGGTTAGGAGATTTGAACTATCGGCTTGCTGTGGGTTGTGCTGATACACATGAATTACTGAAGAAGAATGACTGGCAAGCACTTCTAGAAAGGGATCAGGTGAGAGGCTAATCCAGACAAAGCTCTGTTCTGTTTCATAGATGTTGATTTTATTAATCTGGTTGCTTTGGCCCCTGCCTTGGTTTTGCACCAGTGTCATGTGAAACAATGAAAATAGAAAGTTGATCTCTAATATCATTATTGTTTACTTTAAGATCTAACATGTGATATTTCCTTTACCGCTTGGCAGCTAAGGATAGAACAAAGGGCTGGTCGGGTGTTTAAAGGATGGGAAGAAGGCAGGATTTATTTTGCTCCAACTTACAAGTATCTCACCAATTCTGACGAATATGTAGTACAAACATCTAAATCAAAAGGAAAACGGCGAAATCCTGCCTGGTAAGATATCAAATTTATGTTCCTTCAACGTATGTTTTTCTTAAATTCTTAGCTATTTAACTATATGAAGCAGGATTAAATTAATCCCAAGTTGTGCATTCATAAAGGTTGCTTGTTGGAGGCATCATCCTTTAAAAAGTTTCAAATTAATCTTTATATAATTTGAATATATATATATATATGTATATATACATATACATATACATATATTATATTTTATTACTACAGTTCTGTTCCTAGTTTTGGCAGTTTTTCCTTATACTTGTCTTTTCTGTTTTGCTTGCTCCATTTTTAATAAGCCTTGGGGGACCCGCTGAACACGACTCTGAACTAATCTTAGTTGTTCACATTTTACCCTGAATCTGTTCTGCTGGAGGATAATTAAAATTTAAGCCACTACAATTAATTAGTATTATCATGTTCTCACATGAAACACAGTTATGCTTGGAAACTCTGATACTATTAGCAGTTTTTTAAGAGGCTTCAATTTTCAATGTATATTTTTTTTAAAATACATAAACACGTTTTGCATTTTTTAATGAATCTGATCGGGTAGCCGGAGACATAAAGTTCATGTGATGACTTACCACCAACATTTGCTTCATTAATCTTACAAGGAAAGTTTTAGTAGAACTTTCAACTCGACTGTTCAAATTAATTATGTAGTGGTCGGCAAGTGAGATTTATCCGCATCTTTTGAATAAAATAATAACCTTAATTAACCGACCATATTTGTTAATGTTCTTGGCAAGACTGGTGAAAACGTTGAGCCATTGACATGCAGTCTTCACTTGGTTAATCATTATTAATGTTTTCTTTCTGCCGGATAAGTAAAATCCATCCTGAAATCCTATGTGAAGACTTGTTATTTTATTGGAGAGTTATTTATGCGAAGAACCTAAGCAATTCGTTGGAAATGATTGCAGGTGTGATAGGATCCTGTGGAAAGGTGAAGGAATTAAGCAGGTGTGGTACTCAAGGGGCGAGTCTAGGTTCTCGGATCACAGACCAGTTTATTCCCTCTTCTCAGTACAAGTCAATTTAGAAAACAAGCTCATCTCCGCCACTAGATCATGCCCACCAAGATTTTCAGCAAAATCTACTTTGTCATCAGCTTGTGTGGCCAAGGTCCAAGCTGAGGAACTGTTGCTAATTTCCAGGGCACAAAGCTGCATAAATGCAACTTCCAGGTTTTGATACCTCAAAAAAATGGCCTACCAATAGTGAAGTTACAGCTGGAATTGTTTGACAGACTGAGTACTGATGCAAAAACCGATAAGCATTCCCTGACACCTGTGTTGCCCCGGCCTTTTTTAACGGGTTGAGACAGCGTGCTGGGGAGTGATGATGTTCATGATGGATGGTATGGCATGCTACTTAAAATTGCATGTGGATTTTGTTGTGCGTGCCTGATTTGACAAACCGGTGATCTCAAGGGATTCGGTAGATATGTTAAGAGCAAGAAGCAGTGAATGATTAGATGTGGTTAGCAGTGAAGCAGGCCACTTCAGAATCAAAATTAAAGGAGGGGTGGCTGGAACTGGATCATTGGGACTTCCAAGTTCTTGTTTAACTGGATGAGAGAATGCATTTTCAGCTTCTTCTTTTTTTTTTTTACAGAAGTGTCCATTTTTTTTTTATTTTTTGATAATTTTGATGCTGATGAGATAGCTTTGATTAAAGTGAAAAATGTAAATAGAAAGAAAAATGGCTTTGCGGAGGAGACAGTTCGCAGAAGAACTCTCTTTAGAAAGCGCAATGTTATTGAACATCGGTGAATTAAGAATAATAACACTAGGAAGGTTTCAGTTTTGTCTGCAATTTAAGTGGCAATTCGCATGTTCCATTGATTGTTCTGACGCATTCCTCTTTAGGCCTAAGTCCAGCGGTCACTGTCTACGATTAAATTGGTTCAATAAAACTTTTTATTGGTCGCTCTCAAGTCTTAACTTGTTTCAGATGACAATGCCCAATTCTATCCAGGGATATTTTATTCTTATCTGGCTCTAGGTGTAAAATTTTTAGAGCCAAACAATAATGTTTCCGTTCCAGCAGACGGATCATGAGTCGTGAACAAGGGAGATCCATAGAACCAGGACAATATTTGCTCAAATCCAGCCATAGATTGGAGAGAGTAAATGGTAAATACAGCCAAAAACAAGATTTGATCTTCCCTCAAATCCAAGCAAATATTTGATGCATTATGAGCTCATAGAGAGGCAAAATGAATAAAGAGCCAACGTTGGAGGGTTAGGCTTGAAGAATAGATGGGATCAGTTTTTTTTTTTAAGGCAAGGGTCCAACAGGAAGCTTGCTATCTGGGCCCTTTTGGGTCGCCCATCAGTCGTATTAGACTACGGGCCTGCCTAACATTCTTTCATGGGCTCTGCTTGAGTTTAATTGGGCCTTCCAAATAAAATTTTTGGCACTTCTTGTCTCAGCTGATGGCATTAGATTTGGTGGTTTGTGATTTTAGATTGTTTACATAAAAATTATGTAATATAATTTATGTTCATAAAAAATTATAAAATATGTATTTTTATTTTTATTATATTTAAAAATAATAATTATTAAAATTTTAAATCATATTATTTTTATATTTTATATTTTTATTACTGTCATATCATATTTTAAATTGACTAGACGGCACATACAAAGTCACTTAAAAAGTTCAGTCGCAGGTTTTTTTTCTTTGGAAGTGCCGCCAAACGCCGCATAGAGATCAGAATCAGATCTGACAGAACCTAAGTACACGTGTACGGTCAGATTAAGGCCCAAACGGAATGTGATCGTGCAGGGCACCATCTCATCTCATCTCTTTTAGCAAAATTCTCAAAATATCATTTTTCCCATTCTATTTAGATCTCGATGCAATCACCGTCCGTAAAATCACCGGTTTGGTTTCCGGCCAATCGCTGCCGGAAAGTTTTCCCTTGATCCGATCACTGATCGTCGTGTTCGTAAATAAATAAATCAATCGCCTCATTGCAGGTATTTCCACAATGAAGATCTCTCCTTTGTTTTTTAACCTTTTTCAAATCAACTGCGTATCGAAAATTGTAGGGTTAAGGTTCCAAGTGTTTTCCCTTAGTTCTCAGTTATCCGTTTAGTTAAAAATTTGAGGAAAGTCTCTACTCGCAAGGTTTTATACTTTTGTTTTATTTAAAATAAATTTTATTTTGATGAGTGAAATTCTGAGTGTTTGGCATCGTCAAGGTAATAGATTTCTGGAAGGTTTTTAGTTATCTTTGCTGTTTAGTGTAAAGTTTGTACGTTTGATCCTTTGTTTAATGCCGCCTGATGTATATTTGACGTGTTATGATGATAGAGTTTTAACTGTTGGAGTTTTACAGCAAACTGGAAGCAAGAATTCCATCCATCGAAAACTTTGAAGAAAAGCGAGAAAAATGGTATGTTTTATATGTGCTGTAGGAAATTTCGAGCTTGGTTTGTGCTTCAAGTGATGTGAGAAAGGTCTTCTGATTGCATATTTTGGAAATTTGATGTGTTTCTACTTTGTTGTGATGCTGTTTATCTGTTTATGTGTATCTTTTGTAATTGATTTATTGATTCAATTTTTATGATTAAATGTTCTGCAGCTGCTTATGTGTTATGTAGTTTCGTGTAGTTGAAGCTTTTTAAGCTTAAAATTCTGTATCAACTGAAATATTATGCTTTTAGTTAAAAAAATCCTCACACAATTACGTGTTTTTAATTTTTCTCAATAGTTGTAACTTAGTAATGTAGGTGGAGGTGCACTGATGAACTGGATATATATAAGAGTGAAGAAAAATGTCATTTTGCCTTAGCACTACACAACAAAAGCACCTCAGGCCCTTTCAGGCCAGACGCATGCCTAGTGCACCTAGGTGCGCTTTTCTGTAAGGCGATAGGCACAAAAAAGCTCACCTGATTGAAGTTCTGTAGCATTTCTTTTATTTTAATTTTTTTTTCATTAGCTTTACTTTTAATAGTGAAAAAAGGGACAATATCAAACTCTCTACTTCTCAATGCTTGAGTATTACAACAAACTTGGGACCATATGGAACTATGCAAGTGGTGCATATTTGCAAAAAGGAAAGGAAATTTTGCATGTTTTGTAGGATAAAAGCGGACCACTCTTTAGAGTTTATTAACAGAATTACAAATCTTAAGCTTATTTTATATATATACAGAAACAAATACATTTTGTGTCTTACTTCACTCGGGCGAGCGCTTTTTTTGCTCCTCTTGCCTCAGGCAATATTAAAGGTTCTAGTGCCTTGAGTGCGCCTTGCGCGCTTAACAACACTGTTAGTGCCTACTTGCTATCATGATGGCATGTGGTTAATCTTGAATACTGGATCAATGAAAAAAATTTGACTATTATTGTTATTCCCTTCTACATGACATTATGGTCTTGACTTGTTTCCAATTAGGAATTTCTCACATGTGAAACCTTTCCAGAATCAGGGCTTTTGGATGACAAAAGATGCTGCGTGTTCAAATGGTGGTGAGATGGCATATGATAATTCTTCTAGAATTGAGCCCAAGCGTTCTCATCAATGGTTCATGAACGGTCCTGAGACAGACTTATTTCCTAACAAGAAGCAGGCAGTTGGAATTCCAACTACCAACTTATTTCCTGGAATGTTGAATTCAAATGTTTCTGCATGGGGAAATGCTTCCAATTTTCATTCAATCTCTGGGCAGTTTGCTGAAAGGTTATTTGATACGGAAACAGCTCGAGCTGTGAATTTTGATGATCGAAATATGCCATCAGTTAGCACAGAGAAAGTTGAAATGGGAAGAAGGGTTAATGAGGATTTATTTACCAATGATTCTTCATTTGGTTTATCTATGTCTCATACATTGGAAGATCCTAGATCTGGGTTAAACTATGGAGGGATTAGGAAGGTAAAAGTCAGTCAGGTCAAGGAATCTGAGAATCTCATGTCTGCATCAATGGGACGTGTGTATAATAGCGTTGATGATAACTCTGTGTCAACAGGTCATGCTTACAACAAGGTGGAAGACGGTTATATATCAACAGGTCTTGCTTATAACAAAGGGGATGAAAGCATCATGTCTATTGGTGAAACCTATGAAAGAGAGAATAATGTTTTCATGTCTATGGGACAATCCTATGACAAAAGTGAGGACAGTGTTACCACTGGCTCAACATATAAAGAAAGTAGCAGTACCATTGCAATGAGCAATACGTTCAATAAGGGTGATAACAATTTCATGTCCATGGGTCAAACCTACAACAGGACAGATGATAGCTCCGTAACTGTGTGTCATACCTACAATAAAGGAGATGACAGTGCCATATCTGTTAGTCATAGCTACAATAAGGGTGACTACAATAATTTGTCAATTGGTCAGTCCTATAGTAAGGGTGAGAGTATTATTATATCTTTTGGTGGCTATGATGATGATGATACAAATCCATCAGGAAGTCTAATATCGGGCTATGATTTATTGATGGGTCAACCTTCTGTCCCAAGATCTGATGCACCAAATGATAAAGAGTTGGTTAAATCCAATGCTGATGCACTTGTTTCTACTGGTATTGTAACTGCCTCTGGAGCTGAAGTTTCTAGGAAGAAAGAAGAGCCGAAAACATCAAAAAAAATTCCTTCAAATAACTTCCCTTCAAATGTCAGAAGTTTGCTATCAACTGGTATGCTTGATGGAGTTCCTGTTAAATATATTGCCTGGTCACGGGAGGTAAATCTCATTTCACATGTTCTTCTTTTAGTTTACCATACTGTCTGGTGACACACCTGCTTCTTTTTATGCACTTTAGAAGGAGCTGCGTGGTGTTATAAAGAGTTCTGGATATCAATGTGGCTGTCAGACATGCAATTTTTCTAAGGTGGGGTTCAGTTTTACCTTTTGTATGAAGGGAATTATTGAGGCAAAAGTATCTCTGTCCCTGATCAGCCGGTTTCTATTTACTAATAGGTGATTAATGCATATGAATTTGAACGTCATGCTGGTTGCAAAACAAAACACCCAAATAATCACATCTACTTTGAGAATGGGAAGACAATTTATGGGATTGTCCAAGAGCTTAGAAGCACGCCTCAGAATATGTTATTTGACGCTATTCAGAGTATAACTGGTTCACCTATTAACCAGAAGTGCTTCCGGCTTTGGAAAGGTGATGTAAACTATTAAACTTGAATGGCTTTGCTTTTTATTTCTCTAACTTTTAGTGATTTGCTGTAGATATGAATTCTCCAACATTATCTATCTTACGCTGACAAGGACAATTAAAAGGAAATGCATCTTTTACAAGTACTCTTTATTGACAAAAAAGGTTTCCTACTCATGTGTTCCTCTTTTCTTTTTCAGAGTCCTTTTTAGCTGCCACTCTTGAACTTCAGCGTATATATGGAAAGGATGAAGGGAAACAATTGTCATAAAACAACCATGTTTATTTGTAAGTGAAGATCATCTCTGTTTTGTGCATGTGAACTGATCTTTTTGACGATACTTTTGGTTGTATCTCAGCAACATGTAGTTAATAGCTTATTCGAAGAGAAAGAGATGAAATTTAAATGTTACTTTTCTCTCAGAAAGCTTTTATTTTTCTTTATGTATCTTTTGGTGGTTCCCATTTGTCTTTTATCAGATTCAACGATTTTGTAGTTGAAAACATATTCTTTCCTGTGTGCATTGCATATTTAAAAACCACTTCTAAAGTGGACCGAAACCATGGTTTTGATAAAAATGAGTTGAAGCCTCGATTTCTTTACCCATTGGTGGATCAATGGAGTAACCCTTCCAATCCAGCATCATGGCCTTAGTCATAAAATTTTTTAGTGGAAAGTCGTATCGTTAGATGATAGTTACACTTGCGTCAGAAACCACTACGATAATAATTGCTAGTGGTTTCCCTCGTTTCTCAAAAAGTAGTGGATATTATATTAAAATCAAATCCCTTTATGACAATGGAAACACTCTAGACTGGAATTGAATCGCTTTTCTCTTGTAATTTTTCATCTCTGATTGACGTTTCTCTCCTGGCAGCATCAATTGTGATGGCCTGATGATCGAAACTTTCCTTTTCGATGTTAGCCATATCTATTTTAGCTGTTTCTATTTGCTGCTCCATTAATGGGGGTGGAGACTTGTAATCCTTGCTTTTACCCCACAGCACAAGATAAAGACCAGCAATTATGATGATAGCTCCAATCACCCTGTAAAATATGAGATCAATTTTTTTTTTTTTTTTTGGTTTCAATCTGTTTGAGAATTGTTACAGTGATATGAAGTTTGGATATTACCTTCCCAAATACATTTGTTCAGCCAGAATGAAAGAGGACATGATGGCTACGATAACCATGCATAGGGGAGTAAAAGCCGTAACAAACACCGGATCTCTGTCTTTCATTATCACCCCTTGAATATAATAACCAAGTCCTGAACATACAATACCCTGCAGCCATGCATATTGCAGATGTAACATTTAAAAATTGTAAAATACCAAAAAAAATCTATTATTCCGAATAATTCCAATCCTTGGGGAGACTAGATTTCTATAACATTTCAGAAGTGCATGGGTAATGGGTTGGTAACTGGTAAATGTTCTTACACTGTATGCAACTGAAATTAACTTGGTGTCCCATTTAATGGCCCAGATGGCAGCATTTCCCTTTTCCATTATCAAAGCAGCTATGGTGCCTTCAACCGTACCCAACAGGCAAATCCAAACTGTGAGAGAAAGCTCGGCAGGGTATGTTTCCATAGTGATTGCCTATAGAAAGACACACAGGTTATGTTATGGTTAAGGAAATCCATCGACAATTTTTACTGCAAAGTTTCTATGTACGTACCTGCAGAATCACAAAACAAGCGTAGCTGGAGCAGCCAACTGCAATCATTAGACCACCTTTAATCGTGTCGTGGAGATCTGTCCCATTTTTTGCTGATGCTTGATGGTTAATTCTTCCTTTCGTCCAAAATAACTCAAGCGCCGGTCCTTTCATCAGTGTCATGACCATGGCTCCTGCAACTGTTGCAAGGGTTCCAACAACTTTACCATGGCTTCGGATGGATCTTAAGTTTACCTTCTCAAGCCTGGAGGGACATGATCGAACTTTTAGTTAGCTGCCATAATTAGAATAAGGACGCATGTATTTTCAAGGAAAATTAATAAAGTTTATCCATTTTTATTTTTAAAATCATAATCATGTGGCATCAGAGCTACCAGCTTAATACAGTTTTTCTCCATTTTTATGCTTAAAATCATAATCATATGGCATCAGAGCTACCAGCTACTGCTTCCTGGGTTCTTTGTTATTCAGATGTCCATGAACGAAATTGTTGCTATTTGGATTGTCTACCTTAAAATCCAAGCCATGACAAAGGTAATGGCAGGAACAATGTTATACATGGCAGCTGCAAACGTTGCAGTCGTGTACTTCATCCCCACATAATACAAGTTTTGGTCAATGACTGGCCTGCCGGAATACAGATAAGCATTATCACATGTTATTGTATAATGTTAAAAAACAGAAACTTGTAATTTAATTTGGATAATACTCCAGTAAGCCGAGCAGCATTATTTTGATGAAGATTGGTAGTGTCATCTTAGGCCTCACTTTCCTGTCAAACAAAAGCTACTTCCAATCAGTTTTCTCTTCTGAAATGATGTAAACTGATTACAAAACATTACATTGTTACAGGCATGTGCCAAACTTTGAATGTTTGTTTTTTGAGAGAGAGGAGATACTTGTCGAGAATGGCTGCAAACGGAGCCATGACAACGGTGGCAATGGCATGACGGTAGACGACAAGTGTATAATTGCTCATCCCCTGGTTGAGTGCAGCCTTACACAAGATATCCATTCCTGCAAGCCCAACTTGCATGAAAATTGCAGCAAAGAATGGCTTAAACTTACCTAAAGCACCATGTCCTTGGTTCTCCATATCTCTTTATGAACTTATGGGTTCACTCTCGATTCAGTTCTCAACTTATAAAACAGCAAAGTTCGTCACTGATGCTGTGATGCACTCATGAGGAATTTCTGGTAATACATGTTTCTTCCTATTTATATTTGGAAGTTGCTCCACATGCTGACATATTCTATCAAACTTAGACACCCAGTCACTTTTTTTTTTGTTGGCATTCGTAAGTTGCTATAGTAACTAACTAAATCCTTTAAAAAAATAACTTAAAATTCAATCTTAAAATGATAGTGATAAATGAATGAACACAGGAAAAAAATTATATATAATTATAATTTAATCTTAAAATGAATTATAAAATTAATTTTAATCTAAGGATAAAAAATAGTTTAATTTACACTTAAGTGGATCTCTTCTTAATAAATTAAGGAGAGGGATCAACTTATATTAATCATTGACTTCATTAAACTTAAACAATGAGAAAGACAAGTGAAAAAAAAAAATTATCTTTAAATCTATTAAAATCAAGTGACAAAAAAGATTTTGTTTTTATTTAAGTTCGAATTTATTAAAAAATTATAAAAAAATAATTTTTTATATATTTATTAAATTTTATTAAATAAATTTACTTAAACCGATAAAAAAAATGCACCGAACAAAATTTAAAATGCCTTTATAACTAATAAAAAGTTACTATATCTAAATGAAATAACCAACAAATATATTGCGAAACGATGCAACTTAGCCGGTAAATGGTTATTACTATTATTTGATTGTGACAGGCAGCATTAACTACGGACAAACCGTTAAAAAGGCGAAGTCGAAAACAAACATTTATGTTAGTGGCATAATTATTTTGCCGTTTGCTTTAATAATTTTGCAAACGCCACCGCCATTTTTTTATTATTTTTTATTTTTTTCTGCGCCTTTGCGTGTTCAAGGAGTGAATGCACCGGTGGAGTTGGTTGCTAAGTTCCTTCTCAAAAGTTGTCTAAAGAGTGTTTCGTGGCTAGTCTGCATAGTCCATGAATACAACATAAGAACCTGAAATAAATAAAGAAATTCCTCAACTGAGTGCGTATTGACATCCACTCTCAGATGAACACAATTTCTTATGAAGAAGGTTGGGTTTTTTTTCTTCTTTTAAAATTTAATCTTTTTCTATTTGGAGATTTAGTGGGCAAAAGACAAAGTCAATAAGGGTAAGAAACTTTGTTTCTGCATCAAGTATATTTTGTAGCCCATGGATGAGTCTCAGATATTTTTGCTTATGCATATTTCCACTAATCAAAAAGAGAATGCGGATAGGACGAATTGCCATATGAATTCAAACTCCATTATTGAAAGAGATGATTAAGATTTGTTTTTGCCTTTTTTCTTTTTGTGCCAACACGAAAATCTCTTTCAGATTTCTTTCTTTCTTTCTTACATCCTTAAGCTTTATTATCCATTTGCTTTGTTGAATTATTCAGAGGAGGCAAGAACAGTCCATGTTAAAATAAAGAATAAAAAAAAAAGTTGGGAATGTAAAAGTTAATGCCCTCTCCATTTCATAGCTTAAGCTTCCACTTTCACAGTTTGATTGATAGTGCTTAATGTATTAGCACTATCTCCACAATGAATAAATATAAACCCAATTATTACTGCTTTAGTGATATGTGGGTCTGCGGGTGGAAAACCTGTTTTCTGATTAAACGTGTGGTCGTTAACGAACCGAAAAGGAAATGTCAAAAACAACCGGAGAAAGAGAAGGAAAGTGGCTTTTCGAGCTATGCCTGAGCTTATTCCTTATTAAGCAGTGCAACACCATCATCCAACTCACTATGTATAATTTTTATCAAGCAACCAAATCTTCTACAACAAACTATGTAAATAATCCATTAATGGATAATAAGCTACCAATGGATTAGGGTTCTGTTAAGCTTTAGAGGAGCATTCATAAGGGGTTCTTGCCTTTGGAGCCCACAGAATGACCATAGATAATATCCCACCGAAACTAGTTGAGGAATAAATTATTTGAAATTCCTTAGTTTTAGGTGCACTTCTCAAACGTAAGAAATGCACGACACGACTCATCCTAATGCCCGAAAAGTGAGATCACCCAAAAATTTATGATGCTCACGACGAATAAAAAAGAAAAACACATTTTCAGATGATTCTGCATTAACAAAAGTACCAAGAGAATCAATCCGACTGTATACCAAATTTATATTCTCCAGATAGACAGTTCCTCCAATTACAAAAAATCGAAAGAAATGAAGTGACATCGGATGCCTCCCAATCTTTTCCTTGATATGATACCACTGTGCAAGCCCTAGGCCAGGGAGCAAAGCCAACCTTGTCATCCACTCACATGGAAACAAGTGGGGAGAAATGAATAACATACCACATTACTAAGATTAACAATTGATTCTAGAGGACTCTTGAGGCTAGGGGCGTAAGTCAAATCCAGTCTAGCCTGGTTTGCATCTGTTCAGGGAAGGCTAGGGCAGTTCATAATTTCAACTCCATATATCAAAATGGTAGACAAATTTGCTTTCGATTCAAACACATGTTATTTAGGAAAAATAATCTAATATAATTAATTTTGCAAAATACCAAGGATCTAACATTTCACACCAAAGAGTAGCAGATATAAAATAATCATGGCATTGAGCAGGAGCATACAAACATGTACAATATAGTTGTAACAAAATTAGTTTTCTGGACCAAAATGGCTCCCTAGAGAAGAAAATGTACCCTTCAAATCTCATCCTCAGCGTAGTTTGTTCAAGACCCGCAGCAGGCTGATTTTTGAGCAGCTGCTGCAGCCCCTGCTGCCTGGTCTGCTTGGTTAATTTTGATTGTCTGTGGCTGCAAAGAGGAAGCAAAAGATAATAAAAATTACAACAATATATGTATCAAAATATGTTAAAGAAATGGATTTGCATAATTAGCACAAATATGCATGTGTTATCAGAAAAGATGATACTTCAAGTTAAAGAAACTATACCTCAGCCCTCGAGTCACTATCAGCAAGCCTTTGCTTAATGTCCCTGGCTATTGAAAAGAAAACCTCCTCAACATTTAAGTTTGTTTTTGCACTCTGCAAAATAGATTGGATGTTGAGCATATAGGAAAGATCATCTAAACATCAAAACTAACTACAACATCTGCAGTAAAAATTACATACAGTCTCAAAGAACTTGATGCCATATTCATCAGCAAGAGCTTGACCCTTTGAGGTAGGGACAGCCTGAAAAATATCCTGGTCAACTCGACAAGAAAAATATCCAGCCCAGTATGGCAAACAGAAGGGTAACAATAAATGCATGCAAATACAAGCACACGTGCGCACATGGAAGAGAGAGAAAGAGAAACAGACCCTTTTGCTTTCATCCATGTCAGCCTTATTACCCACCAGAATCTTATTGACATTGTCCGAAGCATGCTGTTCAATATTACGAATCCAATTTCTAATGTCTAAGGTGCAAAAAAGGATATTAGTTCAGTTGATAAGATAATTATAATGGAGAAAGAATAAATTTTCAAATCACTGGATAACGAGTCTACTTTCAAGTTTCAACATTCCAGAAAACTAAAAGTTTCGAATAACAAACCAAATTTGCTGGAAACACTAAAAATTTCTAAAGATTCAAAGGTTGATAAGACTGAACAACTTATGTATGAAAATCCAAAATTCAAATGATAAAAAGTTCAGTCATTACTATTGAAAGATGACTCATCAGTCACATCATAAACAAGCAAGATACCCATGGCTCCACGATAGTAAGCTGCACAGAAAGAAAATATTACTTAATTCATCTGTCGACCAGACAAGACTCTAGAAGAAAATAAAATCTGGATGCAGGGAGAGAGTAGACATCTGGAAAAATTAAAATAACGTGAACACCCTCCATACCTGGGGTTGGCAGCCCAACCCAGTCAGGTTCCAACCCAACCCGACATCATAGGGTAGGTTTTTTTTTAATTGGGTTTCAGGTTGGGTCGGGTCAGGTATTACTAAAAAAAATCAGGTTCGGGTTTTAGGTAAACCCGACCCGATACTATATTAAAAATTATTTTTTAATTATTTATTTATATATAATTATATATTTATATATTTATATTTAAAAAATAATATTTTATATTTTAAAAATAATATTTTATTAATTTCGGGTCGGATCGGGTTCGGGGCGAGCAAAAACTTGCCCCGGCCCGACCCGTTGCCAACCCTATCCATACCCACCCCAAAAGGGTAAAACAAGATAAGTACTAAAAAGAAACGAGCAAGCAACCATGTTTGGGGGTGGAAGAAAGAAAAGACTATGAAAAGGTAAATTTTTCAATCACCCACAGAGATAATACTAATAGCAAACACCTTCACTCTAAGCACCAAGTATCAAGAATCCAGAAAATATGAAAGGCTAAGCATCTAGAGAACTGAGAGAATTTCAATCCTAAGCATCTGTTCTTTGTAGTTCTATTTCCAAGTCCCGCCATACAATTCAAAAGTATAACAGCTGGTGGGTTGGAATGCATGAGAGAGACGAACCATTGAAGCATAAAAGCTCCTAAATTCCTAGCAGACTAAGAAAACAAAGAGAATGGCAACCTTGAACCAAACCTGTTATTAAATTTGACAACTTTAGAGTGAGAACAAATGGTAAGTCACATAACAACACTGGCAATTAACAGGCTCAAGTAAAACAATGCCCAAGTCATGCTATCAAATTATTTCATCAAATCAAATAAGTTATTATTCCAATTAGACAATTCATTTCTAGTCAGTGACACCTTCAAAACGCAAAAACTAACCGGTTGTAATTGTTCGAAACCGCTCTTGCCCAGCAGTATCCCAAATTTGCAGTTTGATCCTTTTTCCATCAAGCTCTATGGTCCTTATCTTAAAGTCAATTCTGCCAAATCAAACACAACCCTATTAAACCACGTGCCCCTTGTAGAAATAATAATTATAATAATAAGACCACTTTACTGCGATTTAAAAAAACCTACCCAATGGTCGTGATGAAACTTGTAGTAAATGAGCCATCTGAGAAACGCAAAAGGAGGCAACTCTTACCCACACCTGCCCACACAATTACACAAGCAAACAGAGTTATTCATAGCTCTAATTCAAAAGAATGTGCAAAATATCAAGAAAAACTCCTTTAAAATAACTGCAATATCAACTATTAATCCCTAATTACAAGCAACTACAACTATTTATAGCAGCCGATGGCATGAATTAAGAAACAGCTCCCTCATGCAAATGTATATGTACGATATTCATCATCAGTAACACAAACTGAAACATAGAATATTCCCATGGCAATGAGCTATATTGAGGCAGAATACATTATCAAATATATTCAGACGAAAAATGCCAGTAGCATAGATTCACCATAAAAGCAAACATTTCGAATCAACCACGATAACGCAATAAAATGAAATTTCCGTGTTAAGATAATCCGTAAACCTAAAATGAAGCTTAATCTAAGATAATGATATTGAAATGCGCATCACGGTCTCACATCTAGGTTTTCTATATTTAGAAAATAAAAAAAGGAAAGTCAAATCCCTTTAAAGAACCCTAACATTTTGCAAAAGCAATGTAGATTAACGAGTAGATCGAATTTCAAATTAAGATGTATATTTATATATAAAGAGAAAAGAAATAGTTACCGCTGTCGCCGATCAAAAGGAGCTTTATGAGGTAGTCGTAATCGGCTCGAGCTCTTGCAGGTGGAGCAGCCATGGTAATAGAAGAAATTTATCGAAACAAGCCAAAAAAAGGGAGAAAACAAATAAACCCTAGACGCAAAAAAAGGCTTCGACGTTAATAATCAATGAAAAAAAAATTGATAAAAATAAATGTTTTTTAATTTTATTTGGTGAATTGAAAGGATACAATACCGGATCAAGAAAAAAGAAGAGTGAGATCTGAGAAAAGGCAATGAGAGAAATGAGGAGGGAGAGCGTCTGGTACGTTACCACCGGTCGGCCGTTGAAAAGAGTGGGTTTTTTTAAACTATAAATCTATGTTTTTGGATTGGCTCCCAACCGTTGGATTAATATATGGTGTTGACATATGGATGGATCTAACGGACGGATTTTCTTTAACTCGTCAACGTACGGAAAATAACTGATTGAAGAAAAAGACTGGGCCTCCCTAAGCTGCTAGCTAAGCGACAACGTTTAGCCGCAGATAGAAGCGTTGGATTTGGGTATCTAAAAGCGAGGAAGCAACAGGCAAAGAATGCACTTGATCAGATAATACGTAATCATTTAAATTTAAAAAAAAAATTGAAGAAAACGAATTTAAAAAAAAAAAAGTTTTTGAAAATTCACGTCAATTTAAGAGTAAGAATTGTAAGCATAACACGATCTTTTATTTGAAGGCTTGACATTTTCCCCCAAAGTAATTATTTGATTACGAGAATAATTGCCTTTCGCTTGCAAAATGCATAAAGAAGGAAAAAAAAATTTATTTCAAATGAATGAAGCTAATCCTTCTTTCATTCCTTAAATCTTGTGAATAAAAAATTATGAGAATAATTAATCATATTATTAATAATAGTATAATTTATTAATAAAATATTAAAATTTTAATTTAATAATTAAAATTGAACTTCAACTATTAAAAAATAATTAATCATGTTGCTAATTTCTAAATGTTTCTTCAAAGTTTGGCACCTAACTTAAAAATACAGAAATGACAATTAAGTAGTGCATGATAAAGACTTAAATCATTTTTATAGTATTAATTAACATGGTTACGTATATTAAGTTTAAAAAAAAACAAACAAGTACTTCTCCACTAACTTATGTTAGTGCTTAGAAATTAGTAATAAAAATAAAATCAATGAAAAAGAAAAGCATAATAACAATATTTTAGTAGATAATAAATATTATACCTGCGTCGGAGTTAACTGAAGAATATATTAGTTGTATAGTAAATATAAATAAATAAATGGGAAGGCATATCAATATCTAGAATGTCTAATCCACCGGCCTACATATATTTTACTAGATTCGCTCCATAGATTAATGTTGGGCTTTTTTTTTTTATGAGTAACTAAAGCAAACTTACCAGAATAAGCTGTTACTTGGCCCAACCCGAACTTTTGGCCTAATAGAGCTAAATGGACTCTAATTCAATTGGATGTGAGACAGAATGTGGCTTAGTAGCAAGGGATAATTTCTCTAATAAAGAAGTGGTAAAAGGATGGAAATTTTTGTTTAAAACGTGTTTTAGAATAACGGTGAGATTGGTGGTGAAAAGATTTAAAAACAATAATGATGATTATAAAATTAATAATTCAATAATGAAAATCAAAGTTGTAGCCATAAGATTAAAATTTAAAAATACAGGACAAATGATATTCGAAAATTGACCAAAATTGCTCGATAGCATCACCGGAGGGGCTGCCAAAAGTTAGTTTCAATCGAAAACAAAATTTATTTTGTTCTTTTCATGAGTACCAACAAATTTCAAAGTCCCAAGACTTGGTCAATGAAGGAACATAGATGGCCAAATCGTGGCAGGTGGTCAGCGGAGACAGGTTCTAATGTTTCAATGGCGTTTTTCGGCGGGCATTGTTATTGAGAAATATAAAATGACAAAATCACATCATATTTACAATTTTAAAGAGGAAAGCAAGACTGACTCATACACAAAGAATTTCAAACCAAATTTACTAACAAGACCCTGACGAACAACGTAGAATTAAAAAATTTTACGAATGGAGATATTGAAAGGAAAGCCAGAGTTACTGCACCTATGGTTCGTGCTTGCCCAATCGAAACCTTAAGGTCACGATCAAAGTTTCTTGAGTCTTGACGATACGTAAATGTCATTCTCTGTTAAAGACTTTCTAAGCACGTGTTTACGTGAATCTGGTCAAGTTTGGGCTGCAGCAAAGTCGAAAGCATGTGTTCATTTTCAAATAAAGGATCTTACGCACTCTATATAGATGACAAAATGCAAAGGGGGTGAACTGGCCAGCTGTGGAAGAATGGAATCTGAGGGTTAAATGTAGAGCTTGAAAGTAAATTATAGTGCTCCAAAAAATAAAACTTCAAATTAAATCCTAAAAATTTCTTTGCTCCGCGAATGAGCTTCCAAATTCTTTGGATAAATACCGTAAGGCATTTGTGCTCATTCCCAAAAGGGGAATGAACGCTACCCAAAGTTGACAAATTGGAAAGCTAGCTACTTCAATGAAAGGAAGGAATTGAAGCTTCAAATATTGAAAGTTCAGCTGAAAATGGTGACCGAATCCAGGTGATACCTGGTAAAGATTAAACAGGGCGGTCCGTCAGCCACTGAGAATAAACTTTCTACTTGCTTTATCTTTGAAAAAAGACCGCCACTGATAAAGTTCCAGGCGTAGCTCAATCAAGTGAATTTAAAGTTTCAAATTTTATTATTTGGAAAAATTGTAACCATATATTTATTTGATACTTTTACTCTTTTATTATTCTTTGGGTTAACGTCACAAAAGTAAAATATTTAATATAATATTTGGGTTAACAAAAGCACAAGTTTGGTCCCAATGGGAACATAAGACAAATGCAGGTTAAGTTAGAAAAAAAAAAAAAAACTCAAAAAATGAGGAATTGAAGAAATCACAGCCGAATTGGTTGGTGGGCTTGAAGAATGAAAGACTCCCACTAATTGACATGGTCACATTTTTCTTTTGTTTTGCATCAACTGATTCGACCATTGTCCGTTGCCTACGTCAATAAAGATAAGTAACAGAAGTCAGCTCAACTTTTTTTTTTGTTTTGGAATGGTGTACATCCAGCCGAGACTGTATAGAATGTGAGAGGACTGGTTCTTAAGGGAAGTCGACCCACATGCGCTAGCCAGCCTTTGATTAAGGGACAAGCCTTCCTACAATGCTCCAACACTTATTAGCACGATAAGATTGAAACTTTCTTCACGTTCTTCATTCATTGAGGCTTGCTTTGCTTGCTCCAAGTCACCTTTTCCACCTCACAAAAATATGAATAAAATAAAAAAATATTTTAATATTTAATGTGTGGATATGATTACTTGAATTAATAATTACTTGAATAATAAATTATATTTTTAAAATTTTATAATGTTAAATTGATATAAGGTGTTTATTAAATTGTTAGATGTAATGAATGTTAAATTTGTCTTTTTTGCTAACTTAAAAAATTAAAATTAAAATTGTGATTGCAGTAAAAATGGTCCCACAACAGAGGACAGGTGGCCACCACACGCTACATTTATAGTAGTATTTTATCATATTCAAAACAGCAAACCCAACCATTTTGGAGAATAAAGGAAGCCGTAACACGGACACCTCACCCTCCATCACAGGCGAGCGAGGGCCCAAATCCCAAACAGCACCCCACGACCGTCTGGAGCTCCATCTATGCCCCAGTGGGTCCCATCCTCCATCTCCCTCAACCACCAATCATCAGACGACGCGTAGTCTCCGATATTACAACGAGGAACCACGATTGATTCGCTTCAACAGAATACCCGCGATTCCCATTTTTATTTCTCACCCGCATTGAAACGTAAGGAATTTTCTTTTGTTCCTTTTTCTAAATAAAAATATATTTAATTTAATTTACACTTAATTTTTTCTTTCTTCGGCGTCGCGGGTGGCCTTTAAATGGTGACGAGGAAAGTGAGCGGGAACGCGTACAGCTTTCTTTGTTTCCTCTCGACTTAAGCGTCGTACACGATTTTATTATTTCTGCTCGTTACTCTTCTCCTTCTCTCTTTTACATATTCTCTTTTTTTTTCTCTTTGTTTTTGAGATCTGTGCGTTTTTTCCTTTAGCTTCTCTGAAAGCTTCGTTTTGTAAGAACTGGAAACCGTTGCAGGTGCGTTTTAAATCCCTTTCTCAACGTTTAGATCTTTGATTTTTTCGTTTTTTCTGCTCTGTTTCTGTTCTGTTTTTGGATCTGATTACTTCTGCTTGTTGTAGTTTGTATATAAGCTGTTGTATGGAATCCTTGATACGTTTTTCCTTATTTTTTGGGTTTTTTGCCTTAAATTTGTCCGAGTTTAGTTGTTTTTTTTTTTTGCCTTTCTTTTTTTTTCACTTGTTTTGTTGGTGAAAATCATCTGGCATTGATCTTGAGCTCAAATAAATTTTTATCATTTTTGGTGGTTTTGGTTCTTTATTTTCTCCTTTTAGTATTTTCTGTTGATTTAAGTGGTAATAGTTTTGTAGATCTGTGTTTGCTAAGCTATACTCATAAATTTTGTTTCGTTCAAAATATTTTTATAAAAAATCGACTCTGGAATAGCTGTGCGAGGGACTTTGATAGGAAATCATTTTGGTTTTTAAAAAAATCAATTCTCTGCTTGCTCTACCAAACAGAGAGTAAGAAAATTTCTAATAAGCTGAGTTTTTCAGTTGTTTTTTTTTTTTTTTCATTTTCTTTTATATTGTTGAGAGTTTTACCTTCAACTGTTTGTTTATGTTACATAGGATGAAACTCTTCTGCTAATTCCAAGCAGAAAAACTCCGTATAGAATGCAAATCATGATAAGTTTTGTGAAAGTGAAACGACTTTTAGCCTATTTGTGGTGAGGGTTTTCTTTTGGTTGCTTGATTTTACAAGCATTTGATTGGTTAAGCAACATGCTCGATAAAAGAAAGGGAAATTAAAATTTGTAACCGATACAATGAAATTTTTACGATCATTGTTTATTCTTATTGCTTCTAACTTGGGAATTTTTTATGGAACTTTTATTGCAGTAAATTTGATTCAACTGCTTGTGAAGTAGTTATTGATTCAATTTTTTGTAACTTACAGTGATGGCTCCTCCAATTGAGACTCCAACCAAGTCCTCTGACTCTTACTTCTTTTCACATCCTCCTTTGAATGAAAGGATTCTTTCATCAATGGCCAGGAGGTCCGTTGCTGCTCACCCGTGGCATGATCTTGAGATCGGTATGCAATGTCAGCTTATGCTGTGTATAGTTTCTTTTGGGTTGTTCCCATAATCTAATAACTTTCTACTTTTTTACTATTTAAAATTTCTGTTATAGGACCTGGAGCTCCAGTGGTTTTCAACTGCGTAAGTATACTAAACGTTACCTTCTTCCCAATTATTAGCATTACATTTTGAATAGCATGTCTGGCATGAGATGAAATGCTTCATAAATTCCTACAAAATATACTCATTTGATTGTCTAACACATTTCTTATATACATTTGGCCTTTTAGATATTTTCAAATGGTCATATTTCTCAGTTATTGTGATCGATATTGATTTGAGAAAACGAATTAAGAATTAACATTTATGCAATTCCCTTAAAAAGTTGAAAGATAGTAAAGTACTTGAGAGTTCTTACTTGATTATTGTTAAATGATGATCTGGTTAATATATATTTGTAGGTGATTGAAATTGGGAAAGGGAGCAAGGTGAAATATGAACTTGACAAGAAAACTGGTCTGATCAAGGTAATTGCTATTTACTACCCAAATGTACTTGCAACACCTTATATACTGCTAATCGTTCGCTGATGAAAGGTGCATAAATTTGCAGGTTGATCGTGTGCTTTACTCATCAGTAGTGTATCCTCACAACTATGGTTTCATCCCTCGTACTCTTTGTGAAGACAATGATCCCATGGATGTCCTAATTATTATGCAGGCACGCTGTTTGATCCCATGTTATTGAAAATATCAGAGTTTAATGTGCAGTTGCATAAAATATTTCATGCTTTGAAACTCTCTCTTGTATCGCTTTGGTTTGTCCAGGGCACTGTGATTGACATGGCCCATAAAAGTGAATCATTGGGTAAAATAATTATGTTGGCCGTACACCTGCCAATGCCGTAATCATTACTTTTAAGGCAATACTTATGTTACCATTGAAATACATACAGGAACCAGTTCTCCCAGGATGCTTTCTTCGGGCTAAAGCGCTAGGTCTGATGCCTATGATTGATCAGGTAGACATTAGCCACTGATTAAAATACTCCTGACTCTTGGATATATGTTTAAAAGCGAATAAGAGAAACCGCTCAATTTTGTGAATGCAGGGTGAGAAAGATGACAAGATTATTGCTGTCTGTGCTGACGATCCAGAGTATCGTCACTACAATGATATCAAGGAACTTCCACCCCACCGTTTGGCTGAGATTCGCCGCTTCTTTGAAGACTGTATCCTTGCTAATTATTCTTAGTAGCAAAACAGTTGCTGCATGTTAACTTTCTATTTCCTGATACTAGGAAGGATATCTATTTTAAACTGCTCCTTTCTGTGAAGCATGTTAACTTTCTTTTTCCTTAATAAATACTTCAGACAAAAAGAATGAGAACAAGGAAGTTGCTGTTAATGACTTTCTGCCAGCCTCTACTGCTTATGAGGCAATCCAGCATTCCATGTAAGTGATAGTTCCCCGTCTCTAATTCCCTGTGCCTCTGGCAAGAGAAGTACATGCTGCGTAAATCAGACTTTCTTTTCTCATACTACTTATGGTTGGCATGGTCATGCATCTATAAATGCATTTCCCTTGTTTGAACGAAGATTATTATACGCATCTACATGCTGTCCAGTGTCCAGGTCCCTTGTTTGGCGCATGTGATTCTCTTGTTTTAAACTTTTGCTTGCGGTCCATTTGCATTTATACTCCCTAAATCAGTTTCAAAATAGAGTTTTAATTTCATTTCAACATTCTGTTTTGAAGGAATCTCTATGCGGACTACATTGTGGAAAGTTTGAGGCGGTAGTTGTTCATCGCATCTCCATCCATATATGCATGCCGACTGCACCCTGCACGCACTGGTTTTACAACAAAGTAAATGTGTGCTTATCCCTCATAGTACATTTTCTAGGTGAAATGGTTATTTGGTGTTTATTAATTATGACAATTATGCAATGATGATGGCGATAATTTTGCATAAATCTCACTGTAATGATGATGGCTATAAAATTTTTCCTTTGTTGCCTCGATTTTGTTTTTTTTTGTTGTATAATAATACCTGTTTGATGTACCATAGTTTACAGTTTTGTGAATTGTTTTATTGTTATTTGTTATTTGTTATTTGCTTAAACAGAATTGCCCGCTATGATGGATATCTTTCTAGTTCTGCAACCCTTTCATTCAGTCCATGTTTTCTTTATTTTTCACTTGCTATGGTTGTCGATAAACAAATGCGAACCATGATGTTTTTGTATCGAATGCCACCAGTGTGGTAGCCTAGCTTGACCATTGCTCAGAGCAGACAGTTCTGGTGGAAGTCAGAAGTTGGAACATTTTGAATTTGCTGGGACGGGATATGTAGATTTGATGTGTAAAAGCCAGAGCTGAACTCTTGGGCGGCATGGTTATGATCGAGTTCATGGCAAGGAGTTGCAATAGGTTCTAATGATCTATTAAAAATTAATTTTTAAAAATAATTAAATGAAACAACGAAATTAAATTTTTAAAAAAGTTTATTCCCGTGAGCAAAAATTTTAAAACTACAATATTTTCTTAACACCCTCAAATATATCAATTTTATTTATATTGAATAAAAATTTTAAATTTTTTATTCAAATAAAAAAGAGAGTATTATATTATAAGAATAATAATATTTATAATTTTAGATTTTTATTAGATACGAAATAAAATGTATAATATAAAATTCATCTTGTATTTACATATATAATTTTATATATTTAATAAATAAATTTTATTAATAATATAAATTATTATTTTAAGTTAATTAGAATTAATAAATTTTATTAAAATATATATTAATATATATTTATAAAAAACTTATTTAAATATATAAAATAAAATTTAAAAAGATAAATTTTTATTTTTATTTTTGAAAAAATTTATAAATATAAAAATTACTTATATCCATTAAATTTTTATAAAAGTAAAGATAAGAATAAATTTAAAATATTCTATTCGCATAAAGATAAAAACATATATAATATAAAAATCTAAAAATAAAGATAAAAATCCTCTGCCGAACCACACGCGCATTAACATCCTAGTTACCAACCACGTATGCCCACTTTACCTCCATAATTAGGAATCATACCAATTCCTAAAAAATCTGCAGAAACGCCCTCTCCTCTCAGATTAGCCTCACAAAACCCAAAACCCTCTCTCTTTCCCTAAAACCCTAAGCCACTCTTTTCACGGTCAAAAGACAAAAGAAAACACGATGAGCTCCTTCACCAACACAACCAACTTCGACAGCCTCCTACTCCAAACCCTGATGAGAAGACTCCAAATCTGTCCAAACAACAACAACAACAGCCCCTTTCTCACCCAATCCCTCGAAGACCTCCTCGTCGACGCCGCCAATTTGTCTGATTCCGACTTCGACGATACCAACAAAGCCCAACTCGCCAAAGAGGAATCCAAGCTCGAAAAAGAAATTATCCGGATCATCCTTTCAGGAAAAACCGACCCTTTAAAACCCAACTCTGGTCAAGCCGTTACCATCAACGACCACCATATTTGCGTCACTTTTCAAGAAGAGAAGGGATCGGATTATCGGGTTTGGGAGTGGCATGGGCATATAATGTTGTTTGATGAAGAGAATGGATTTACGCCTGAATACATTTACGGCAATTACTTTGAGAGATTGCAGGGGAAGCCGCTTGTTGCACGTGTTAAGGAAGAGAAAGAGAAGGAGGTGGAGGAAGATGAGGAGGAGGACGAGAAGGTTGCGAATTTGGGATTGAGGGAGTTGATTGATGGAGCTGCTGATTCGGGTGGGGGTCGGATTCTTCACAGGAATATTAATGCCGGTTCTCCAAGGTTTATATAAATGTAAAATACCCTTTCATTTATCTTCGCATTTGTACTCAAATTTGATGCTATTTTTGATGTTTTGAAGTCTGTTTTTTTGGGGTTCGAAATTTAACTGTGAAATTGGAAATATTTCGTTCTTTAGCTTCTGGTTTTTCCTTCTTGTGCATGTGAAAAGCAAGTTTTAACCAACTCTCTCATCCAATCTTATTGTTTTGTTAAAGTGTGTACTTGGTTTGTAAGTCTTTTGTAGAAAAAGAAAATGATAGTGTTTAATTGAAACTGATTTGGAAACGTGAAGATATAGTGATTGCAATCATGTCAAATACCGCTGTTAGATTATGTACCAAATATATATATATATATATACACACACTGATGTTAGATGCAGGGTCTTATATATGGCTTTTGGTCAAGTATTAGTTTTGTAATACATGTAATCATAACAAATTGCTGGCAGTGGTATTGCTGCTGGCAGCAGTGAGTGGTATGTTGGCAGGTATGGAATGATATGAATCACTTGCAATGGTAATTGAACCTTTTTCATGCTCGTATTCACAACGGAGGTGTGTCTGATATGCAATAATAGCAGTCATCTCACATGATTAGAAAACAATTGGAACATTTATTTTGTTGTTTGTCATCATTCAGCAGAAAAATGAATTAGCTTGAGCTACCGAGAGCATAATTATTGTCTGATTTCTTATTTTAATTTTTGGTGAACCATCATCTGTATTAGATACAAGAGATGTAAGGAAAGAAGCCAGTATTTTTGGATGTTAAGAAATGGAATGGAAAGTCTGTTTGATGTTTGAGAACAACTTATTGGATTTTAGTTGGGTTTAAAACTACGTCTGTATTTGTAGTACATTTATAACCTCAAACAATATTGATGATTAGATATTGGAGACAAGTATCACAAAATGACACATAAGGAAAATAAAACAATTTTACAGGAATCGAATGTCTTGAGTTATTTAGTCTTGACTTCATTTTTTAACTTACATTTGAGTGCTTGGTTGTATTATTTCTATGAGCTTTCCAATGAATAAATGTTCAATCATTCATTTTTTCCCCTTTTGAAACAGGATCTAGATCAGAAGTTTACTTCGCGCTTTTTGGGTTTCAAAAGGAGAAGGCTATCAATCAATGCCTCATTCAGTTAATGCTTGAAGCTTTTGGTTGATACCATGATGCATGCTACTGAGCGGGCAAAGGTTTCATCTGGTTTCTTCTATGGTTTTAGCATATGAAATATGGAATTCGGATACCAATAGAAGCTGTTTTCTTTGTATAACAAGACCTCATTTTGTTGAAACAGGTTTTTTTTCGTTTATGAGTTGAATATCTATATGCATCAGTCTGCTAATTAGAGTTTGTTCATTTGTATGATGTTTGGCAATAACATGGTCTCATTTTGGTGTCCTACTGGTGCTTGAAGTTTTATTTTGAATTGGCTATAACCAATGTTATCTCTCTTTCTCCCCTCCCCCCTCTTGACCATTCCTATGTTGATTTTTGTGGTATCTTTGATTGTCATTAGATTTTGTCGTTTATACCATGAAGTTCTTCAGTTTTAGAATGTGTGATCATTTGATTACCATTCCTTTACGCGAGAAGCCTAATCCTCTGGGTTTATAGCAATCTCATCAGCCATTGCCTAGGTTATAATCATAGCCAATGAATAAATTTTACATCGTTATAATTTTCAGTTGATTTTTTTTTGGGTTGGGGGGGTTGTTCTTATTACTCGACGGACCATAAATAAAAGATACATGAATTAAATATCAAAGTATTTGGTTCGACAATAAATTTATTTATTCTCTGGTTTTGACTTTTGAAGACAAAGCATACTGGCCCAATTTCAATGCTTTGTATTGGGCCATGGAGATTGACAAATTGCAGATTTAGAACAGATTCCAAATGCAAAGCCCAGTCATTTTCCGGTTTCCTCGATTAATAACATTATCTCAACCGTCCACGTCTCTCCCTGCACAGCGCCTCAGATCGAGTCGACTCAAACAAGGCCACATCATCGATCCGCGTGAAACTCAATCAACCAATCAAATTCCATCTCACCTCTGTATATAATGAATCCTATCTCGCCTCTCATTCTTCAACCGAACTCCCTCAAATAACTCTTGCCCGATTCTTTCTCATTGGGTTCACCGTCTCTTGAAAGCTACAATTTTTCGTCCCATCTTCATAATCAATGGCACCAAAGGCCGAGAAAAAGCCGGTGGCGGAGAAAGCCCCAGCAACACCGGCAGAGAAAAGGCCAAAGGCGGAGAAAAAGATCTCAAAAGAGGGCGGAGAAAAGAAAAAGAAGAAGATTAAGAAAAGCACAGAGACGTACAAGATTTACATTTTCAAGGTATTGAAACAGGTTCATCCTGATATTGGGATCTCAAGCAAAGCCATGGGGATTATGAACAGTTTCATCAACGATATCTTTGAGAAACTGGCTCAGGAGGCTTCGAGATTGGCTAGATACAATAAGAAGCCGACGATTACGTCGAGGGAGATCCAGACGGCGGTTAGATTGGTCTTGCCTGGTGAATTGGCCAAACACGCTGTCTCTGAAGGAACCAAGGCGGTTACCAAGTTTACCAGTTCTTAGATTTGTTGGTTTGGTTCAGATCGGAATCCAATTGGTGAATTCAGTTTCTGATTTTATTTTATTTTATTTTTTAAAAAATAATGCTTTAACGTTCTAGCTGTAATGGATAGAAAAATGGAAATGGGTTCAACTTTTTTTAATACAATATTTTTGGATTTAGTAATTATGAGTTTAAATATTTATCTATTTTTTGCTATAATCGTTGGTTTGGGCGATAAAATGGGAAATGAAGAGTTGGATTGAGATGGAGGATGATAATATAGAATATAAAACGACGTGATGATATAAATATGATATAAATAAAAAATATTATATAATTAAAAATTTTAATAATAATTATATGTACTTAATAAAACTTAAAAAATATTTTATATTTTTATGTTAATATTAGTTATGATACTAATTGTTAGATTTAATAAATTCATAGACAAGAGTGAATATTACGTCATAAGATTTTTTTTTTTTCCGACTCGTGATTTTGATGTTTCGTTGAACTTGTCTCAACGGTTTGTGATGGATTCCAATTCCAAAGAACGTCCAAAAACGTAGGGGAAGAGAGGTAGATTGTTGAACAAACAATTGAGGTGGAAAGACAGTTATGGGATGGTTGAAGGTTCAAGCCATAGGAATAAATGTTACTTTTCCAACCAAGAATTTAAGAGGAGGGAAAACGTATCCAGAATTTCTCTGAGGTGAGTTCAGGTCAAGACATGAAGTGAACGGGAAGCAAACTGAGAGTTGAACAACAGAGAATTAATAGAATGGCCATAGATTCCTACCTGACATCAACATTTTTCTACAACCAGTATACACAAATGAAGCTACTTACACAAGATAAATAAGAAGCAAAGACTAGACTAGGCCTTCTTGTGTGACTTCTTTGGAGACTTTGTAGCCTTGGATGATGACTTAGGTTGTATTTGGATACGTGATTAAATTAATTTCAATAAAATTTTTAAAAAATAATTATTATTATAGTTATAATTAAAAAAATATATTATAACTTTAATTAAAATTTTTTATATTAAATAAATTTTATTAAAATTAATATTTAAATTTAATTAATAATATAATCACATTACATCAAAACTACGATAAAATCCAAATCTAATTTTAAGTAGGTGCCACGTCATTTATAAAGCGGTTGAAATCAAGTGACAAAGATCAACGGTGTTTAATTTTTCTTCGTAACTAACTATCAGTGGGCCTAGTTGAGCCCATAGCGCAACCTATTTGAGAGTAAGCCCACTTTGAACGAAGTTGAGTCATTATTTTATTAATATTATTTAAATATAAATATTGATTTAATATCTTTGATAAACATCAGCAAAAAAAAAATCGCAGTCAGAGAAAAAAAAGGTGCAAATGATTGAAACGTGTACGTTCCTGATTCGGTCTTAAATACCGCCAATATCCATTGACTCTCACAAGATTCTTTTCTCTTTGTGTTAGGCTATTAGCGTAGTATATCTCTTTCTCTTCTTTTCCTTCGCTGTTCCCATCCACTTCCTCTGCTTCTTACCAAATGTTTTTTATTAGGGTTTTTTCATCTTAATCTCGATCGATCGAAGAAATAAGAGAAAATTTTAGGGTTTTTTCTCGTACAAATTAGGGTTTCGAAGAGCATAAGAAGATAACATGCCTTCGTTACCTTTCGAATCGATTTTGCCTCCGTTGATCCCTTCTTTGACTCCTTTTCATACTGGTTTATGTTTCCATTGTTCGAAACATCTTGAAAAAAGTGATCGGCGTGGTAATCTTAGTTAACATTTTTCAATCAATCATTAAATTTTTTTTAGTGATTTTGTTCCCTCTTTCTTCTCTCTCCTTTTTCCTCTGTGTTTTCCGTCTTCTTCTAGATTCTTCTTTTTATTTTATATGTGATTACCGTACGATCAGAAGAATCTAGTTTATTCAGAAAATCGGAGGTTTTGTTCGATCGTGAACTGGGGATTGTTCTTTTCGGAGGTTTTAAGGTTTTGAATTGATTGCAGGAGCTGTCTTAATAAAGGTATAATCTTATCCATTTAGCACGTGCTATCCGCACGTGTACTGAACAGCCATTGGATGCTTGAATTGTTTATTGAAATGTTACTCGTCAAAGAATGAATCCCAGAAATTTTTGTTGCAATTTCTTCTTTCCTATTTTATTTGTTCATAATGTTTCAATTTTGAGTTCATCTTAATTATATGTTTTTTTTTTCTCTTCAAAGACTAATAATGGGATTTTTTTTCCACTTCTTATTGATCAATCCGATGAGATTTTGTTCAGGTTTTGTATCCATTGGTATTGGAAATGGACATATTGGGAGAGGTTTATGATCTCAGTGACATAAAGCAAGCTCTGCTTCATGCTTGTTTGAATGAATGTGATAATAAATCTGATGTGGAAGAGTTAGTTGAACAGGGACATCAAAGCAAACCTCGTGAAAAGTTTTTAGGCAAGTGTGCTTCATTTCCTTCTGCTGTATCTCCTTCTGGAGATGATGATGAAATTGAAACTGCATTGAGGCGAATGTTCTCAGAGGATTCTGTGCAGTCACCTTACTCCCACGCAATTTCTTTGCCTGTAAGAATCTTTAGTTAGGCCTTTGTTTGTTTAAGTTTCGGTAGGTCCATTAACCCCTCTTTTTATCCATTCGTTCTTGCATTTAACCTTAACAGACTCCCATGAAGCTAGTGTCTGCCCTTAAAGTTGGCCGTGAGAAAAGGGGATTAGCACGGATGAACCTGACAGTGACATGGGCCCCTGATGTGTATGATCCTCCGCCAACGTCAGTATCGCACACAGTTAGGGGCAAAAAGCAGCAGAAGTCGAAGAAGAACAATGACAAGAAGAAAATTGGAAAGAGAGGGCAGAAGGGAAACAACTCCTCACGTGGTAGTGGTGGTGGTGGTAAAGACAACAAACAGTTTCGCAGAGGCTGTGGGAGTTCTGATCGGTGTTATAAACCATTGCAGGTTCAGGGTAGAGTAGTCAACGCCGCTGGTGACCTTGATGGTTTCAATGTTGGCAGTCCAGCCCCATATTGTGGGAGTAGTTTTCTGAAAAATTCACCCACTCGGGTGCACTACTCTGTGGCTTAGGCTCCATGAGTAAATCTCTCTCCTTTCTCATCATGGAGAAAGGACCTTGCTTTTTGTAGATAAATAAGCTCTTTTTTATTATGGATATTTGATTTAGTGCAATTATCAAGTGGTCTCTCAGGCTAGGCTCATTGGGCGCAGGTTTCTGGATCCACTTTCTTAGTCAGTTGAAGAAGAGAGTTCACCAAGACGAAGAAAGACTTTGTTGTTTTGATAATGGTGTGGGAACCTGAACTGTCTTTTGCTTTGTAAATAGAATATTATTATTAGTGCTTGATGACAAGACTGGCGAATGAAATGGAGTTTTATGCTTATTATTTATCAGTTTGTGAACTTACATAATATTTCCTGTAGGAAACATGCCTTCTAAATCCATTAAGTTTGCAACATAACTATGCACGCAGGTTCTTCGTTTTTGCTGTTGGCCTTTTTGCAAGAGTCTAAAATCACACAATGTCTTCTATGCAACAGGGCATTGTAACTTTCCATGTAAAAATGTCTTCTATGTTGTATATTCTGCGTTTATTTTGACGTAGTCGTAACTTAAATCACACCCCCATGCTTTACCATAGCCTGGTCCATCACCTGTTGCAGGTCAATCAAAAACATTAAGATCCCATGACGATCAGATGGTAAAGGTTAAGGCAATGTTTGTGTCAAATTTGGTGTAACTTACCAACAACAATTTTAATTTCCACCGTTCCATGTGTCTCACCAGCTTTACTAAGATAGTTGCTGGCTGCCACCCTGAAATTATATATAGGGCAATTATGATTAGGAGTAACAGGTTTGATTTTCGACTAATTCACGAGGTCACTCTAAATAACTCGTAAATTCTCCTTAGGATACTGAAGATCTAATCAGGTTTATCTAATAATGATGCATCAAAAGCACTAGATAAGTGCATGATATATATGTGGTTCCACAATTAATCTCAAAATCTATCCTGTGACTGCTTTCTTTCTAGCATGTCATTTTATGTTTTTTGCATTGTCAGAAGGAACCGACAGCAACAATGAGCAAACTTTACCTGTCGAACTCAAGTGGTTGCCCGCCATCCATGAGCATAATATCTCCAAGCAGTATCTGCAGGTTGTTTGAGTCAAAAGAAATCCCTGCATAGCCAGCAGCAGCAGCTATACGTCCCCAGTTCGGGTCTCTCCCATATACAGCAGCCTAACAGTATTAATTATATTAGAAAATGCTAAGATTAACTGTTAGATGGATTTTATTTAAAAGTTCATGCCTTGACAAGTGAAGAAGCAGCCACTGAGCGTGCAATCTTTCCTGCTACAGCCTCTCCTTTTGCACCAGTTACAGTGACCTGCATCTCTAGGTTAGTGTTCACCTAAATATTCAAAATCTCCATTACATAAGAAAAAAGACCACCCAAGAGATTTTTGCAGCCTAAAACTTCAAATGCATTAGTGCCCAATATCAGAGCAAGTTGTTAGTTAAAGTGGCTTAATATCAGTGGTCTCTTGAGTTGAGTGGGCAGATGTATGCTATTCAACTTGGTTCATTCAGTAAGAAAGATCTTTCTAGGGTCAAAAAAGAGAGGAAAGAAAGAATTGAAGAATGCAGACCTCAATTAAACACGTAGCTCCTTCTCCATCCCAAGCTATTGATTTGGCAAGACCTTGCATTACCTGAGAAGAGATATGTTAAAATTTCAAGTAAATTCATTCCAAACACTGGTTTAAATCAAAAGGCTAACCCAAGTGCTATCATCCCAAAAATTTACCAAACTCTAGTAGTTTGTGATATAGATAAATTTTGATATTTGTGTTAACATTGCCAGAAAAAGAAAAGCAAATATGCAATCAACTATAAATTTCGAGATGTGTAGATGGGATGCTATGTATTTATTCATTGTATAAGAAACCTAATTTAAACTGGATAGGTTGAAGGAAAAGCTCAATTGCAGCCAAACTTACTGCATCAAGACCAGTTTGAAGTAGTGCAGCCTCGTAACTGTTCATAGAAGTGATCCAATTTGATCCAGCTAACCCACTAGCAAAAGCAATGACTGTATCATTGGTACTGGTATCTCCATCAACCTGTAGCAAAACAATAAGCGAACTAGCTAAAGACAAAGCAGAGACCAAATAGACCATGTCATGGAAGAAAAGGAGTCCATTCAACCAAGATATCACCTAATTGAAATAAGTAACAGGGAGGGTTAAAAGCAATGAAGTTACATACAGTGATTTGGTTGAAACTGCGGCTTACGGCAACCTGAACCATCTTTCTCCAGACATCACTTTCAACTAGGGCATCAGTTGTTATTACCTGAAAGAGGCATCAACCTTGATAATAGAATTGGAGTTATATGCTATAGAAAAGTTAGAAACACTCGAAAGACATACACCAAGCATGGTTGCCATATTAGGGTGGATCATCCCAGAACCTTTTGCCATTCCCCCAACTCTTATACTTGTCCCTCCAACCTGAGAAAATTAATTATTTATCCAATGACATAAGATACAATTAATAAAAGACTTGATTCTTAAGAAGCCTTCAAGTTCTACAGTGTTGAGACAATTCTATCATCTTAATTGGAAAAGATATTGATTTCTGACAAACAATTACCAAATAATAGCAAAAAGCATATTAAATTGTTATCCCTTTGAAACTATTACTTACCTCAAATTCAATTGCAACACTCTTTCTAACGAGGTCAGTTGTGGTAATTGCCACTGCAGCAGAATCTGCCCTGAACCACAATTTGACCAATGGTGTTTAAGCAAAATTTGAAATACAACCACACAAAAGACCAATTATGGAATCATTTGCAGATATACAATTTAATTCCTGCACATCTAAGTGTTAGGCCTCTAGTCCTAGTTGTAATTTAACAACAATGGAAAAATACCATTATAAATAACTTCATGGATCAGACTAAGTGTGCTTAGTCCTTTGCATAAGTGTGGAAGCATGTGAAATAAACCCCACCCAACTCCAAAACCAAAAAAAAAAAAAAAGTATAAGAAGTACCCCTTAATAGATGGTGATAGCGAATTAACTAGCCTTGGAAGTGAACTCAAAAGTGCTTCCTGCATATCACATTATCAACAGAATATCCACTTAAGAATGAGAATCATGGATTGTATTACATCAGTCTGGAAAAAAGAATGTACTCGCAATTCACTTCAATGGCTCACTAATAGATCAGCATAACAAGCAAGCATATAAATGGGATGCACATGTTCAAGGTAGAAGGATAAAGGGATCTGCACCTTCTTTATTCTATGACCAATCACACCAGTGGATTCAATCAACACTTCCTCAGGCCTTATTTGAAGGATCTGCAACAATACAAACGAAAAAAGAGAGTGAAAAAGAATTCAGCCTGTAGAAAGATCTCTATGAGTACAAGGAACTTTATGCTCTAAAAGTTGCATACTGTAGCAAGGGCATTTGCGCATTCTATCACATCCTGGTAACCAGCATCACCCTGAAAATCATTGGAAGGTCAATTAGCCATGTAAAGCCTGATTTAATCTGGCATGTCTGAAACACAATAAGAAAATAGTCAAATACTGATTCTTTTCCCATGTTTAAGACGCACAAAAAAATGGAGCACATTTAAATGCGCTACACTCTTCAATAAGCAAATGACTTCCAGATAAAGACCAAAGAAATATAGAAAATAATGCTACTTTGACAAACCGTTGCTGCATTGGCCTGACCAGCATTTATTAACACAGCACGCGCCTGACAAGATGCATGATTTAGTCATTAGCCATATAACATGGAAAATCAAACCAAATATATATAACTGAACTGGGCAGATATACTGACATACATACCAAAAGAACATCTACTAGGCATAAGCTAAGAAATCCCACAAAGGCAATTCAAAATCAAATTATTTCTTTAGTTCAAGACTAAGTTTACAAGAACATCGTCCTTCCTATATAAGGATGAATAAGATAGCCAATCTGACATACCGTTTTGGTACTATTCAGCACATTTTTGCAGTACACCACCGGTGCTGCTGCAACCACATTTGTAGTAAATGCTCCTGGGAATAGAATTCCAAAGAAGTTATAAAATAGCCAGAAACTCGACACTATTTTCAGAATAAACTAAAGTTTTTTTTAAAAATGAAATATACAATAATGTTTCTAAATATACAATAAGCATCCAAAATTCCACCTGCAACATTGGCATCGACGTCGCAAGTGACAAGCGCAAGATCGGGTTTTTCTCCTTTAGCGCGTAATCCACCATATAAGCCGGCAGCTTTAAATCCCTTAGCCGCGGTAACTCCCCCCGGAATCTATGAAATCGCAACCGGAAAAAAAAGGATAAAATTCGCAAAATTAGATAGAAAAAAATCAAAAATAAAAAAGAATTAATAATCGAATAATAATCAAGTGGCAGACCTGCTTCCACACTCCATCAGGGAGAAGAATAGGAGCTGCTGGTATATAATTGGACGCCTCATTAACGTTTGATGCAGCCGCAAATACTTTAAAATCCGCCTTTGACGAACAAATAGAGCTTATAATCTGCAAAAAAAAAATGAAAAAAGGAACTTAAAAAAATATGTTGTTTCAGGGCAGCCAAACAGAGACTTTAAGCGGAAAAGGAGAAAATGGAGTTTGACCTTACTATGGGAAGACATATCAGAGAATTTCAAAGAGACGAAATGCGGAGCACATGAATACATTTTTGCACGAAAGCGTGTGAAGCTCAGGGAATCTTTTGGCTTTTTTTTTTAATTTTTGGAGGGGGTTTGAAAACGGAGAGAAGAAATGGAAGAAAACGAGAGAGATTTAATGAGGGTTTATGGGCGGCGGCGGCGGAGTTGAGTGGCGGCCCGACGGAATAAATTTTTTCACGTGGAATCCACGCCGTTCTTTCACTAATAATTGCGTTAGTATTGGTAATAAACTTGTTTTATTAACCCGAACTTATCTGGTTTTGGGCCGAGTTGCCTTTTTTATTGTTTGCTCACCCAAGCCCAATTCAAGTGGTCGAAAGCATAAAGGAATAAGTACTAAATAAAAAAAAAAAAGAGATCCAATAAGTAAAAATCTGTGGCGAGTTTGATGGTTCAAAGTATCAATTGAACTTCGGCACAATACACATTTAACAGGCCCAATGATGAATACGAATGTGTTTAGTACAAAAAATTTTGACAGGTTTCCCCATCCCAAATAGCCTTCAAATAATTCTCTCCATGGCTCCACCTTTGTTTAACTCAACTACCCGCACCATCAGACCTTTTTGTTTGTTCTGAAACCATCTCCGGAAGACCCTGATTCAAATCCCAGTGGAGGTCTGATTTCCCTTGGTTTGGCAGGGTCTACAAAAATAACCCATCCATGCAAGAACTTGGCATTCATTTCTTCCAACAAAACCAATCTTCCAGTTGCTCTATCTCTTACGACTTTGGCTGCAATATCATTAAAGCAATATATCAGGTTGAAAGCAAAACGAAGAAGTATGCAAGTGAAGAAACTTAACTCTAAAGACCAAAGGAACAAGAGACGATGTGGGGAAGGAAAAGAGGGTATTAAACTAAACCTTCAACAATCTGGCCAAATGGGTTAAATGCCTCTTTAAACTGTTCATCTGTTTTTTCTCCTGAAAGGCCTGTTCGATTCACTAGGATAAGGATTCAACAATGCTAAAAGGAACCATTAACTGAAATATAAGAAAAAAAGAAAAAAAAATGGTGTAAAGTTCTTTAATTTCTTATGTAGGAACACCACCGCCTTAAGGAGAAAAAGGGTGATTCTAACTAAAATTTCAGCATGCATCAACCGTAATAGAATTCATCCGGGAGTTCGTATGCCATTGAACTATAAAACTAGTTTTTCATCCCTGTAATTACTAATATCCATTATGCAGACTGATACGTTCTCCCTATCCTAATTTTAACTGTCTCAGATGGCAACCGGAGTTCCCCCAAACACTTCAGCAAATGGCAAAGAGGTTTTGAACTCTATAGAAATCAACTGAAGTGCCTGAGGGAACTCTAGTGGGCACCTAGCATACCTTTTTTCCTAGTTCTTATAGCTTGGTAAAGTAAATGCCAGCTGTGTTTATTTATATTGTGTTCTCCACTTCTACTGTAGGAAACAAAGGGCCATCTCAGAGTCTCAGAGACTAAGATGGCTTGAACCTAGACATGATCTTGGGTTGAATGAAAAGGTGAAAATGAGAGGACAGAAGGAATTTTACCTTTATGCTCCATAACATTTCCAACCCTGTCATTTTCAACAATCTGTGAGAGAATATGCATCTGATCCGCATGCATATGCAGACACAAATCCATCTCAAAGCTTTCCTGCCACTCTTTTGCGAATGCTATCGATTCTTCATTTCACCCACAATTGTGACTAGGTTCAACATGATCTGCTTGAATTCTTTCCTTCGAAACCCGATTGTAACTGTAAAACAACCGAACAAAAAGAACGGATAGTTCATCACAAGAAAGAAGGTACTGTAAGCCAGTAACAACCCTACAACTGTTAAATGTAGATTTTGCTACCACTCAAACCCTTGAGAATTACATACTTCCAAGTTGGCACTTCGATAAAAACATTCGACTGTTATGCGGACAAAGAAATCAGCAGTCAGCGAAATCCTTTCCTTTTGCCCAAAAAATTGACATTGTAAAGCCAATCAATCATAATGGATAATAGCATTGAACTTCATGGTACGACAAATTATTTATCAGGCTCTACAAGTTGCCCGCCTTTGTTCACCTAATCCAAAGCCAATTAATTTCTAAACTACAATGCCAGTGAATTTGTGGGTTTGTGGTGTATTTGCATACCTAGACTTGGAAGCCTGAGACCCTAAATAACCTCGCCCATAACAAATAAAGGTAGCAACCTCAAGTGTAATAGAAGTCCTTTAATTGAATTCCCATCTGTTTGTTTCTTTTCCTTTCAATTTGTGGTGTATCAATTACGCATTTATAGATTAAAGAAGGAATTATAAACCTATTCGCAATCTAAAAAAAAACCCAATACACTGGATGAGATAGGACTATGCTATGCTCAACCAAGATAAACCTAATCAAAGCATTAAAACAAAATTTTTACCTTTCCAATCCTGAAAGGATTCCTCATTTATGGATGTACCAGCAACGTCTTTGATCACTTCATCCAGAATGCTGAGCGGAGCAGTCTTTAGTTCTTGAATAATATTATATATTGACTTCCCATTCTCCAAGTTTATGTGATTATTTGGATGCCTAGTTTTGGCACCAGCATGCTGCTCAAACTCATAGGCACTCCGCACCTACTCACACACCACAAAGCCATTCAGCTAAAATAATACCCATAAGCACTAAAAGAACAAGTAATAGTAAAAATTAGAACAGCTGAGTGACTCACTTTGGAGAGATTACAAAATGAGCATCCACACAAATATCCACCCTTACGAAAAATTCCATCCAGTACTCTCTAACAACCATAAAAAAATGGTAATAACTTTCATAAACAAGTCAATACTTAACGAAAACAAAGTTAACCTCCATCAAAACTTAATGTAGATAGGAAAAAAAAAAACAATTTACCTCCATCGAGATAGAAATATACTTAACTCGGGCTCCATCAAGAATGCCAATTCCTAACAACTTCTTAAAATTTGTAGCGTAGTTACTAGGAACAATCTTCTTAGACATTTTCAATTCCATATTGGGAGCACAAGAATATCGACTACTCCATTCAACAGAACCATTCCTATAAATATTTTCTAGGTTCATACATTCCCCACCAACTGAATACGACGTTTCACTATCATACACATTTGAGAACTATCATTCCCATTTGAGAACTATCATTGAGAATCTCCTCAGAGCTTGAATTCCCGGAACAAATAGTGGTAACCTCACGTAAACAGCTTAGTTTCTGCTGCTTATGTCATGGAAACTAGACGTGTTTTCTTTAGGAGAAACAACTGGATTAAAAACCTCTGATCGAATATCTTCATTGGAAACTTCTTTCGCTTGTTTCTTGTTAGGGGATGTCTCCATTTCAAATTCTGGTTCCTGTTGAAGACAATCACGGTCTCCCTGCAGTTCAGGCTTAGTACAATTTACATCCTCCATAATCTTTTCAGTTGAGATTCCGTAACAAACTGCTGCTTCAGCCATTCAATAACAATTTGTTTCCAAATTTCTAATAATGACAGCATTCAAAAGTGGAAACATACATGAACCCTAAAATTTCACTATATACTGAAGCTTGAATGCGTGTCCCCAAAGCAATGCTAAACCGACATTGTTCTTAGTATGAAAAAAAAAAAAAAGACTAACTGCAAAACGAACTAAAGAAATTTTTAATTCAACTAACAAACTATTCAAAAAGAAAATCCAATAACCGCTTAAATGTCATTTAAATTTGAAATATAACCGAACAAACCACCTATAAAAGCCAAGAATCAACGAAAATCTACAGAAATCGAATCCAAATAACAAATAGTTCTGGAAAAAATCGAAGAATAAAGCATGCACGAGTGTTGAAACGCCAGATTTCAAATCTCGCGGATATGAGATTCGTGGAAAGTAGAAAAAAAAATAGAAAGAAAGAAATTCAGGTTGGGTTAACAATAAGCACGAAAGATTTGTGCTAGGGTTTTTTATTTTTTATGTGAATAAAAAAAAAAAAGAGAGAGAGAGAGAGAAGAATTTGAAGAGGGAACGTGGAAGGCGGCAGCAGACAGAAGGTAAAAAAAAAACCTTTAGTTCGCGGTAACTGTCCAGAAAGAAAGAAGATGGAGAGAGAAAATAAATCTGATTCAATAGGAAATTAGGAATAATATTTTATTTTTGAAAATTTTGAAAATGTTGCTGACGGATGTCTGGTGGAACTTGGGGATAAATAAATCAATGAGAATCCACCACGTGGAATTACTGCGGTAACTGCCCTGGACACCTGTGTATTAAAGGTCTGTTTCACGTTTAATACTGATTATTATTATTATTATTATTTGTTGGGCCTGGAGGAAATTAAGATTTATCCATTCTTTTTGGGGGCTTTTTCTGCCCAAGTGGACACAAGACAAACGCAATATTTGTTTTTGGGCTTTTGATCAATATGTGGTGAAATGATATTTTAGTAAGGGATTTCTTTGGTAAAATACATGAATAATCATTCAATTTTTAGTTAATTTTTATTTTCATCACTCAATTACAAAAATATATAAAAGGTAAAAAAATAAAAAAAAATTTAATAATTATCCAAGTCCCTATTATTTATTATAATCAATTAAGCCCTCAAATATAACTCATTTTCTTTTAATCGATGATTCAATTGAGGTAAAAATATAAATTTATTGATTCAATTTTGATAAAAATATATGTTTAAGGATTTAACTAATTCAAAATAAAAAATTAAAATTTGATTTATTGTAATAAAATATTAAAATTTTAAATAATTATTGAATTTTTGAATACCTTTTTACCTTTTTGCCAAACTTATATTTTAATTACGAATGTTTTATTAAGTATTTTTTGTTACCCAACCATTAGTCTTAAAAGAATACTTATTATTATTGAACAAATTTTAAATTAGAAAGCAAGTTAGTAACTAAAATGTAAATTTTTATAGTTAAATGACAAATAAAAAAAATACTTAAAATTAAGTGATTATTCACATATTTTATCTTTTATTTTGTAGGTAAATTGGTTTAAATAGTTAATTTCTCAAACGAGACAAAGGAAAGTGAAAATAACTCTTTTTAATCCTTGCTTTGAACCAGGCTAGCTCATTTGCTGTATATTTGTTTATTTGTTGTTCTATCATCTTTTTCCTACAAAATATAACGTAAATTAAGCAATTGTTAGTGAATTTGAAGGGAGGATCAAATAGAGTTGAAGAACATTAATCAAAAACTACAAAATGAAGATGGGTGTTTTAAAATTTCGTTTTTATTAGAGAGAATATAATAAATAATTTATGAATTATAGTAAAATATTTAATATGATATTTTAAATTTTAAAAATCTCTAATATAATATATAAATTATTAATCTATTAATTAATATGATATTTATAAATTTGTTTGTTTGTTATATGTTATCATTGAAAATTAATTACGTTTGGCATAAGTACAATATATTACCGTATTCATATATGGTTTAAGTACAATATTAAAAAAATTTTAAATTCAAATATCGCATTAAACATTATATTATAATCCGTGAACTATTTGCAATATTAATCATTTTTATTAAAACTAAAGATGCTTTTCAAACAGATTAGCAAAACCTAGGTGTCCTGTCCTCCAAGGCTTTTTAACATTTTTTCTTTCTTTGTTTTGTTTTTTTTTTTTTTTTTTTTTGGGTCCATTTAGTAAGGTGCACTGAATATGAGAGCGATTTGCTCATCTTAATGCAGAATCTAACATTATGATAAGAGCAGGTAGCCATGCTCATTATATGAATTGAATACATGCATCTCTACCTCTTTGTAAATATTTATAATCAAAGGCAGAAGCAATCTCATTATCTTACACGACCAAAACTCGTTTAGTTATATTCTTCCTCCTTTCAATTATATTCAAGTTCATGAATTCTCGTGTCACCAATTATTTTTATTTACACATTAATAATTAATAATTTTACCTATTAAAATTTTAATTTTCGTAATTTCAAATATAACAAATTCGAGTGATGAACAATTAACTTCATCAATTTTGTTTAAAAAATTACGAAACTTTATATGGCATCTTCATAATCATAAATTTTAACTTGGAAAAAATAAAAACCATATCTATATCGCTGGTGGGCGATATGATATTTTTGGTAAGTAATTATATATTAAAATCAAAATATGTTAAGATATATTGATGCTATAAGATTTTGTGTTGTATTTTCTTACGTACGTTAAAATCTTAGGGTTTCCCAACAACTCTTCTTTATAAAGACCAATCGAGTTGGTACAATGAGATATCAAAGCTCGACTGTTTCTCCCTTCTTCTTCCCATTCAAAACTTCAGTCTTTCTTTCTTTTTGTTTGTTCTCTGTCGAAAGAAACATGTCTCAAAGACCCAATCGCCACCAGAGGAAGCCATCGCAAAGCGTTTTTGTGTCCTTCGAGGACCTCTCGGCTCCCGTATCTGATAATGCTAAAGATAATAAGATTAATAAGCCTGCACCATCCAACCTCCAAGCGCCACCTTCCCACCCGATTCGTGCCCCAACTCCTCCGGCTGCAGCCTCGGCACTGGCAGAGACATCCGACAATGTAGCCAAAGATGGCGAGAAACCAAAAAATGCTACAACATGATGTTTTAAATTAATTCTCTCTTAGTATTTGACTATTTGAAGTAGCTTGTTTGTTTATTTAGTTCGTGTAATGTTGGTCAGTTTTACAGCATGAATAAAGAAACTTGTTCTTTGGTTTCATATGTTCATGTTAAAATTAGCATTTTGATATAATTGCAATGAAGAAATCTTTCGCTATTCTTAACTGCTCGATTTGAGTTTTAATTTTCAATGATATTCTTAAATATTGTTTTCTATATTTAATTAAAAAAAATAATATTCACTGTATGCTTATTTATCATTCTCGATAAAATATGTTTATCTTATTTGTATTTAAAAATTTGTTAAACTAACAATATTAAAAACCCTTAATCCACATTTAGGTGATGTTAATTCATCAATCAAATTTCAATAAATCAGATCTCTTTTTTAAGGTAATGAGATACAACCTCAAGCAAATGCCAAAATTTAAATTATCGCCCGCAGCAAACCAACCTCGTAGAGGCGGCATGAGAAGTTGGATATTGCTTCTGGAGCTTGACCGCATATTGGAGTTTCCATGTTTGTTGGCCAAGTTGAACTTGGAATTGTTCATTGCATTATCTACTTTAGTATTAGTAGTTTTTGATGGTGTTGTGGGTGTTGGTAGGAAGGAAGACGATCTAGAGATCGTGTAGAAGATATTTTGAATTTGCAGTTTGAAAGCATGGTTGGTAGGTGGTGGAGTTGGTTTTTCAAGATGTGTTTCAACGTTAAAATTAGTTAAGCATTTAAGGTTAGGTGAGAAATAAGATAAAACTATAAAAGTATTTAGGATGCGTAAAAAATAATTCTTTATTCATATTGTATTTAAGCCTTTTTTTATCTTATATAAAAAAATATAACAGTGATATGATTTAATTAATTGACAGTTATTGATAAATTTATATAAAATTCGAAAAAATTCACGTGAATGAATAATAATCTTAAATAAATTAATTTGCTATATTTAATGATCTCGTACCAATTGATTTATTGTAAATTAATGTTTTAATAGAACATTAGTAAAATAATTAAACGAATTTTTTCTTAATGTGGATGAATCCACTTTATGATAAAAAATTTAAATATCAATTTTATCTTATAGTGACGTAATAATTGAACATATAAATTGATACTACGGTAGTAATAATATTAGATTTCTTGCTGCTCAAATTTTCAATACTAACGTCTCCTTTCCTCTGGTTACGGTACATTTTAATTGCCATGTGCACGTCATGTGACATGTGCTTAAACCTGTTTTGGTAAAGGGAACTCCGTGTCTGTTGCTGAAGCAATCTTAATCTAAAAACTTATAAAAATACTCTGACAATTCTAAGCCCTCCGTTGTTATGCCCCAGCCTTTGCTTACTTTGATTTCAAGGATTAATTATTATTATTATTATTATTATTTCAATAATAGGATCAAACTCTATTTAGTGCATGCACCAAACCGACGGAAGGATCAAAAACCTCTCAGACAATGTACCTTCCTTTCTTTTATAATCTTCATCGTCGTTATTATTATTATTAGAACTTATTTAATATAGTTTTCAATTTGGTAATATGGTATTGGAATTAAATACTACTTACCAAATTTTGCATTTTGAAAAGACCAAAAGAAAATAAGGAAAGAAAGGATGCGTGAAAAAGAGACGGACATGGTTGCCAATTACGAAAAATTCAAAAGAAAGGGGTAGCGTTAGATTGACGCAGAGATAGACGGGAGAATCTCTTAGTGGAGGTAGAGCAGCGGTGGACCCCAACCAGGTGTTTGTGACGATTTCCCAAATAAGCTTTAGATGGAATGAGAAATGGGATTGTAAGATGCAAAGTTGCCATTATTAGTCCACGGCTCTATTCTCATGCCAGCTAGGCTAACAAAACGCAAACTTTAATTTAATTCATAAAGAAAAATAATATAGATAATATAATTTTAATACATACTATAATTCTTTTTATTTTTTAATAGAAGCTTAGGTTTTAGTATTCAAGCATTAAATTTGTTGTATGATATTGCAATTACGTAGGAGTATGGATTTTACTTTGTTTGAGATAAAATATTATACTTTTTTTGTGTATTAGTTAATTATAATTTTTTTAATTTATCTCCACATTAGTAATAAGTAAAAATGGTCTATTACAAATTTCATTGTTAATACTAATAATTTTTTTTGTTATGTTAACTCTTTCATTATCATATATATATATTTTAATTTTGAAAAAAAAAGTTGAACCTTGTTATTTGTGATAGAAAAATTATACATAATTCAAAAATTTCCTAATTTTGTTATCAATAAACATTTTATTTAGAAAAAATGATAAAAATATAATTGGTGATTAAAATACATGGATGTTTTTAAAATTATCATCTAACAATTATTTTTTTATTTTAATAAATTAAAATTGAGTAAATATTTTGTAATTATTCAATCAATAATTTTAAATGATATATTAACATAATAATATTATATCGATAATCACGTATCATGTGATATTATTACATTACTTGATATATTACCTGATATATTGATAGTTAATATGCAAATTTATATGGCATCATCACTTGATGTTTAATTATTGTCGTGATACTATTATATTAATACATTATTAAAAATAATCGATTGAATAAAAAATTTTATTTAAATTTAAATAATTAAATAATTATTTTAAAATTATAACCATAACTTAGTGACCATGATATATTTATGCTAAAAAAATTTAAAGGTGAAAATTTTTCATTTTTAATTTTTATCAAATGATTATTTTGGCATATAAAAGAAGTAATGAGATATAATTCCTGCTAAGACTATTTTATTGATTTTTTTTCTGATATTAGTGTCATTTACTTCTAAGAATAAACATGAAGCCGCAAAAATTGTAAATTCAGCCGAGTCAAGCGAAGCCGCCAATTTGTAAAGCTCTAGCGCAGCCCATTATCTACAGCGCTTAATCATGATAACGACACAAAACCAAACAAAAACGTGCCCTCTGTGATCAATACATGACGTGGCAGCACCCCATTAGTGGACGGAATGTTCCGTACGATAAGAAATATACAATATAATCACGATATCAATTCTCCACTGGGCAGGGTCACCGACTTAAAAGGACCTTTAACATCACCCCCTTTTCCACCCTCGTTATCGGAGAGCGTTTTTTTTCTCTAAATTTTCTCATCCTCTTCCTTCTCCGTCGATCACGATCCATATCCTCGTTTCCAAACAAACTGAAAAGGATGGTAATGATTCATCTTTGGTGTTTTTCTTTTTTTTTTTGGTTTAAAATAATTCCTCCTTGAATTAATTATCTGATTTTATTGTGTAGTTTCTTAGCAATCCTAGTTGATCGTCACTTTTTGTTGATTTTTATTTTCTAATATTTTGTTTTAGCGGTTGATTGATCTCTTCATCGAAGCTGCGATGCTTGAAATATTTGTGGAAAATTTTCCTGCACCGACTGATTTTATCTGTTATTTATTTATCTATTTTGAGTTTCTAGATCTTATGGTTCTAAATCTTTAGTTTGTGGTTTGATGATGTGGATTTTAATAACTCGATTTTATTTCTATGGAATTAGATGAACTGTCACTGACGTAGATTCTAGTGTCTTTAGCCGGTTGATTCTGCTGGATTTGCTGTTAATCTAAGACCTTTCGATTTCTGTTTTTTGGTTAGTCTATTTTCAACTATTTTTCTGGCCAATGATTTTTTACTAGTTTAGTATATTGGTAGGTTGATCCAATCTGTCTGCACTTTTAATTTGGATCCTTGTACTTTTGTTTGTTGTTATTTCTGTCTGCATTCTTTTATTTTTTTAAAGCAAAAAACAAAAAAATAAGTCTTATTTTATTTATCCAAACATAAGATATTTGACGCTTCATTGCCCAAAAAGCTGTTTTATTTATTTTGTTTTAGGATGTTCTCAAGGCAATGTAAGAATTGACCCTGTAGGCTGTTGTATCCTAAGACGATGTTGTTGCAACTTGCCACACCATGTTTTGCCAACATAGGTGGCAGCTGATATTTCAAGTTAGAATCTAGTGTAAGGTATCTAAGTGCTGTTTTGTTACCCTTCACTTTGTTAGGACCAAATCACAGTGATAGAGAGTAAGGGACTTGTTGATTATCACTTCATTTTGGTTCTTCTTTTATCCCTTTTTAGGATGAATCTTGATGTTGCAGGGTGCATCCTATTTGAAGGCAAATTAATAGGTTTAGTATTACCTACTCCAATGAAACATTGATTAACGAAACATTGGGCTTGCCTCAGATATTTGACCCGTTGTCATGTGATATTGTATCATCCTCAGGCCAATGCAGCATCAGGAATGGCTGTGCACGATGAGTGCAAGTTGAAGTTTTTGGAGCTTAAGGCAAAAAGAACATATCGTTTCATTGTTTTCAAAATTGAGGAGAAGCAGAAGCAAGTTATTGTGGAGAAGGTGGGTGAGCCAGCTGAGAGCTATGAGGATTTTACTAAAAGTCTTCCTGCTGATGAATGTCGATATGCTGTGTATGATTTTGATTTTCTAACGGCAGAGAATGTCCAAAAGAGCAGGATTTTTTTCATTGCATGGTACTGCAAGTTTCTTGGTCGTCTGAATTATCTTTACTGCGTGGTAATTTGTTGTTGCCTTGTGTACTCATTATGTTGTTGTCCTGTGAAGGTCTCCTGATACATCAAGGGTCAGGAGTAAGATGATATACGCTAGCTCCAAAGACAGATTCAAGAGAGAACTGGATGGAATTCAGGTGGAATTGCAAGCAACAGATCCTACTGAGATGGGTCTTGACGTTATCAAAAGCCGTGCTAGCTGAATATGGATCTTTTAGGCCTTGCAATGGGCTTCCTCCAGGTGTCTTTACTTGAATGAAATGTTTATAGGGAATGGTAAACTTGGATAATCAGGATGCCAATTTCCAAGTTTTGCCATAGGCTTTTATTAATCTCGAAGATAAACCGGGTATATGTTCTTTGTTATCTATAGAACCTATGTGTTGAGTGCCTTTGTGTAGTCTTATCCCTTCAAGCTACTATGTAACTGTTTGTGAGGGGTTAGGCGACGCTTTTAGTTCATTTTCAAGTTTTTTTGAATATTGACCCCCGTCAATTTGTTTTGGAGTGTTAAAGGGCATGCTTTCATGGCTTCCGAGTCATTGATTCTTTGCCATAATGATGGATGTGTTGAGAGAACCGAGTACGGTTCTTGCAAACATATATTGTACAATTTCTACATTTTACTAGATCAAACTTTTATTGAAATCATGATGAAACTAATACCATGTTTTGCTTATTAATGCGATTTTGTTAGACAGAATTTATGAATTGATGTGGCCGAAAAGACTTGGCTTATAAGGCCATTTCTAGGATTACAGATCAATTACCAAGAGTACCTTTTTACTGTATTTGAGAGTTAGCCAAATGGTTGGATGCCAACTGGATGTTAGCAATGATGCTTGTAATGTTCATCTATTGCTCTTACTTGACTTGTTTTGTTTAGTTTTGAGCTTATAAGTGTTGCCATTACTTACAGGATTTCCTAGATAATGCATTGCTTTATTTTTAAATTTGATTTGAATAAAAAATTTATCATATATTTGTAATTCTTGTGAAAAGGAAGCTGTTTTAGCTTTTTTTTTTTAATGTTTTATTTTTAATTCAATTTTAATAGGTGACAATTAAGGTATTTGTTAAAAAAAATATCTTATTTGATATTAATTAAAGTGTTACTTTTACAAATATTTTGTTTGATATCAATTAAGACATTTTTTTTATAAACTTTTTTTTTTAATTTTTACAAAAGTATCAAATAAATGGTTTCTTTGAGCAAACATTTTATTTGATTCATTAAAATAAGGTGATTGTTTTTTTTTTTTTTTTAACAAACGTCTTATTTAATTACAGAAGTTTTAAAAATTTTACAAAAGTAAATAAGTGGGTTTTTTAGAACAAATGTTTTATTCGATGATTTTTCTAAGATATTTATAAAGGCGCTCAGTTTTTAAAAATGTCATAATTGATTTTTTTATATTTTAAGAAAATAATTATGACTTAATGTATAGTTAACCGTAATTAGATATAATTAATTAAAAAAATTAATTTTTTTTATTGTTAAAGGTATTATTTGTTGTTTGAAATTTTTTTATTAAAACAAAATGTAAGGTTATTTATAATTTATCAAGAAAATTATGATAATTATATATAAATTAATAAATCAAAATTCTCTCAATCAACAAACAAATAGATCTGATTATGAGAAATCTTAAAAATCAAATAAAATTTTAGATATCAATTTTTTTTGAGTATCGTACTTTTTCTTAAAATTCAAGATTCCAAGAGCTTACCTAATGTAACGGAAGAGACATGACAAGCAACTCTTGGCTCGATTTAAAATGTGTTTACGTCAGTGTAGAGTTGCTGGAGTTATGGGCTGTTTAATTTGAGAAACTGGAATAAAGGTTTCTTATTCAAATTTTCTTTCATTAAGATAAAAATTCTGGTTTTCTTTTTCTATAACAGAGATTGCATTTTGGGATAAGAAAAATAGTTGCAAATATTCAAGTTTAAATTAAATTTTTACTGAATTTGCCTGGATGGTATATGGAACAAGTAAATTGTACGCTAAATTCAAAATATATGGATTAGCACTTGAAGAATTAGATTTTTCCCAATTTTAATCTATGGATGTTTAGAGGGTTTGCTTAGGATATGAAATTCCAAACAACAGGCAACCACTCCCTTGAATTTTCTAATTTTTTCTAGGATTATGCTTATCTTTGCCATAAATTGGAGGAATTCTTGGTTACTTGGACGGACGGCTAACCAGCCAGCCAGGGTATATATTATTTTCTTACTTGTTATTGGGCCGGATATCCATCAGAAACCCAAAAGGCGAAAAAAGAGGATATGTTTAGCATTTTATATTTGGGCCGGACTCCGGAGACCGCAAAACGATATTTACTCTTAGCAAACGGCGTCGTTGCTCTATCATCTGTTTCCCCGTTTAGGATTGCTTTATCAAGCACACCAGGAAAAAATGACCCCAAATATTTATCGTCTTTCTCGCTCGTAGCATTGCCGAGTGCTGAGCTGAGGCTCTATCTTCCTAAGAGAAAAAAATGTCTTCCTCTACATGTTTCAAATGCTACCCTTGGTCTTACTCTCCTTGTCTCCCTTTCTTCAAAAAACCTACTTCACATTTCTCCATCTCCTTCTCAGCCACTCAACAAAACCAAACCCAATTTCCTCTCTCCCACAATTTCACTCCAACTCAACTCCTCGACACCATCCGCCGCCAAAACGACGAATCCTCAGCTCTTCGCTTATTCGAATGGGCCTCAAAGCAGCCCAATTTCACCCCAAACTTATCCATCTACGAAGAACTCCTCACCAAGCTTGGAAAGCTTGGGTCCTTTGATTCCATGAAGCATATTTTGCAACAGATAAAGCTCTCTCGCTGTGAACTTCGTAGAGGTACTTTTTTAATTCTTGTTGAAAGTTATGCTGAGTTTGGCTTGTACGATGAAATTCTTGACGTTGTTGAGTTGATGGAGAGTGAGTTTGGGTTAAAACCCGACACCCATTTTTATAATTTCTTTTTGAACGTTCTGGTTGATGGGAATAAGTTAAAGTTAGTGGAAACTGCTCATAATGGAATGATTAATAGAGGGATTAGGCCTGATGTTTCTACTTTTAACATATTGATTAAGGCTTTGTGTAAAGCACATCAAATTAGGCCTGCCATTTTAATGATGGAAGAAATGCCTAGTTATGGTCTAAGCCCCGATGAGAAAACGTTTACCACGATAATTCAAGGGTTTATTGATGAAGGTAATATGGATGGTGCACTGAGGATGAGAGAACAGATGGTGGAGGCTGGTTGCCCGATTACTAATGTGACTGTGAATGTTTTGTTACATGGGTTTTTTAAGGAAGGTAGGATTGAGGAAGCTTTGATTTTTATGCAAGAGATGACGAGTGAAGGGTTTTACCCGGATCAATTCACGTTCAATACAATGGTGAATGGTTTGTGTAAGGTGGGTTATGTTAAGCATGCTTTGGAGATCATGGATTTGATGCTTCAAGAAGGGTTTGATCTGGATATATTTACATACAACTCTTTGATTTCTGGATTGTGTAAAATTGGCATGATTGAGGAGGCAGTGGAAACTTTAAATGAAATGGTTTCAAGGGATTGTTCGCCAAATACTGTTACCTATAATACCTTGATTAGCTCCCTGTGTAAGGAGAACCAAGTTGAAGAAGCCACTAAACTTGTTCGTGTACTTACGAGTAAGGGAATTTTACCCGATGTTTTCACATTTAATTCTTTGATACAAGGTCTGTTCCGGACAAGAAATCATAGCATTGCTATGGAACTTTTTGAGGAGATGAAGAACAAAGGGTGCCAACCTGATGAATTTACCTACAATATGTTGATTGATAGCTTATGTTATAAAGGGAAACCAGAAGAGGCTTTAAGCCTGCTTAAAGAAATGGAGTCAAGTGGCTGTGCACGGAATGTTGTTACTTATAATACTTTGATTGATGGATTCTGCAAAAACAAGAGGATCCGAGAAGCAGAGGAAATCTTTGATGAGATGGAAATTCTAGGGGTTTCAAGAAATTCAGTGACCTATAACACGCTCATTGATGGTCTCTGCAAGAGCGGGAGGGTTCAGGAGGCTGCTCAGCTCATGGACCAGATGGTAATGGAAGGATTGAAACCTGACAAGTTCACATACAATTCTCTGCTTACATACTTTTGCCGGGCTGGGGATATAACAAAGGCAGCGGACATTGTTCAAACCATGACTTCATGTGGTTGTGAACCAGATATTGTCACCTATGGAACCCTGATTGGGGGCCTTTGTAAGGCAGGGAGAGTTGATGTTGCAAGTAGACTACTTAGAACTATTCAGATGAAAGGGATGGTTTTGACCCCACATGCTTATAACCCTGTTATTCAAGCTCTATTTAGACGAAAGAGAGCTGATGAAGCTATGAGGCTTTATAGAGAGATGTTGGAGAATGGTGACCCTCCAGATGCCATCACATATAAGATGGTATTTCGTGGCCTTTGCAATGGTGGAGGACCAATTGGAGAAGCTGTTGATTTTTTAGTTGAGATGATTGAGAAAGGATTTTTACCTGAATTCTCATCATTCTATATGCTGGCTGAAGGACTTCGGGCATTATCTATGGAGGATACCTTAATTAAGCTTCTTAATAAGGTAATGGAGAAAGCAAACTGCTCAGACAGTGAGGTTTCCATGATAAGAGGTTTTCTTAGAATTCGTAAATTTCAGGATGCATTGGCCATTCTTGGAAACATTCTGGACAGCAGAAATCCTAAGAAATCTTTCTGGTCAAGATGAAGCTACTTACTGCTCCCTGTGAACAGTTAGCAAACACAGAAGCCTCAATGTTGATTCTGTAAAGTTGGAGATCAATGTTATTTAAAGTGTAAGTTCCTATCCTGTTGACAATGGGGCATGACAGAATTACGTATGATGAGATGCTTTCTTTTTCTAGCGTGGAGGAGATTCCTCTTCCACTTTTAAATTTTCGGGCACTGATGCATTGTTCTAACAACAAGCGTGTTTCTATACGCAGATACATAACCCCTCTCATTAGAAGAGGAAGATTTACCTTTTTTTGTTCTAATGCAATGTATACCGTTAGCTTTTTTCTCCAAACTAGCGAGGGGTCCAAGTTTCCAACTGGCCATCAATCCATCATGTTGGACGGGGAGACCCGAGTTTGGAGAAAATTTTGAGCTGTTTCGATTTTAGTCAAAGAAGCTGGGAAGCTGGTCTGCTACTCGATCAGTTTATCATCCGTGCAGATCATACATTAATGCCACAGTCAAAGCCATGGGCAGCTGGAGATGGGGAGAGATCCGAAAAGATGTTGCTCTCGGCCAACGTAGTAGTTTCCTTCTCCAACGTATCTGGCAAAAGAGCAGGATATCGAGAAGAGCAGGATATCGAGAAGAGGGGTGACAACAAAAATTAAACAGCGGCACACCCAGATTTTGAAGTTCTTAGTGATCGGTAGCTTAAATGTGAAATGAGAAAAGCATGAACCTTTTATTTTAAACGTAAAAACTTTGAGAGTGCTTTGCATAGATTTTGTTGACCGTAAGCCCCAAAAATCTCTCCCCTAGAGAGACCAGATAAGAAAGAGAAAGAGATCAGGAGGCACTTTTTTCTTTTTTTCACAATAAATGGGTAAAGTAAAAATGAAAAGCTTTTTTTTTTTTCTTCACTCAGATGGAACCGTAAAGGTCCGGGCCTGAATGAACATTCATGCATGGAAGCAATATAAAAAACTTTTTACCACTTTCTTCCAGGAAAGGTGGGTATATGTATATGCAACGCAATTCCTTTGAAAAATGAGGAGGATATATACAACAATTAGTAATTTAAGTCGGTTTAAAGCAAATTTGCATGTGTTAAGGTATTCTCCCGATCTTCTAAGGCAGTAGTGGGATCATTTTCAACGGGATTCGACATCCAAAGAATTGCTGTGAGCAATGATTTCATATTTACAGCCACGAACTGTGGGATCATAGAGGTTTGGTTAAAAGAAAGAATCACCATAGTTGCTAATATTAAAATGGGCAGCAGGAGACATGCAAAGATTGCATCCTTGGTTTCAGATATGGATGGAGGAATGCTTTATGCTGGTCCCTCTGATGGCAAAATCCGTCAGAAACTACAACTCTAAGCACACAAATCACAGTTGGAACAAACATGGGAATTATAGATTTTCCTGGTACTCACTCATTTTCGTTTGGATTTTGGTTGCAGGCTTGGGCTCTTAACGAACTAGGTTTCATTTGTAAAGAGCTATGTATCCAGTAAATCAAATGTTTAGAGCATCATCTTCGTATTTGTTATGCCAATTTTGATTTGATTTCTGTAAACCATTTTACAAAGGGCAGGCCTACATTTTATAGAAAGACCCACTGACTAAAAATGTCAAGCCTTGGGCTCTAGTTAAATCCATGATTAGTGGCGCGGGCTGCTAATTCCTCAGATTTAATACCAATACCTTCCAAAAGCCCTTTTTTTGTTTTTGTTTTTGTTTTTTCTCTCATCTTGAATGCGAATATTTTCACAGTAAAGATCTCAGTCAGCTGAAAATAATTAGATTTTTTTTTTATTATAAATTCTAAATCACCATCCACTTTCGGTACAAAGAATCGGCCAACGTGGGGCAGCTTTACAAAGTGCAAAGACGAGTCACAACCCAGTTGAGTTTTTTTTTTTTTTTCACACGAACGACACGTGTTTTGTTACAGGAAACCGCAATTTCGCTTAAAAAAAAAAACCAAAATCGCGTACAACCCTTCCGCTAGCATGTTTTGATGGTGTCAGTGCTCTCCTCCCCCTTCACCCAGAGATTTAGCATTCCATTAATTTTTGTCCTTTTTTAAATTTTTTTTTCTCGTATAGATCGTTTTTATTGACAATTTCTCTTTTTTTTCCCTCGATCTTTTTTTTTTTTTTTTTTGCCGAATCCGGTTCAGATCGGATTAAAAAATGGCGGCAACGAGACGGTTACGCGACCTCCAATCACAGCCAGGTAACAAAACTTGCGTCGATTGCAACCAAAAGAATCCCCAATGGGCTTCGGTTTCCTACGGTATTTTCATGTGCTTAGAGTGCTCCGGTAAACACCGTGGCTTAGGTGTCCACATCTCATTCGTCCGATCCGTTACCATGGATTCATGGTCCGAGATTCAGATCAAGAAAATGGAGTCGGGTGGTAACGAGCAGCTCAACTCTTTTTTGGCCCAATACGGGATCCCTAAAGAAACCGATATCGTGACCAAATATAACACCAATGCTGCCAGTATTTATCGCGATCGTATCCAAGCCCTAGCCGAGGGCTGTCCCTGGCGGGATCCACCCGTTGTAAAGGAGACTCTCAATGGAGGTGCTGGTAGTAGAAAGCCGCCGTTGAGCGGTGGCGGTGGTGGTGGCAGAGGCAGTAATTATTCGAATAATGGAGGGTGGGATAGTTGGGACAATGACGATTCGTTTAGATCTTCAAGCGATATGAGGAGGAATCAATCGGCGAGTGATTTTAGAGGAGGGAATATTCATGGTGGTGGAATGGGAGGTGCTCCGGTGAGGTCGAGGTCCACGGAGGATATGTACACGAGATCCCAATTGGAGGCCTCAGCGGCAAATAAGGAGAGCTTTTTTGCGAGAAAGATGGCGGAGAATGAATTGAGGCCTGAAGGGCTGCCACCTTCACAAGGAGGAAAATATGTTGGGTTTGGATCGAGCCCTATGCCTACCCAGAGGAATAATAATTCTGAGGGGGATGTGCTCTCTGTTGTTTCTCAGGTTAAGAGACTACCCCTTAAATGGTTTTTTTTATTTTTTTTATTTTTTTTATTTTTTTATGGTGTGATAACTATTAGGTATTGGTTAATTTTTTGTTTGGTGCAGGGGATTGGGAGGCTGTCTTTAGTAGCTGCATCCGCAGCAGAATCTGCTGCCAATGCTGTCCAAGCAGGAACGAAGGAGTTCACCTCAAAGGTATTTTTAGGGAATTTTAATTTTGATTTCATTTTTGATTGTTTTGCAATTTGATATCTTACATTGGTTAATGATGATATTCACTGTTGTTGAATCTTTATTGTCCATGTCTGCATTCTAATATTCTTTTAGATGCTATCTTTATATGATTTTATAGATAATGTGATGTATGAGTTGCATTTTAGAGTTAAGCTCCTTTACATAAATTCTTTCTTTGTATAAAGAATCTTCTAGCTAATTATGTTTATATATCCTTGTATGATTTTATACAAAATACACGATGAACATTCAAATTCCACACTTAGTTTGGACATTAGCAAAGCTAATTTCTTTATATTTTATTGAATAAAATATATGTAAGTATAATGAAACCATTAAGGTCAGAATTTTTTTTTTTTGGTCAAGTTGGTAATCTTCTGCATGGTACACCTAGTTTCACCATCTGTTGTTGGATAACCAAATGAGGAGAGAAAAAGGAGGAAATTATAGGTGCAAATTTCTCTCCTAAGTTAAATTCTTCAACTTTAAAATATGCCTCTCAATCAATGAGTTAAAGTTGATGAACCTATAATTTCATTTCATTTCTCTCTTAATTGCTTTGCTAACGTCCAAACTAAAGGGAAATTATATTTCACTCCATTTCACTGACTTGTCATTTCTTACTTAAGAATTCTCTGCTTTTCTGTGCTCTACTGCTCTTTTGAATATTCCAAGGCATTTTTAAGGTTAAGATGCCCCTTTAACTTGTTGGAGTCTTAGTATTCTTTATTAATTTTAAACAACGAGACTGCTGGGCTTATATAACTGTTCGACAGAAGATATATGAAATACTGAATAGAACGTTTGGGCCAATTCTATTTTAGAAATAAAACTTAGAAATTTGAGTTCTTTGAATCATTAATCCTTTTGCTATCTGTTTGTTTCAAATCCTAAGAATTTGCAACTGTTTAATTCTTATTCTGCAAAGGAAATCAGTTTTTGACTTGAGGGCTGCTCTTCATGGCCCTAAGAGTTTATCCTTACATTCAAGTCAAACTCTCATACCTGGAATTGATTCCTTGAGAAAAACATGCTGCTTTGGTTTTGGCATTTTGTTTTGGCTAAACTGTTGATGTTATTGTTATAACTTGATGGGTTTGCTTTCCTTATATTTCTAGTTATAAGGATAGGGGGATTTGAAATTACATAGACAAGGGCATGACGCACCTTTTTTTGCAGGTTAAGGAAGGCGGCTATGATACCAGGGTTAACGAAACTGTCAATGTTGTCACTACAAAGACAAGTGAGATTGGCCAGAGGACATGGGGGATTATGAAAGGGGTCATGGCAATAGCTTCACAGAAGGTTGAGGAGTACACTAAGGATGGCTGGAAAAATAATAACTGGCAACGAAATGATAGCGAGAAGAATGGATATTATCAGGAGTTTAAAAAGGAGAATAAAGGATGGAATTCTACTACTGGAGGACAATCCTCTTCTGGTGGGAATTATAATTCTTATAGCTCAAGTTCTTGGGATGACTGGGATGCAAAAGACAATAGGAAGGAAGATAATACAAAAGTGACTGCTTCTCATAGCAATGATGGTTGGGCTGGCTGGAATGATGCCAAGGATGATGGATGTGATCATTTTTATAATGGTGCATCTGACAAAAAAGCTGTTGGTCACAATGGAAAGTCAGATGCCACATGGACGGGTGGAGGCTTTCTTTAAGGTTAATTTCTTATATATTCACTTTCTTATTTTCTTATTGTATAAGTCTCTATTTCGTGATCATGTTCATATGAGTTCCAGACATAAATAAAATAGTCTGATGTGTGGCCAGGTTGAACTCTGAATGATGTTACAGTTATCAGTACCTTACCCACAAAAAATAATTAGCACACAATTGATACCTGCTGGGATGACGCACGCAGGGGATGGGTAGAACTTTTTCTACCTTAGCACAGCTGGTAAGAAAAATTGTTTGTGAATTAGATCTCCAAGTGGAAGGGGGGATGCTTTTCATGAAGTTAGTATATCTTTAGCAACCCTTTTGCCCCTTTTTTCCTTTTTTTTTTTTAATCTTTAATAATTTTACTTTGTAATTGTTTGGGTAAGTTTCGTGTTTGATGGTAGTTTATATTTGTAAAACCGTGGATGGAAAGGGCTAATTGCACGGTTGGAAATAGGAGTATAGGACTGTTGTGAGTGATGGAAATAGGACTGTCGTGAGTGAGGAAACATTATTTGTGACATGAAAATTCAAAATTGCTTTGGATCTGTACCAACTGTAGTTAATGAATTTTTCATCCTTTTATTTATTTTATTTCTCGTAATCTTTAGAATTGTTTCATGTTTTGACCAAAACTATGAAGTAATGGAAGATTAATTTGCAAATTAACCTGGATGCAAAACATGTTCTTGTTGTCATGGCATAACTCTTGTCCAGAAGTTTAATTCTTATAAGATTTGCCTTTGCTGTTGTAGCTTTCACTGCATGTGGGCGCTTAAGCAAAAGACACTGCCCCAAGACATATCGACATTTATTTCCAGCTCCACTGGGTTAATTTTCATTTGCAATCGAGGCAAATCTTACAGTATCTCTAAATGAGTTATCATTAAGGAACATGAAAATTTTGAAACCATTTGAGAGGACGTAAAGGTTTATTTATTAACATGATTAGTGATTCTCCTAACTTTCGTGGTTCTAGATTTGGATTCTGGTTCACTTTCTGGGCTGGACATGAACCTGTTCAAGACCTAAAGATTCCAATAACTTAAAAGATCAACAAGCCACACTTTATCATCCCATTTCACCATAACAGATATACGATCATAACATGTTGGAGAAGGTGCCTTCATTGTCATCTGTTCCTTCTCGTCGTTGGATCACTAGGGTAGATGGAAAGTTGCCTAGATATGCTGAAGACAGAATATCTCCCATAGCTCCCAATTCTTCACTCTCCGTATTATTTCCTGTTACTTCCATAGATGATAGGAGCTGCTGCCCCATCCCAGCGACGAGAATTTCATACACTCTGCTTTCTCCTATCCTCTGCACTTCCTCTGCCACGCTGTTGACCTCCTTCTCTTCGTATTGTACAGATCCATTACACCTTTTAAACTCTGCCAATGCAATCTCGTCCAGTTCCTGCTAATTGCATTTCCTCAGAACAGAAAGAAAGGCGTAGATAATTGAAAATTTTGGATAAAATTTTGTATATTTACCTTCTCCCTTCTGTTCCCATCCCTTTGGAGGAACCTCACAATAGTCACATGAGCTAATTGCTGTCCAGCCATTCTCCCACTGAGCTTTAGAGCTTCACGATCATCTGGTCCTCCTACGAACAGAATGCCTACTCTTTTTGGCATTTCGGTGGCGGGTTCTGCCGCTTGCTCTGACGGACAACTATTGAATCCTCGGTCTATAAGAACTGCCACTGAGCACGGTGCGCTTTCTAGCACCCTTTGATTGACCTCTCTCCAGCAATGGCCGACATTCTCAATTGCCTCCTCGCCCTCCCCTCTCCACTGCTTGTGGAAAGGTAAGATGATCATTTCTACCCTTCTATCCTCTGCTACATGGAAAATATCTTCATGCATTGTTGACAACGCTGAAATTGCTGTTGAGTGGTGGATGGTGACTCTCCCAAGTTGGCCATACGCCTCAAAGGCAGCTGCAATTTGGTCATGTTTGGTGCCTCGACATAGGCGATTAACGAGGGGAAAACCATTCTTTAGGGCCCTCTGAACCATCAAAATAGATGAAGATCGATCAGTCAGCTCTACAAGGTTCATGACATATAGCTTCAGTGGGAATTTCTTGGTGGTGTGGATTGACTTGATAAGGTTGATGAGTGAAGGTACATTGCCAGCTCCATGGACACATGCCAGGATTCGAAGCTCATCTTCTGAGTTTTGAGCTGGGGGCAATGCTCGTTCCAAACGACGCAAAGGTTTGTATATGGCCATGACTGCTGGAGTTGTCAGGAAAGTGGTAAAAAGTGCCATCAGGACTAAAATGGCGAACATTTCATCATTTAGAACCTGGTTGACAATTATAAGCTAATTACTCATCTTTGTGTAAAGCGAATAAAGCTGAAGATTGATTTGAATATGATTATGATTGAGACAAGAGGGTTCTTTTGCAAATTATGTAGCTTTTCAATTTCTTTCCGGGAATCTTATTCATTCTAAATGGAGGACAAGAGACATATAGAATATCTAAATTCCAAATCCAAAAAGTGATTCCAGGAAAAGAACTGCCACTTGTGTCCTGCTCAGAGCACTACTAGGCAGGCATAAAGATCAGTTAGAAAACGATTTCATATTGCCTACATTAACATAAATTCTATTGAAAAAAAAATAAAAATCAAATAACAAAAATATTAACCAAACAGAACCTGAAATTCTATAGAACATGAAATTGATGTGAGTCTAAGCACAATATGATCAACATTTTAAATGAATAATGCTGTATCAGATGATAGAAAAAACCGATCTTAAATTTTGGATGTCGACCTGCAACATAACACTATAGGAGAGTAAAAAATTCGGTACTCTACTGCATTTGATCTGTATGAAAAAGAAAAATACTACTAAAATAGGCACCGTAGATGAAACTGTTGAAGGTACAATATCATTGAATCCCAAGGCTTCCTGCTAATTAGTAACCTGAGAAACTTCATGGCAAAAGATTATAGGCTTCCTGCTAATTACTTACCTTTTTTTCTTTGCCAATGTTGAGAACAATGAGCTCCACCAACCCTTTGGTATTCATCAAAACGCCAAGCGTCAATGACTCTCTTACGGGAATCATGCACAGCATCGCCGCCACGAACGTCCCAAGAATCTTCCCTGCGCAAGCCGTCGATATAATAAGCAACAAAAGTCCCCACGCCTCTACGCCTTGAATTTTAGCCACGTCCGTCCTTAACCCGCTAGACGCAAAGTAAAGCGGAAGAAGCAAACCAGCTACGAAGTCCTCGATCCTTTTTATCAATTTTGCTGCGAATGCGCCTCCCTTAGGAATTGTTAGTCCAAATACAAATGCACCAAAAATTGCATGGATTCCTATAAGGTCTGTCATGAACCCGGATAACATTACCCCAGCCAAGGTCAAACATATACAAGCTTCATCAATAGCATAGTCTTGCTCTGCAGAGCACTGACGAGCAACCAAGCTCATCATGGGCCGGACCAGAATTAACATAAAAGCAACGAAAGCAACTCCAGAAATAAGAACCCATATGCATATTAAGGGGCTCTTGTGAGTTTCACCTGAGCCGTTGCCTGTTAGGGCCACGGCCGAGGCCAACAATATCCAAGCAGCAACGTCGTTGAATGCAGCTGCAGCCATGGCGGTTTGGCCCACATGCGTCGTTAGTAGCTTGAGCTCTGCTAGAATGCGGGCGAGGACAGGAAAAGCTGTGATGGAAAGAGCCACGCCTAGGAATAAGATGAACTGGCCATTACCTACCTTATCCTCTCCATTTACAGCTTTTCGGAGAAAGAAGGAAAGTCCAGCTCCGAAAATGAAAGGGAGAGACATCCCAGCTATGGCTATGCTAAAAGCTTTTCTACCGCTTTGACTTATTGTGCTTAGATCAAGTTCAAGTCCCACTAGGAAGAGAAAGAAGAGAAGACCAATACTTGCCACGGATTCGAGTATTGGTGTACTCCACGAAGGGAAAACCAAGTTCAAGAAATCTTTGTTACGGCCTAAAGCAGACGGGCCAAGCAAAATTCCACCCTGGAAAACACGAGAAACATTTCATTTTAAGAACATCAAATAAAAGTAGTACTAACAAGTAATGAAAATGGGATTGTAAACCATCCTGTGAGAATCAATCAAGTTAACGTACAACAATTTCGGCAACGACTTTGGGCTGGCGTAGAGGTTTGAGAAGAAAGGCAAGGAAGCGGCTGGTGAAGAGAACCAAGATTGTTTGAACGATAAGTAATGGGAAGGCGTGGTTTAGAGGATTGTCGCCTTGCCAGGCTCCATCGGACGAGGTTCTTATAGTGTTTACGTTATGTTGCATGGTTACCGTTGCCTGTTGAGGATCAGTACCAGTACCAGTCCCACTGAAAGCTGCCTAGTATGTAAAATTTCACAACCTGAAGCTTTGTTTGTATGCGGGACAAATTAGACTATGTTTTATAGAGTTGATTGATGAAGTGATCCTGTTGTTAATGCCAGTCCTTGTCAATGGGATATTGGATTTTAATTAAGAGATTATATTTGATATATTCTCAATGTATAGATTTTATATACTATCAATAAATTAAATGATGTCATTCATTAATGAATAAAAATCAATCTTTAAAATAAATATACAAAAATTAATATTTTTTAAAAAATTTATTCATTAATGAGGTAAAATCATCTGATTCACTTTATTAATGAAATTGCATTATCCTATTCACTGAAAATATATAGAATCATATTATCAAATATAAATCTTTTACTTTTGAGCCAATAGTCACTAGTCACCGGCTGGTCCCTACGGAGTTTAACAGATGCTTAAACAAGTTGATCTGTCGTAGGTTTTATAATCAAATTGTCCTGTTTGCGTATAGAATAAGGAGTTTTTTTCAGTGTCTCTTTGGTTTTTCTCTGTTGTAGATTCCATTTAGTGGCATATACTCTCTGTTTAGTGGAGTGAAGCTCCCTTGTTCGGGACCCTTCTAATCTTTATTCCTTCATTATATATTAATGAGATTATCATTACCATTTTATTGCCTGTAGTGAAATTGCAACGTGTCAAACTTTAGATTCGGTTTTAAATCTTAACCACTTTCATAATTAAAAAGCATTGGTGGTAAGATTCCTGCGATAAGGATTTCTGTTTTCTGAACTGTTCTATTGTTATTCATGCAATAGTGAAGAAACGTTTCCAAAAATAAGGTCAGAAGGACAGAACTATTTGGCAAATTTCACCAGCCCAGGATACCAGCTGGGGTTGGAGAAAATTACTTAAACTTTGCTATCCCTTTTCATTGGGTATCAGAATGGGGAAGGGATTTGGAGAGATTTTGGAAGGCAGGGCTAGCTAAAACTAGCACTGCCTTGTTCCCTTTTGTTAATGAAGCTGTTAGATTCAGACTCTGGCATCAAAGAATATAGTTGGGGACTTGGTAAACAGGGATCACTGTAATGCTTGGGGTTGAACATCAGAACATTCCTGTTTGCTTAATCTGTTTTCTTTGTACTGCTACAAGCAGGATGTTCACCATGTAGCATCTGGTATGCTTCTTTTGGATAAACGAATAAATTGCAGTTATCCCAGTATTCTGGTTTGGGGATGATTGGTAGATGGAGTTAAGGTGGTAGAATGACTGAGCACCCAGCAGTTAAGTGGCCGTTGCAAGGTTCGTTAAAAACGAAGGATTAATGTGCATTTTTCCATCAAATATTGGTCATAGATTCACATTTTTCCTAAATAAATTGTAACGCCATTAATGTGCATTTTTTTTAATTAAATCAGGAATTGGATGAGGCTGCTGTAGTGGCAGAATTCAGAAGCAAAATGGGATGGAATCTAACAATAGAATCGCTGACATTAAAATTATTGTACAAAGCATATTGATTGCTGATATTGACCATTCATTGTAAATTGATTAGCAAGTATTCTTCAAGTTTTGTCCCTATTTCAAAGGCTTTTTATTCATCAAAAAACAGGATGATAAGAATATATATCATCACTACTGCCATGAGAACAGGATGCAAACCCTTTGGGCCACAGTGGCAATGGCCCAGTACTCTGGGCTCCGTTACAAATCCACGATCCATTAGGACTGCCACTGAACGTGGTACTATCTTTACCACCCTTTGATTGACCAGTCTCCATCGATGGCCCACATTTTCTATCATCTGCTGCTCACTCCCTCCCCGCTATTGTTTGTGGAAGGGCAAGGCGATCATCGTCTCCCTTACGGTCTCTGCCACGTGGGAAATATCGTCATGAATGGTGGACAATGCAGACATAGCTCCGTGGGCCTGAGACTCCACCCAATGGACTCTAGGCCTGGAAAGCTCCAGATCCAGCAACTCGATCCTGACACTCGCTTGCCAAGCCTGTTAATGAAAGGAAGCCCATTCCTTCTTGCCCGATGACTTCAAGAGCGTTCCATGAGTTCAACAAGGTACATTATGAAAAGCTTGAGTTGGGATTTTTTTGTGCTTCTGGTTGACTCGATTAGGCTGAGAGCGCGTTCCTAAGGCCATGGTGGCAAGCTAAGACCCTAAACTCCTCCTTCGAATTGTCCGTGTTGTTCAAGTTACATAATTCCGGTAAGCAGGGCAGAGCAACCGCGGGCCGGCTTGCAGATGGCCGTAGCGGTTGGGGTTGTGACAAAGATGGTGCAAGTCCAATGGCACAACAGCAATAAAACCCAAAATACAAATTAATACCCAAATTTAAAAGGTGCCCTAGAAAATGAAACCAGGAAATCGAATATTTAAAAGCAGATATTGAAAATTCAATTGGATTTTGGAATGAAATTCTGAGTCAAATTTCATTGCAGATTGAGATCAAGATACAATTTACTAAAACAAACTAAAGCAAACCTAAAACATCAAACTACAGATAGCCAAACAAAAGCTTACAACAAACTGTAGCAAAGATTTACAAAATCCAACTAATCATAACCTAAAGCCAACTTAACCACCGAAACCGTAAAGAGTCCTGCCCTGCCTCTTTAGAGCGTACACAACATCCATGGCGGTAACAGTCTTGCGCCTAGCGTGCTCCGTATAGGTAACGGCATCACGGATCACATTTTCCAGAAAGATCTTGAGGACACCACGTGTCTCCTCGTAGATCAAACCACTGATTCTCTTCACGCCACCTCTACGTGCCAACCTTCGAATCGCCGGCTTGGTGATGCCCTGAATGTTATCCCGAAGCACCTTCCTGTGCCTCTTGGCTCCTCCCTTTCCCAATCCTTTGCCTCCCTTTCCACGGCCCGACATTGTTTTGAGGAGTTCTTGAGAGAAGAAGAATAAACTGAAAAATATTTTAGCTGTTTGGAAAAAGAAGATGTTGGAAGCGGTTTAAATAGGGAGGTTGAGGGGTTGTGTTTTCGGGATTACCTAAGGGAGGAGTATATGTGCCGTTGGATTGGAACATTATCGACAGTAACTATTAGTGATCCGTGGCTTTTGATTTTATTGGTTGGAGCTCGAAATGTATCGATCCACGTCATGTGTATTTGTGCGCTTTCGAACCGTCGATTCAGTTCTCATCTACGGCTCTCGATTCCCCAATCGATCGGCTTGGTGAACTGTTGTTTCCTCGGATTGCTTAGGTGGAATGTTTCCACAAAATCCAAATTCCCTCCCAGATTTTCTATTTTTGCTTTCCCACTTTGCTTTTTTATATTTTTAGCATATGCGGAGGAAAATGGGCAGGCCCAACAACTCCGGGTCAGTACTGACTTGTATATCCAGTCTGGTGCCCCGAAATGAAGATGGCGGGAAGAGACCCTAATCGATAGGGGCTAGGGCACCCATGTTTTTAAGTGTTCTTTTTCTAATTTGGAGTTTGGTATCACAGTTCACAACAATTTCAGTTCACCTTTGCATTTTTTACAGTTTAAAGCGGATCGGAAGACATGGATTTTAACGATCCAGAGGAAGAGGAATTCGGGTTCTCAAGAAATTATTTCTTGGCAAAAGAACTGGGTAGTTCTGGAAAAAAATCTGCACGTAAACTCTCTGATATCAACGTCGTCGACGAACAGGTGCTTTAACTTACCTTCAAATTCCCGTTAAATACCAGAACCTAATCTAGAGCTTTCGATTTTCATCGGTTATTTTTAACATTGTAGGAACTCAGAGCAGCTGCAGCTACTATTGAACCGAAGCATCAGAAAGACATTGAAGCTTTAATAAACAGTTACAAAAGTTTATACCCAAAATGGGTTTTTGAGCTAAGGTATTTTAAAGTCCCTTTTTTTTCAATTCCAAGATGTTACGTTGAAATTGATATTGGCCTAATGTTCCACTGTTTAATTGTGTTTTTGAGTTTTTTTCCAGATGTGGTTTTGGCCTTTTAATGTATGGGTTTGGATCAAAAAAGCCATTGATTGAAGATTTTGCTTCAACAGCTTTGACAGAGTATTCTGTTGTTGTAATCAATGGCTACCTTCAATCAATTAATATAAAGCAGGTGCAATTTTCTTTACATAACATTCCAATGCTGCTTTTTTAGTTTAATAGCTGTTATATTTCTAATGTTAAAATGCTTTTTCTTTTTCAATAAAGGTTTCTTGAGCTCTTTTTTTTTTTTTTTTTAATGTAGGTTATAATAGGCTTAGCTGAGATTCTATGGGAACAATTGAAATTAAAACGAAGGATTCCATCAGGGAACTTGCCTAAGGTTCAACAGCCATTTAGTTCTCGATCTATGGATGATCTGTTAGCGTTTTTGGATGGACCAGAGATGGAGGAGAATGATAGTTTCATATGTATTATCGTTCACAATATTGATGGGCCTGGGTTAAGAGATCCTGAAACTCAGCAATATCTTGCACAACTTGCTTCTTGTTCTCATATTCGTGTTGTTGCCTCTATTGACCATGTGAATGCACCTCTTTGTAAGTAAACTCTTGTTTCTACTGTCAATCAATAGATAGGTAACTAGCTCACTCATGACTCGTCGGTTTTAAGTGTTGCCAACAATTGTTATTGGTAATCTTGATAGTGTTGCAATGTGGTCTTTAAATTTATTTTTTAAAGTATTTTTTAGCCAAATATGTTTCTGATAATGCTGCAGTTTTTTCTTGGATGCTGCAAAGAATATGGTAATGTTTTGTGTGCTTTTCATAGCAATAATTTTGTATGCTTTAATGAGAAAGAAAAATCAGATAGGGTGATAGCAGTTATTTTGTTATATAACTTTCAAATAGTGAAAATGTTTCATTCTTGTCTTGAACAATGTCGGATGTTGTGTTAGGCTTGAAGGTCTCTCCTTGTGACCCAGGACAAACCTAGTAAATGGAAATGTGTTTGTCGTCATGCTAATCATCAGAAAAAAGGATCCTTCTTGGGAGGTTGGGGGGTCTTTAGTAATCTCTTATGTGGTTTCCAATAAATGTTGTAATATAACTCCCTTCTTGAAAGGAATGAAGATATTTAGCATTTTAGAATATTAAAGATTTTCATGTCATTGATCCTTATAACCGCAACTTGGTTTTGATGTTAGTGTGGGACAAGAAGATGGTTCATACACAATTTAACTGGTACTGGTATCATGTTCCTACATTTGCTCCATACAAGGTTGAAGGTCTCTTTTTTCCTATGATTCTTGCACATGGCAGTAGTAACCAGAGTGCCAAAACAGCTGCAATAGTTTTACAGAGTTTGACACCTAATGCTCAGAGTGTCTTCAGGATTCTTGCAGAACATCAACTGTCTCATCCTGATGATGAAGGCAAGTAGTTGTTTGGGATTTGGAGTATCATTTATGTCATTTTAGGTCCTAATATACTCACTTTTTATCTTTTAGGGATGGCAATTGATAATCTGTACTCCGTCTCTCGAGAACGATTCCTTGTCAGTAGCCAGGTTACACTGAATGCTCACCTGACTGAGTTCAAAGATCATGAGCTTGTTAAGACCAGAAGGCATCCCGATGGCCAGGATTGCTTGTATATTCCTCTTGCAACCGAGGCCCTTCAAAAGTTATTATCTGAGATTGGTTGATATATATTAGCCTTGCATGTAAAATGGGATATATGTCTCGTACGGTTCATGCAGCCATTGCAAAATGAATTGTCTTGAACAATCAATACATAACAATTGCAACTCATTTGTTTAAAGGAACCATGAACGGCTTGAACCTGATCGAGCACAGGCTGAGCCTAAGAATAAAAAGTTAAGCCAAGCTAAGGCGCTTAAGTAGACTCCCTCCCAAATCAAGACCAGCAAGTGACTCAAACCGGAAGTGGTGCATAAATTGATATTTGGCTTGAATTATACAAATTACACACATTAGTACAACTTGTGTATAAATCTTCATGTTGCTTGTTGGTTTAAATGAACCATTAATAGTAGAAAATTAGCTATTTAGGGAACACCAAATTAATGGATAATGACACAACAAAGGCCGTTAGTGTATGTCATGCGGAAATTGCCCCTGAAGAGAGCTACTTTCTTGTGCCCGCTGAAGATGGAGCCTTAAGGTGTAGTTGTTCAGCTAAATCCAAAAACCAAAAAACAGTTATAATCAGAGTTTGTTTCCCCCTCAAGCACTACAATTAGAGGCTTACAGCTAAAACCTTAGGCAGAGAAGGTTTCAAATATAGAAACAAAAAAAAAAAAAAAAGTTCAATATGAATTGAGCTACTGGTGGCCTGTGTAGTGAAATGGCATGACGAATAGAAAATCATAAAGCATACCATAAATTGTCCCTCTAGCAGTGTAAGCGAATCTTCAAATACCACAACAAGCACGGGGACCATGTATGTTTGGAAACAGTTATTAAAAACAAAAAATATCAACGCTTATTAATCCGAATGATAAGGAGTTTGGTTTCTCTTAAATAAAGTCTCGGTTTTGAGTATTGTGAATGGAGAAAACAGACTTGGGAGAGCTTATCCCCCTTACAAGATTCGACCCAGCTCGATTTCGAATTAATCAGGACCCAAAGTGACTATCAGATACCGAAAGATTCCATACCAAAAAAACAGTAATAAAAAACAGGATGTAAAATAAAAAAATGAATACCTCTAAAGTTCGAACTTGTTCTAGGTACTGGCTGAGTGTGAGCTTCAAGTGTTGTACTTCTCTTTCCTTTCCCTCTTGCTCTAAATTGCGTTCATGCTGAATTGCAACAGCTTTCCTCAAAATCTGATTTTTATCTAACAAGCTCTGCAAATGTTCCTTCAAGGAAGCATACTCCATCTGCTTCATAATCATGTACCACAGAAATCGATCAGCATGTAAATGATGGGAGTGAGGCAACAAACAAGTCGGTCATCATCTTGGAAGAAAGATTGAGGCAAAATTACCTCCTCAGCAACTCTTTTGTTGGCAGTTATACTTCCCTCAAAGGCTTCCAAAATCCTTGCAGCACGCCCCCTAGCATCGTTGATATTGGTTGCACTCATCATCTCGTGCACAAACAAATCTACCCACTTAGGACTATCAACAGTAGTTCCATTATCAAACTTTTGTTTGATATTATCTACATCTTCAACATTCTGTTCTGACATTTGACTACCTGGTTTACATAGAAAGCACAAAATCCACCGTCAGTTTCAAATGAAACACGACATGCTAACACGATGAAAAGTGACTGAAAAACAAAAGCAACTAAGCAAGAACAATTTAAACAAACAACTTACACGTAGCAGTCCCATGAACAGGAATATCAGTACAATTTCCAGTTCTCGCATAATCAAAGCTATGTGGTGGTTTATTTCTTTCCTCAAGATCGGAGGAAAGAGCGTTCAAACTCTCCCTTAGATCTTCAATCTTATTGTTGTGATTTCTAAGAGTGGTTGTTATTAACTAAACACAGAATCATGAAACAAGCTTAGCACATCATAAAGGTTTTAAACAAAGAAGATAGTAAATGAACCTTTTAAGGAACAAAACATCAAAATTTCACAAGTATCTTTAAACAAAAGCCAAATAAAACATAGGAAATCAATAACGAAAAAGAATAACATTTGAACAGAAATGAACCTCAGGATCAAAAGAAGGGAACATTTGCAACATAGTTGAAGCCGGGTCATCGGGTCTGGACTCAGAATCCGACGATGGGTTCGGAGATTCAAAACTGGAACACCTAAATCTCTTGGGAGAAGATCCGAATATTTCTTCAAATCCCACCCTTTTCCCACAAACCCCTGCAGACATGGCTCCTCTTAAAACCTTAAAAAGGGGTTTAAAGTTTTATCCTCAAATTAACAAATTCTTTTTATTTTAAAAAAAAAAAAAAACACTTCGATCTGGAAGTAGAACCCTTATTATTGGGTTCAAATTAAATCGAACAGTAAACGGTTGATGCAAGGAAAGTACCCAGGAGACAGGAGTTGAGTTGCTTTCATTTTGATTCGGTGTATCTCGGAGTACCGGTTTTGGATGTGATAACAATGTTGGGAACCCTGATGGACCATGCTAACGGCAATGATGGTTTGTCGAAGATTCCTTTTGATGTTAGGGATTAAAAGGTAATAGCATACCATTGTTGCACCTTACAATTTTTTATTATAGTTGTAAAATTATTATTTCACAAGTGAATAAAATTATTACATTTGCATTTATTATATTATTACTTATTTTAATCTTATACCATTCTGATGAAATTAAAATGATAATTTTCTTTTATTCCAAAGTACGAGGTTAATGTTGGATTTTCAAAGTCAAAATAATCACAACCGAAAAAGAAGACAACATTTTCCAGCTTGGCAGGCTGTAATATTAAACCATTTAATTTTTAGAACGAAAATTGTGTTGATTTTAAATTGTTACTATGATTTTGTAAAAGATGGAGAGTTCACGTTAAATTTTGAAACACGATATTCTAACATCATTGTCGGATGAGAAGAATTTGTTTACTTGTTAAGTAGTTGAGCATGAAAAAAATAAAATTGTCATATTCGTGATAAATTTAATTTAATCAATGAATATTGACTTAGGAGATAAATTTTTTTTATTTTTTTTTAATTGTTTGAATTTAAATTTGTTATAGTATAAAAAATAATTTTTGATAAACTTTTTAAATTTAACACAAATAAACCCATTTGAATACATTAAAAAAATCAAACCTAAAAGCTTCTTCCAACTAAAATATGAACTTAGTTTGAAAGAAAAGTTAAGATGCCTTCTCCTATGCAAGGGTAATAGAAGAGGGGTTTCTTACAGTACTTGGCTGGCTTGTCAAGTAATGACAAAAAAGGATGTAAAACGAAGACAATTGAGACTTTAAAATGGATTACATCTCAAGCTAGAAATGATAGTACAAGATTCTTTTAATCATTTGGAAGCAAAATTGCCACTTGTGGCTGTAGTTTAGTGGTAAGAATTCCACGTTGTGGCCGTGGAGACCTGGGCTCGAATCCCAGCAGCCACATCTATTCGTTGTTTATCCCTTTTTTAGTTAAATTTTATTATTTACAAAACATTGTTTTAAACGACTTCGTTTATAAGCCAACTTAAAAAACGTTCTTGTTATATACAGCCTTGTTCAAGGGTTTTTCTGGTTTCTGACCATTTTGGGATTCTTCGGGATACTCGTCTTCATTACTCGCAAAGCTGTCATCGTAAGAGTTCTAAATTTTACAATTAAATCTTTTTTTTAGATCTTTTATAGTACAATTTCCTTTTCCCAATTTTCTATATCTTTAATTTTTTATTACACTTTTTAGGTTAAGTTTTTGAGATAATTAATATTGTAATTTCCGTTTATTTGATGTAACAATCACCGACTATTAACTGTTATCTTTTGAATTTTGGGTTACATGATCTTGTAGTTCAAGAAAGATTCAATCTCTTTTCCCCTAATGGTCCTTGAATGATCCATAATTGCCTCATAAGAGATTTTATTTTCGTATTTTAAGTTTTGATCGGAATAATGAATTACAATGTGTTTAATTCGAGTGTTTGGCAGTTTGGGTTTCGTGTATTTTAACTCATGACTTGGATTGTAAGTGAATCGTTGGGGGCTTCATGTTCTGATTTGGCCGTTTGCTGTGTTCTGATATGCGTTTGCTGTGTTCTGATATGCCTTTTTGGTTTCTGTTTGGATAAAATAAACTTTAGGTTAAGGAATAAGGATACAGAGAAGAGTACAGAGTCAATTAGAATTCACATTGCCTCAAATGTCATTAATGGTCTTTTTTTCGCAGCCTGATTTGGCCATGAAATAAGATTAAATTTTTATGTTCGGAAACTGATTTAATCTGTTACTTTTGCTTGTAATGTCTCAGATGATTGACGATCAAGACCTTGGCTTCTTTGCGAATTTCCTTGGAATCTTCATTTTCGTTCTGGTTATAGCTTATCATTACGTGATGGCTGACCCAAAATATGAAGGCAATTGAGGATTTTTAACTTGTTTTAAAGTTGCCTACAATGGACATTTAGATAATAGTTTTGTAGACTGAGTTGTTTCAGAAATGGAGACAAATGAATGTTGTTAAAAACTTTCAAAAAATTATTGCTATAAATGTCATCTTATTGCTGATGCTTTGCTTCAGATTTATTTATATCTGTTTATTTTGTTTTTGCTTTACATGCACAAGATCTTAAGTGCTTTAGCAGCAATTGATGGGCACTGACTTCCTCAGGCAACTGCTTTGAACGTATAGTTCAGCTTCAGCACTTGAGGCTGCATTGTGTTGGACATGCAGCTAATGTCTTGGACTTAAAGTGGGGGTGTCATGTTAAAGGTGGTCGATCATGTGGTCCATGCTGTTTCAAATACAGCTTCAAGGAAACATATAATTCTCGAAGAATTATGTAAATTTCACTGAAATCCTCCTTGATAGGTCTATAGCAACTGAGATCGGGTATTCTTTCTGTACTTGAGGTTATGGGTAGCTAGAAAGTAGTAAGTGATGGACTAGTGAAGTGGGAGTTATATTTTTCATGTGGCATTAAGCTTAGATAACAGTTCATACGAATTTATACGTCTTGCTGGATTTACGCAATTTCTTTATTTATGTGGCTTCTCTCTTCAAATTATTAATGAAGAACCCTAGGCTGCTTATACAGAGAACCATTTGGCTCTTATTCTTAAGCTTCTCTTCAGCTTCATTAATCTCAGTCTTCTTGGCAGCTCCCATTGTTTGTTGAAGGAAAGACCTACAAATCTCCGCCATGACGTTTTATTCAGGCCCCAAACGTGTAGAGACATCTGCATTTGGTGGTTTTCCCAACTCGAGGTCATGGGATTCATTTTTCATTTGCAACTCGTTTTCAAGCTCTGCTAGGGACTTGACTAGTAACACCTCAGGCATTTCAGTAAAGACCCAGTTTTGTCCGTGAGATGATCTAGATCATTGTTTATGGATCTACCCCCAATTAATTCCCACCCTCTGGGATGCTTCTGAGAGAAATTCAATATGGTGGATCACAAAGGGTAATAAATCTGCCATTTTGTAAATAGGCCTTAGAAGTTTATTGTAAATAGTAGTATGTTTTTCATTATTCTGAACTTTACCACTTAAGTCAACAAAGACATTTGCATTGATTAAAAACATGGTATGATTATGTTCATAAATAGAAAAGGGTTAATGTCATATTTTGTCTTTATATTGTATTTTAAAAATTTTTAAATACAAAATCAACTCGTGAGATAATGTAGTATTTGAAATTAATATATTGACGTGGGGTCAAACATGACATTATGCTAATAAAAAATTCACTATTTATAACAAAACAATTATATTTACAAGTAAATATCCGGAAAAAAAACTTATTATTTTCATTTTTTTCAAGTAAATTTTTTATGCATTATAATCCATCAATTTTCTTTGTAACTTCCATACCCTTTCGTCAAAATAAATTCAGCACATGAACAAAAACAACAAAGTGTTGCCCGACAAAGACAAAAGTAAAAGCAGAGAAAAAAAACAGTCTTTGATTTTCTCTTTTTTTTTTTCGCCGTGGAATCTTCTTGGACGGCGACGGTCCCATGAGAACAGCCTTAACGAGCAGCCTTAACGAGATGTACCTTTCTTACACGTAACCTTTTTCGGCCAATGAACATTAGATCTGTGCGGACGGTCTAGATCCAATCAAATCACTGTACACAGGTGGCACGAAATTACTGGATATTTAGAACCTACTATTTAGAAAGCCCCGTACAAATCGCAGAAAATAAGTTTCAAGATCGGACGGCTCCTAAAGTCCGGGGATTAGAACATTCTGGAAACTAAACATAAAAAGACCTCTATTTAAACAGACTATTTTCTTCTTGCTAAGCAACTTGAAACCCTAATTGTTAGCAGCTGTTTTTCTCGTTTATTCGTTTTTTTTTTCTTCTGCATTCTTTTTTATTTTCTTTTTCGTCGGCACTGCTAAAGAAGAGAAAGTAATGGCCGGTAAAGGAGAAGGTCCAGCGATCGGAATCGATCTCGGAACCACTTATTCTTGCGTTGGCGTTTGGCAACATGATCGTGTTGAGATCATTGCCAACGATCAAGGTAACAGAACGACGCCGTCTTATGTTGGCTTTACTGATACCGAGCGTTTGATCGGCGATGCAGCAAAGAACCAGGTCGCCATGAACCCCGTGAACACCGTCTTCGGTAAGCCTTGACTCTGTTTTGTCATTTTATTAGGACTTTACTTTCTTTTGCATAGTTTAGATCTTGTCTTTTTATTGGATCTGGATTTGTCTTGTTTAGATCTATGCGTAGGTTGGTTTTTGATAAGTAGAAAAATAGAGATCTGAACTTTATTAGCTAAGGTTGCTAAGATTTACCGAGGAACCACTGTAGCTTGAACTTAGATTCTTGTTCAGATCTGAATCTTTTTTATTTTGAAACTTGAGGTAAAATCTATTCAATACTGTGGACTATCCTATAAATGAGAATTTTGACTTGTTCGTTAGACCTGTTTTGTTTAGCTTTTGTTTTAGTTATAGTTTTGTTTGATCTATGGCTCTTAGTCTTAAACAGATTAAATTATTTGTTTTGTTGATAATCATATTCGTTTATTGTTAATTGTTCTCAACATTGAAGTTTTATTCAATTTTCATTTTTTTAAATCTAGTTCTATTAAATATAGTTCTAGTATGTAAAATTAGAATACTTTTATGTGATCATTGTTTTTGCATAATAAGTATAAAATAACTTAGGTTATAATCTTTACTGTTCGCTATTTTAAGATCGAATTTTTTGGTACAGTTTTGGATGTGTCTGTTTTAATTGGAGTTGTGAGATAAGCTTTGATTAAGTTAAGTAGTTATATTAGGTATTGCATCTCATCAATGGCTTGAAAATTATTAGCAATTTGTAGATTGAAGTTTTGTGGTTACCGTCCTGTTTATTTTGTTATCATTTGAATTTGTTTGGGTGAACTAATGTGTTTTGGTGTTACAGATGCAAAGAGGTTGATTGGTCGTAGATTCAGTGATGCCTCTGTTCAGAGTGATATTAAATTGTGGCCATTCAAGGTCATCTCTGGGCCTGGTGACAAGCCCATGATTGTTGTTTCTTACAAGGGTGAGGACAAGCAATTTGCTGCTGAGGAGATCTCTTCTATGGTACTCATGAAGATGCGTGAAATTGCCGAGGCTTACCTTGGCTCTACAGTTAAGAATGCCGTGGTTACTGTACCTGCATACTTCAATGATTCACAGCGTCAGGCAACAAAGGATGCTGGTGTCATTGCTGGTCTTAATGTCATGCGTATTATTAATGAACCCACGGCTGCGGCCATTGCTTACGGTCTTGACAAGAAGGCTAGTAGTGTCGGCGAAAAGAATGTCTTGATCTTTGATCTTGGTGGTGGTACTTTCGATGTCTCTCTTCTTACAATTGAAGAGGGTATCTTTGAAGTGAAGGCCACTGCTGGAGACACTCACCTTGGAGGTGAAGATTTTGACAACAGGATGGTGAACCACTTTGTGCAGGAGTTCAAGAGAAAGAACAAGAAGGATATTAGTGGTAACCCCAGAGCTCTTAGGAGGTTGAGGACTTCTTGTGAGAGGGCAAAGCGAACCCTCTCATCCACTGCCCAAACCTCCATTGAGATTGACTCCTTGTATGAGGGTATCGACTTTTACTCAACCGTTACCCGTGCCAGATTTGAGGAACTTAACATGGATCTATTCAGAAAGTGTATGGAACCTGTTGAGAAGTGTTTGAGGGATGCCAAGATGGACAAGAGCAGCGTCCATGATGTTGTGCTTGTTGGTGGCTCTACTAGAATTCCCAAGGTTCAGCAGCTTCTGCAGGATTTCTTCAACGGAAAGGAGCTCTGCAAGAGCATCAACCCTGATGAGGCTGTCGCCTATGGTGCTGCAGTCCAAGCTGCTATCTTGAGTGGTGAGGGTAATGAGAAGGTGCAAGATCTTTTGCTCTTGGATGTCACCCCCTTGTCCCTTGGTTTGGAAACTGCTGGTGGTGTCATGACTGTTTTGATTCCAAGGAACACCACCATTCCCACCAAGAAGGAGCAGGTCTTCTCTACCTACTCCGACAACCAGCCTGGTGTATTGATCCAGGTCTATGAAGGTGAGAGAACAAGGACCAGAGATAACAACTTGCTTGGTAAATTCGAGCTCTCAGGTATCCCACCAGCTCCCAGGGGTGTTCCACAGATCACTGTGTGCTTTGATATTGATGCCAACGGTATCTTGAATGTGTCTGCTGAGGACAAAACCACTGGGCAGAAAAACAAAATCACCATTACGAACGACAAGGGAAGGCTTTCCAAGGAGGAAATTGAGAAGATGGTTCAAGAGGCAGAAAAGTACAAGTCTGAGGATGAAGAGCACAAGAAGAAGGTCGAGTCAAAGAACGCACTGGAGAACTATGCTTACAACATGAGAAACACAGTGAGGGATGAGAAGATTGGTGCCAAACTTTCTCCAGAAGATAAGAAGAAGATTGAAGATGCAATTGAGCAGGCCATCCAATGGCTAGACAGCAACCAGCTTGCCGAGGCAGATGAGTTTGAAGACAAGATGAAGGAATTGGAGAGCATCTGCAACCCCATCATTGCAAAAATGTATCAGGGTGCTGGTGCTGACATGGGTGGCATGGATGAGGATGTCCCAGCTGGTGGAAGCGGTGCTGGCCCAAAGATTGAGGAAGTGGACTAAGAAAGTAGTCTGATTTCTTTTATCTACTTCTACTCTATGTCTTTGGTGTCCGATTCGTTTTGAATCGGATTTAATTATGTCTTTGGTGTTGGTTTCGTTTTGAATCGGATTTATAATCATTTTCTGGGTTTGAACCTCTTCTGAGTATTTTGTCGGAAGCCACTTTTAAGATTTTAAGCAATCTATTATACTTGGATCTTGGAAACAGAAATTTATAATTGGGGGTGTTATTGCCAGGTTCCGGCTCTTTCATAAAGATTTTCATTGCGCAACTATTTTCTTGCTTGGTTTTAATTTTGACGTCAATTGCTTTGGATCCTTTTTTTCGTTTTAAGGTAACAAAAACATTTTTAAATAATCAGGAGCAAAAAATACATGAAGGGAACTTGTAAAATCATTGCTTTTTGATAATTCAGGATCAGATAAAGTTGTGTTTGCAAAACCTTTTTCGATTTTCCTATGTGATTGATAGTATCTTTTCCTTATCAACTTCAACTAGTCATAGGATACTGGAGGCAGGTGGTGGTCCGAAGGCACTAAAGGGTTCGTGGTCCCTTTGGTTGGATAATATTTGTCTTTTTTTTTTTTTTTCATTTTTTCAAAGAATTTAGTGGTTGTTAAGGGTGATAATAATTCTGTTCGAAATAAATTTAGATTGATTTTTTAAATATTATATAATATTATAAAAATTTAAAATTTGATTTAAATTTGAATTAAATTTTTATTTGATTCAAATTAAATTAAAATTTATGTTAAATTTAGTTTATTAATTTTTAATTTTTATATATTATTTTAATATAAAATTATTTAAATTTTTTTTTTAAATATATATAAATTAATTCAAATATAATATATATTTAATATTTAAATTTGATTTCAATAGAATAAAAAAATTAACTTGAATAGAATCAAATACTATAATTTTTAATCGATTTTTAGATTTTTTAATTTTTTTTCGCTTTTCGTGGGGGTAATAGCAGTCGTAAATGGGATGGGTTGGATGGGTTTGGACTCTGGGTCAAAATTTGACCCAAATGAGATGCTGGTGGCTGCTCTTAATGAAAAACCAAATTTACTCGTTATAAAAAGAAAAAGGAGGTGAGGTCCAAATCCCCATCGCCATGAAACCATTAACCGAAAAAAAAGAGAGTGATGTTCTTATTATAAAATGCGGAAGGTCGAAAATCTAAGCTGAGAGATGGATTGGCTTTTGGAGTTTGGACGCATCATCATCATCATCTTCAACTTCTCCACAAGCTTAGAAGAAGATAACTCAGGATTTTTATACTACAATCTGCTCTCCAAACCAAAAAGTTCTTCCTTTCTAAATTCAACTCAATTTGGTTTCTTTTCTCAACCTTCATAAATGAGACGTTTTTTCTGTTTAAAATTAAAAAGAAAAATATAACGATCCACCTTTCTAACAGCTTTCCCTCCTCACTTCCTGAGATTTTTTTTTTCTTTTTAATCTGATAGAGGAAAAAGGAGAAGCAAAGCAGACAAAAATCTATCTGTAACCGACAAAGAAAATTCCACACAAAAGAACCTGTTGAGCCATAGAATTGGTTTTTGTTCCCTTTTAATTGAAGATAAATAGATAAATCCAATCAAGCTACAGTAATAGTTTAGTCGAAAGGACAAAGTGACAACTATTTTGCTAGACGTTGGACATTGTAGGTTACCAAGGGGAAACGTGTCATTCTAGACCATGGTCCTTGGTTTTAACCCACAGAGTTTCGCCAACCCACTGTCTTAACGATGCAAAAGAGAGGGCCCCCCTTAATTCTTCACTTAGTCCTCACGATAGCTTATTGGTACCTCTTTTCACCCAAATTATCATTTAGATCTTTCTTTTAGATGTAAAAAGTTTGTTAGGTATCACCACTTTATTTGGTTTCAAAAATGTGTTTGCCTTCCACGTTGGGTAGCATTCATTCCTCGCAGAATCAGTGTGTTTGGAATCATTTGACCAAAGTCTTGTCAATGTCGTCTTCTGCTTTGGGTTTGGGTCGACTTCTTCATTTTCATATTCCATGGCTAAACTAAAAGGCTTGTTCAATGAATCAAACTAACAAAACAGTGACATTTACTTTTTTTTTCCTCAGAAGAATTTTCTCGTGACAGTGTCCTAAAGGTTCAGTTGGAAAATGCAACCAAAATTCTTCGTATACGAGAGAAAGAGAAGAGGAAAGTGCATTTATCTGTTGGCCGACATGGTTTTTACAAAAGAATTCTACTTATGGCAGAGATTGTGGTGAGTGCAAACAATTGCATAAGTCAAGACATTAACCCCTAATTAAATTCCATGAGCTGCAACAAGAGCATCGAGAGAAATATTGCTATTACAAACACAATGAAAGGAACTGAAGAGCTAAATAACCAAAAAGTATACTATCTTTATATTAATGACTATAATCAAACATAAGTCTGAAAATCAATTATAGTTACACTCAAATGCTAACCAAAATCATGGGGAAAAAACCATAGCAATGAGCGAGTAAAATTTGCAAAACACATTTTGTTTCATAGATTACACTGTATGGTACAAAGTCAGTAAAACAATGAAGCACCAACCATGGTAACTACCCTTATGATCCTCCATAAATGCTACTTCATGTCAACAAGAGATCATTCCCTACAAGCTTAGGGCGGAGGCAAACACGGATTTCGTGTTCTTCAGGCAATACCCGCAGTTTAGGCACTATAATCTCAAGCACAGAACCCGGACCATCATGATATGCTTCTATGTTAGCATCTTCAGGAATTCGTGTTGACAGTGGAATTTCTCTAACAAACTCCCCAGGAGGGCAATGCTCAGAAGCAGGATCTGTCAGTTTGAAAGTCCTATCATGTCTCTTGATGAAAGGCATGCCGGATGTGCTCACACAAGATACCTTTATGATACCATGAGTGATAGTATTCCTCCAAGAGACCTTGACCCTCTGAAGATCAACAAAAGGCAAGCTGATAATGATTAAGTAACCTGCTTCATCCTCATAGATTGCTTTTGCAGCAGTAACAGGCCCACAGACATTTTTCATTACCCCACTGAAGTCATTTAACCAGTGTGGCTCACTGGGATGAATTTCCATGTCTGGAATTTGGTCAGACGGAGGAATGGCAAGCAAATAGCAATCATCATTTTCGGGCGGGAAAAAGTCTTTCCTCCTTTTTCTGCTGACAAGTGATAAGTCCATCCCGTCACCATAGCTATGGCTAGATGCTTGAGTAGACAAATTGAGCCCAGACCCATTACGCAGCTTCTTTGAGTGAGAATTTGATACACTCTTTAATGGAGGAGGCCTCTCTAGCTCAAAATCAGTGTTTGGAAGGTTTCTCCATGAACTAAAATCACTAGCTTCAGGTGGTATTGTAAAATTTAAATCCCTTCCAGTAAGCTGCATCCACTTTTTCCGTTCTTTCTCATTAACAGCCTTAAGATTTGGAGATGGAACAACTTCAATACCATGCACACACTGGGGGTTTGACAGTCCTCTGTAATGCTTCCGTTGCATCCTGTGTGAACGGACAAATCCCTTATCAGCACAAAACGGAAACGGACGCTCCCCTTGGCGAGAATGCCCATTCATGTAGCTTCTAAGCTGCATCTTACCCAATGCATTCGCTGGTCTCTCCTTGAAAACCCACATGTACAAGTTCTCCATGTCGTGCTGAACCATAAAAACATCCAACTTGAGATCTGATTTATCAAATCCAGAAACACCATTGCTATCACGAATTATCTTGGTCTTTGATTTGTCATTCAAAGCAGGCTTAAAGTAAAAACTAAAGAAAAACCAAGCACCCCATATACCATCTACCCGCTTGGCACATTTTCGTCCTGTCTTAGGAACACTGAGATAGATCTCAGTCTCATAAGCTTGTGAACCGAGCCCAACATCCAAAATATCACAGTGGTCAGAGTTCCATGGCTGCGGGGGAGGGCTACGCTCAGCAGAGAGGGGCAAATTGATATCAGGCGGACGAGAAAGAACAGTTTGCCTATTCATTTCCAAATCGAATTCATCATGAGAAGAAGCGCTTGAATCCATTGATAAAAGAGTGGAAGGGTGATGATTCTCCATTGAGAAGGCCGTGAGAATAGAATCTCCAATTTCAGCTTATCCGGTTCGAGGAGATACGTTTTGTTGCTGGTGGATTGAATTTTTCCATTTCCGGAAAAACAAAGAATTCAACAAAATAACAACCTTATAAACATCTCCATCATCACCACTATCATCATATCAATCACCACATGATCTCCCCTCCATCAAAACCCTAGAATTTATCAATCAGAAAACATACAACAATTCCCACAAAACCCACAGAAATTAACAAAATTTTGTCAAGTGAGTAACCCCAACTTAATATAACAAACCGAACATTTGAAAAAAAGAAAAAAACTTACTTTTCCCCCAAAGAAATGTATATAATGCTAATAATAATACAGTAACGAAAATAAAGGACTCTATTTTAAAAAAGTGAAAAAAAAAATCTCTTCAATCTCTACCAAAGGAGAGAGAGAGAAAGCAAAATTGCTAAAGAAAGACAATATCCAATCCTAACCCCAGAATCTCCCGAAATCCTCCAAACACAGGTGGGAAAGACTGAATCAAAAACATCAAATCCATCAAAAAAGAAAAACCCAATTCTTATTTTTTCCGTTTTGTGAAAAAAAAAAAATAGATAGAATTTATATATCTAAGTATAAAAAACCCAACTTTGAAGAGAAAGAAGGAAAATTTTTCTAGAAGAGAAGTGAAGGGATCTTCAAAGAGTACCTTTTGGGATAAGCATCATAGAATCGAGATGAAGAGGGACCTCCACGAACTATTATGATGCTCATCTCTACCAAATCATCATTACCTAAAACCTTATCCACCATTGTTGTTTCCTTTCTTTTCTGTTTCTCTTTTTTTCTTTTCTTTTTTTCTTGTCTTCCCTCTATTATGCGTTCACACCTTTTCCTTTTCTTCTTTCCTTTTCATCCTTTGTACTGCCTTCACAAAAGAAACAGAGAAGAGAAGAGAAAAACGGGGCAAAGACAAAAGATTGGAGAAAAAGGACGTGAATGGGACGACAGAAACAGAAACGTGAGGCACCGTCTCATTGTAGAAGAGGTTATGTCAGTTAAAGCCTACACTGGATATCGCCGATTCAACTTGCCGTTACTTAACGATAACGGTGCACTTTTTCTCGCGCCATTTTTTTATAGGTCAAAACTCCACAGTTTCCTGCAACCAGGTTTTACTTATGTTTTTGTTTTTACTTGTTTTTTACTTTTTCCTTTTAAATGTTTCCTTCCTACTTTTAATTTGAATAAATAACTAAAAAATTAATGAAAAATCTATCTTTGTAGCATGGAAGATATATATAATCAAAAGAAAATTTTAATGGGGAATGAAGAATATGGTGAGTTTGATTTTTTTTTTAAGTGTTAACATGTGATTTAGTTTTTAAATTATATAATATTTTACGATTTAAAATTTATTAAAAAAATTTTAATTAGATATTTAAATTTTTTCTTCATCGAATATTTTATTTCCCACATTAATTTTGTTAAAAGTAAATTAATGTGCCAAAAAAATCGATAATATCATGATAATGATACACTTTCATAGGTCACTATTTATCAAGTTAGATTTTTATCTAACTTATTAATCAACGATGCAATATGTTTAAGGAAAATAAAATTTGAGTACTTAATTGTAAATTTTTTTTGTAAATACCAAATCTTTAAAAATAGTATAATTTAAAGACCAAATTATATATTAACCTTTTTTATAAAACAATCAGGAAAGATATAAAATTCTAATTTTATAGACAGATACTATTAAAGATGAGACATTTGGGTTGTTTCCTTTAGGGATGAAATTTAATAATATGATTTTTCTCAATTAAAAAATGGTTGATTTTGATGGTTTTAGAATTTAGAATTTTCCCCATGGGGCTAAACAAGTTCAATTTCTCAAATTGGAAAAATAAAAAGTAAGAAAGCAACAAAATCTTATAGGCATTAATAACCATTTAATGAATATCTTTACAAATCCTTTTATTTTGTGGTTTTCTTCACCAATTCTTCATTATTTTGGCAATTTTCATGGGTTGGTTGATAAGCCACCTGGTTTGGAATGGGGATTGGAACTCCCTCTCATGCTTAATGGTGGGTGTGGCTATCAGTCCTTTCATAGAGGGATTTCACCAACATTGCCTAAACCCTAAAAATCTCCACCTACTGATCTCGTGAAAAGTGGGTTTGCTTTTTTATTGTGCACTTGATTTGGATCTTCTGCTTTTGAAAATATTAATACAAATTTACTTGCTAAAACCATGTTTTCTTTGAGTTCATAAAATTAATTTCTGATATTTAATGACAAATTCACTCATTTATATGGTATTTCTAAAGATAATGCAGTTTTCCCATGTGCTTACAACAGGACTTTCCTTGATTTATGGAATTTTTTTTCTTCAATTTTGATTTAACCATAACAAAATTTTCAGCCTTTTGCAACATTTTCTGTCTGAATATTCATAATTTACTTATAGATAGGCTTGGATTTCATAATTAAAAACATATATATATCTTTGAAATGTTATAAAATTCCATTGACCAAAATCAAACAATACCAAAATATGGATAGATTTTGATTTCCCCCTTGGGGGAGAACCACAAATCTCATTTTTTCTTCATAAATTTGACATGAAATAGACAAATAAATTGCATTCTAATTTGGAAAAAAACTTCTAAGACAATGGGATTTTTTTTTTAAGAAACTAAAAAATGACAATAACATAGACAAGATAAACAGAAAAATATATGGTTTTGACAAATATTTAATGAATGATGGGGGGGATGACACTGATCTACACAAATTATCTTTCCACCCATATAAGAAAAGAGCATAGTTGGCTTTGTTTATAAGCACAAAGTGTTAAGGTCACCCTTTCTTTTTCATCCTTATAATAATGGCCCAGAAGTTGCCTCATAGATCACCTAGGGCTAGGCTCTATTATAGGATGATTTTGCATTATTCATGCATTTCTGTGTCTTTGAAGTTTACCTTGTAGTCTCTCGTTTCAGATAGGTTCGAAGAAAATGGAAAGTGGGGTCATGTTAAAGCATATATTATGAGAGCTAAACAGGTCCAACTGGGGAAACTCTATGCTCACTTAGATGCATATATAATGAAGTAAAGAAACCATGTTGCAGCATGCAAAATAAACTTTTATATTTGAGATAATGTTAAAAAATCTAAAAGAAACACTGAAACTGGATGGGGAAAAGAAACAATCTTTACCATTTAAAATTCAGTATTTGACTTGATTGATTTGATTTAATTGGTTAAAATTTATATTTTTTAATAAAGAGATTTTAATTTTGAATTTTATTGTTAGAATTATTTTAAATATATAATTTGTAATCATTTATATTAGACTGTTAAATATAATACATTTTATTTTAAATTAAAGGAACAACTAACCTATCTATCTGAAATAAAAAACTCAATAATTGAAATAACTTATAATAGAGATTTTGAAGGAGATTGGTGGCATTTGGGGATCCTACTCGTCTCACTTATCCAAAAAGTGTAAACTTTTTTGAAGTCTTTTAACATGTGAATAGCAACATCATGGGCCGTATCCAATGAGTTGGTGAGAATCAAATCTTCAAAGCACACGACGTGAATTTTCCATTTTTTTTTTTTTTTCTGTTTTGCCTTTTGCCCACAGGAAACAAGTTATTTGGGCAAATTGCTACATGCCATGTTGTCATTTGATGTATGTAGGCAACCAGCAATGGATCAGAATTTTGAGGATTAAGAAATGTATAGTGGAGAAATTTTTTTTTTCTAATTTTGGCCATAATATGCCTTACATATCTGATATCTTTATGGTGGTTTCTTGATATTAATTTATTTGAATGTTTTTTCTTTTATTTAATTAATGTGCTCCAAGGTGATTCACATGTCTATATTGTGAAATATATAGTGAGAATTAGTAGCAACTAGAAATTCAGCATAGTTTTTAACTTTTTTTTTTAACAAAATAAAAGGAAGAATCCTACTTATTGAAGTAAAAATTTAGATCAAGTGCATACTTATTGAAATTTTAATTAATTAATTAATTATTTTCATTGAGAGAATGGGGAATTTTTTATTTTATTTATTTTTAAATATACAAGGTACATGCATTTAGTATTAAATGTCAGTAAAATCAACTTTTTAGCTCAAAAGTTAAGAATTTTAAATTCGAATCCTAATCATAATTCATAATCCGAAGACAAAAAAACCCAATACTTTATAGGATTTTCTTTCCAAGTTTGCTAATGAGATATGAACAAAAAAAGAAAGAAGGGTTATGATAAATTGGACTGTCCAATTAGAGTTAGCAGGCTAGAATAGTGATTTTCTGCTTATTTAGTAGCTAAAATTGGATCATTCTTAAGGAATTTCCAATAAGAAATGATATGGGCCATGACTTATATTGTAGTTCATGTGCAATAATGCAGCTAGCTGAGCTATTGTTATCATTTCTTCTTATCAACATCAGCAAGCCACCGACTCTCAATGGCCACTTGTCCTTTGGATTTACCAAGAGCAAGTGCCCATTTTTCCATATCTCATCTAAATCTGATAGCTGAATTTCTGCTCTTTACATCTTTAATGGAGTCAAGTTATCTCAGGAGTATCTGATATTTCTTCTCTTTTCTGCTTGCTAATTTTGACTTTGTTTTGGCAGGCATTTGAAGGTCATCGATTTGACCTGAAAAGGATTTAGAACATTCGGCGTTTGTACCAATTTCTGAACCTAAAAATGGCCGTTCCCCCCATTCATATCCGTGCCATCCACGTCTATGGTTACCTATGATAACGAAAGTGAAAGCCTTTAATTTGTTAGCATACATTTTTCATGAAATAAAAAATTATAAAAGCATAATCTCAGGTCGCCTAGCAATCAACGCCAACTTTAACTTCTCCACCAAACTTTCCTACCAGTGCTGCAACCGTGCCTAACTCCTCGTACTATGGATGAAGGTCACCATGGTTTCCGATTTAACCCGATTCTCGTCGGCCTTTTTGGAGTTATTGCCGGAGCCATCATGGTTGCTACTTATCATTTAGTTTTCTCTATTTGCAATTGCTGTCGCAGGCAGATGCTGGACACTGCCAATACCAGGCAAAATGTTCAACATATTCAGCAGGAAAGGCCTAGTGACAGAAACAGGGGTATTTCAACACCCAGGTTAATCCCCATATTTAAATACAGCAAAGATTGCAATGAAGACATGTGTGCCATTTGCTTGGGTGATTTGAAGGAAGGTGAGCAAATTCGGGTATTGCCAGACTGTTTGCACTTTTTCCATGTGGCATGTATTGATACATGGCTAAATTTGCATTCTAATTGCCCGCTTTGTCGCGCTGATACTTCCTCACTTCCAGAGCAGGTGGCCGTGTCTTTGCCGGATTCTAGCAGAACACCACCCCTGGAACTCAGTAGATTACCGGATTTTGGTGTGTAATTTTCCAAATGATGAAAGGGATAGCTTTACTATGAAGTTTATTTGCTTGGAAGTGCGTCAAAGCGAGAAAATGCCTAGTGAAAGAGAAAAAGTAGATGTATATAGTTCGTCATGCAAATAGCATCATTCTTTTTTATGAATTCGGTTCCTGTCAAAGCCCGCATTCTACCATTTATTTTCTCTCCACTTTAAGGATAAAGGATAATCGTGTTTCATGTTTTTAACTTGATTTAAAAAGTTTGAAAGAACATGTAAAGTGAGAATTCGAACCCCACTATCTCATCGTTATCCCCTATCGTATAAACCAAAAAAATAATTATGTTTCAAATGTCAACTATCCTTTAATGATGAAGCTTAAGAACAGTTTTTAATGCCCAAAAATCCAATTTTCAAATTTGAATATGGGTTTATAACATTATTCTAATGTTGTTTACAGATTTTATATATCTTATGAAAACCTTTGATATACAAACTTATGAATTATAATTTGTCACACTATCTCCACTGTTTTCATCACTATTGTCTAAATATTTCCAACACTATATAATGTATCCTATAAGTATATAAATCATCCCAAGAGCAAGAAGGTTGAAAAAGGACACAGTAATCAGCAAGTTTCCAATGTTTGGAAGCCTGGTTTAAATTGGGCCTTATAAACCCATCATAACAAAGGTAACAGGCCAAGAGCTTTTGTGGGTGTGGTTACATTAATTTGGCCTCCTTTTGAAAGTACTGAACTAGATTTGTATTGAGTTTGGTTCAGTTCAAAACATAAGACAATGACTAAAATGGCTCAAAAACCAACCAATCCATAAACCAGTAACATGCAGGTTTCATGATTGATGTTACGTGAATTTTGTCCCAACGACCGCTTATTTTCCATAAATCATTGCTTTTGAAAATTCCCGAAAATACATCACCATCACCGCCTACCGCACCATTTCTCTACCTCCCTCACCTGCTCAAATAAAAATAAGTTTGAAGTCTTTTACTATCGTTTTTTTTTTCTCTTTATCATGGAGAACTTACCAACCATTATCAGACCACCACCACCACCACCACCACCACAACTACCGCCGTATGTCTTTGCAGCACCACCACTTTCCCAGCTTGATAACACTACTAACAGTACTATTATCAGGTCACCTCCGCCTTTACCTTCTTCTTTATCACCCCAAATATACCCTATAGATCAAAACGGAACTGTTACTATAGTGACCATCAATCCACCGCCAGCTTTTCCTGATTCATCAAGAAGCGTTGATTTATCCCCACTTGAATTCATCCTATCCCTTATGGCATTTATAACGATCCCTGCTATAATCTACTCTTTCTTTTTTGCTGTCAAGTGCCCTCCTTGGACTTCCAGGGAACGTCAGGACAGCCCTAGGGAGCTTCCCAGGGACAACGGTGGAAGTAATGTAGAAGTGATTGAGCGGAGGAGGGAGCCTGTTGCAGGTTTTAAGTACCAAAAAGAGACTCATTCTAAAGATATTGGAAGTGAGTGTCCTATTTGTTTATCCGTTTTTGCCGATGGGGAAGAAGTAAGGCAGTTGAGTGGATGCAAGCACTCATTTCATGCTACTTGCATTGATTTGTGGCTTAACAGCCATAACAATTGTCCAATTTGCCGGGCTTCTGTTACTATAAAGAGGCCAAATAATAATGATACGGCCCTGTCGGTTTCAGCTAGAGATAGTGATCTCCAACAAGGTTTGACAGATGCAGCCAATTTGGTTTGACATGCCTAGTTTAATTTCTTGATTTTTTTTTCTCCTTTCTTGCTAAAATATTGTTTTTCCCTTTTGGCCTTCCGAGGCTATATGGAAAGTGAAAATGGCAAATGGAAGATTTGGTATTCAATACTTCGACTGGAATTGGTAGTCTAGAATCCAGATATCATATAGATTGGCCGTCAATTTTTTTCTTTTGGGTTATTTCCCTTTGAGGGAATGGGATGAATTCAAGGCAACTAAGAGCCAGGGTTTTGAGACAAAAGTTTTTGTGGATCATTCTTGTATTATAGCTTGAACTCTTCAGATAGAAATCGCATTGGTTACTTAATTAAAAGGGTAAGTATTGGTATCAGCCCTGAATTAACTCGGTCCTGATTCACAGGTTCAAAACTGAGTTACATTCACTTTTATTTTCTGTGATTCTGCTTTGAAAAAAACTGAAGAGAGGTTAAAAATGGGGGTGACTGATCCTTTTTTCTCAGCATTCCTTTTTTCTCCTTATAGGGCGGCTTTTTATTCATGACTTTGAATAGCTTCATCAATCATATATTTGTCTCATCTACTTCATTAGTCTAGTAATTTTTTTCTTTGTTTACCAAAAGCAAAAACAGTGGGATCCCACACGCGTGATCCACGTTCTATGTTTAACCGTGGCTCCATGCTCATTGACAAAATGCTCCTGCCAATCAATTCCCTGCAAATACGAAGATGAATTGCATATTTGCATTGGAATATATGCCTTTCCTCTTTGTTTCTGATCGAATCCATGACCTGGTTACACGGTTTACAGGGCCCATTTGTTGGGCCAAATTAAAGGAGCTCTACTCTTTTAATGGAAGGAAAGGTGTATCTCACAGAAAAGGCTATAGATTTCTATTCCGTGGAATCTGGATGCTGCTTTCGTTTACATTTTATAAAAAATTAAAAGGCATTTTTACAATGTAATTCAAAGACGGTGATTTTGCTATTCACAACACAATCCTTTGCCTACTTTTTTGCCGGTATGCATTTTATGAAGGGGTGGTTTGATCATTATCAGTTGGGGCCCAAATATGGTAAATGTTGACATATTCTTGAGTCCATGGGAGCTTTCCCCCATGGCTTCTCAAGCCCACACAAAGTATACGACCCATGCAATCTAACATCTTGCCTTTGATGGCACTCTCTTCCAGTTGTAGCAGGAAATTTCCTTTGTCATTCAGCTGAGAAGGATGTCAAAGTGGTTCTTGAATATAAAAATTTTGTTCAGCTGAGAAACATCATGATATAAAAAATGTATTCATAAATCTTGAATATATATTTATCATGATAATTCAGATTAAATCATGTATAAAAAATGATAATTTAAGCTATAAAAACGGAGGGAAATAATAGGAAAATCTTGTGGCGAAGGTCGACTAAACGCTACTAGACAGGTCAATGAATCAGATTTATTTCCCAATGCGCAATTGACACGTGGTTCGTCAATAGACAAATTTGTAATTTCGAATAAAAAGTGAGGGGTAATTCTGAAATTTCGACGAGTTTTACTCTTGACGAGAGTTCTATTCATGGAAACATAACATTTAGCGGGAACACAATTCGTTTCTGTTTCGTTCAAAAGCTTCTATATTTCCTTTTTTAGGGTTTTTCTCTGCTTTGAATCTTAGTTCACTGATTAATCCCAGGTTTGTCTCTTTTTCTTCTTCTTTTTTTGTCTTTTTCATTGTTAATTTTGTTAATAATTTCTGATCATATCAACCCTCGTTTTGACCTTTTCTTCACATTTTTCCCTTTTAATATTGCGTTTTGATCTATAATTTTAGGGTTGTTTTAGGTTGAAGGAATGTGAATAAAAATTATATGGGCAATTTAATTTCACTAATTTTGATTGAAAGTAGCAGCATTGCATTCAATTATTGCAATGGTATAGTTCAAATTCAATTTTTTTGAGTCAATTCTTGCTTTAGTCTGACTTGTACTATTTTGAGTGATAAATTTTGGGTTAGCTTGATTTAGGTTTGTATGGTCTCTTGGTAATGCGGCTAAAAAGAGTTAATTGTTTTGTTTTTCTGCTAAGCAAGTTAGTGAGGGAATATGATGGAAGACCCAAGTCCTTCGAGTGAGCAGAGTCCGGTTGCCACTCCAACAACTGCTTCAACTTCTAAGAGTCCTCAGCCAGCAGTTAAACATAAGAATGGGAGTGCTGGTCTTGTTGATAGGTGATTAATTACAGTTTTCACATGAATTCTGTTTCTTGTTCTACACTTATTTTAATCAGTTGTTGCTAAATCAGCTCTAGTAACTATATGTAAGAACTTGAGCCAGTGAGTACTGGTTCTGTTAGCCTGCAAGTAAATGGCACTTCAGGCTTGTCTATTTTCTTAAGTATCTTTCCCTTCTTTTCAACCTCGGCTTGTGATATTCTCTTTTTCGTTTTTTTTTTTTCGTTCTATATAACCAGTACAAGAAAGAAAAAGGTATCAAGAATGCCTGGTGGGGGGCTGCGCCAGTTCAGTGTTATGGGTTAGTAATTATTATTCTTATATACTAAATTAGATGCAATCTATTTTCTTTGGTATATTTTTATGCTATCTCAAATTCTTTGTATATTCCTTGAGAAATATAGGAAAGCTTGGTATGTTAAGATTTAGCAAGGTCAATGTACTTAAAATATGAATTTTTGCTGGAACTACTGATAGATAATTTTGGATTCCATGTTCATCTTAATTGACCTGAAAGATTTTCTCAGTTTGTAAGAAGTTGGAGAGTAAGGGGAGCACCACATATGCTGAGGTATGTATTCTCATTAAGATTTGTTTTCTCACAATACATAAATGTTTTTGCTACAGCAGTTATTGTTGAGGTTCATCATATGTGAATGATATGGTGACTTAAATGAGAATTTTGTTGAGTTTTGAGAAGCTATAATGTATATAATGTGCAGACTAATGTAATCTGAGAACATGATAGCTTGGTTACTCTTGCTTTCTATAAATGTAAAGATATGGTTGCATTTTGGTGTCTTAAAATTGGAATTACATCTTTTAAGTAATAAATCACTTGAGAAATTGTTATGATGCTCTATAATAGTGGAATATGCTGTCTTACCAATCCTGTCATGGTAAATAACTGTGGTCAATATAATCTATGTAAGGTTGTCAGTGCTTTTTCTGAGAGAAGATTTTCTTCCATCTTGGTTAGTATATCTCTTGCTGCATCTTTTCTAAGGCAAGCCTGAATTCACAAGTAGAGTTGAGTGGTTTATGATTCTCAGGTTGCGGATGAAATTATAGAAGAGTTTGCCACCACTCAGACTAATACAGCAGGATCTTTGGATGAGGTTTAATTCCCCATGAATTTTAAGTACTTATTCTTTAATTATTTGTTGCTTGCCGCTCACTTAAATGTATTGCAAAACAAATGAGCATTTTGGGTTTTTTTCAGTTCCATGAGAAGAATGTTCGACGACGGGTGTATGATGCATTAAATGTACTAATGGCATTGGATATTATTACAAGGGATAAGAAAGAAATCAGGTGGAAGGGGCTTTCTACTACACAAAGAAAGGATTTGGAAGAACTTAAGGTTGATAATCTTCTGACCATAATTAGTTGATGTAATTAACATTATGTGATAGAACTCACACATGTCGACATGAACATGAGATTTCACAGGAGGAAAGATTGTTCTATAAATCGGATGATCATGACTTTGTTTTTTCTGCTTGTAGGCAGTGCACGTTCAGCTAATGACAAGGATTGGAAGGAAAGAAGCCTATTTGAAAGATTTAGAAGAACAAGTAAGTTTCTTTTGATTACTTTTTAGATAACATGTTATTAATAGAAAACATGACTGCGCTCTAGATTTGGAGGGAGAGAGAGAGACAGAACAATACTCATGAGCCATTGACGACTTAAGAGCATAAATGATTTTTTTTCTCTTTTATATTTTGGTTTGTTCTTCAAAAACCATGTTCTGAATTACTTGAGCTGTGAGCAGGATATCAGGTTCGGATTTCATCATAGGCATCTTTACCTCCTAAGAAAAACTTGGGGTGACAACCATCGGATGTTATATATTATCTGCTCATTTTTTTTCTGCATAATGAAGTGGGTTTATCAGCTTAATTCCATGCCTAAAGTCTCTTAAACAATTAAAAAGATTGCAGGTCTCCAGAATATAATCGAACGTAACCAGCAGTTGCTCAAGAATAATAGTGCTCCTAAAGAGGGATTTACCTTGCCATTTATGGTGGTTCAAGTATGCATGTTTCTATCTTTCTAACTAGTTAAAAGTTATAATGTTCTGTGTTCCCACTTTTTTCTGCTTTGGTCTGTGTGTGTATGTGCATGTGAGACAATTTATTTTCAGGTTTGTTATTAATTTCAGCAGTACTCATTTGCTCTCCCTTTCTCCTATAATCACAGACTAGTCCTCATGCTACTGTTGAGATTGAGATTTCTGAGGACATGCAACTGGTACACATTGACTTCAACAGGCAAGTATACTTCATTTTACCATGGAAAATATATAACGTTTTTTTTTTTTTTTAAATTAATTTTAACCTAAGGAGTGACATCTTTTGTTCTCATTATTTTATCTTACGGCCAGTACACCGTTTCGCCTGCACGATGATGCTTACATTCTGAAGTTAATGCGCTACTACCAACAACATGAAAGTAGAAATATCTCGCAAAGTTCTTCAATCCATTCATCTTCAAGCTCTTACAAAGCATCTGGAGTCAGCAAACCATTTTTCTGGAATTCTGAAACAGACACTCTCAGATGACAGTATATCAGGAAGATGAATAGAATCACTAAAGCCCCTAACAAACACATGTAAAACTAAATCCATGGTACTTGTATATTGTTATTTCAGTTAAAAAAAATATTTATGTGATTATTTTGCATCTCTTATGAGATCTCTCAATATGTTTTTCAACATTGGGCTGAGTGCGAGGCTTGGGGGCTTGTGTTTGGTTTTTTGAGGACCAAGTGGAGGAATTGCTGAAGAATCCGTACAATGGTATACTTTTTTTTCTTTTGAAGTTTATTAAAGTTATTTTTTAACCGCTAGTCTTCTGCTTGTGCTTCTGCTTCTGCTTCTGCTTCTTCATCTTCTTTCTTTTATATTTTACCTACCAAGGAAGACCCCGAAGCAGGACCGAGCTTTACGCTAATGCAAAGTCGCCCACGCTACTGTTTATCGAAGGAGCTGATTCCATTTATTGGCCCATTGGACCCAAAATTTTCCTGAAGATCAATGAAACTTAGCCCGTTTAAGAAAACCTTATTTTGGAGCGCAAAGTATGGCCTTTGTGTCCAATGTTAAAGACTTCGATATCCTAGAAAACATATGGTTAAGCACTCTATTAGGAAATTAAGAATCTGAATAGATTAATGATTTTTAATATATGAATGTAATATTTTATTATAATTATAATTTTATTAAAAAATCAGTTCAGATAGGGGAAAAAAGTTCATTCAGTTAATTTTAATCTTAAAATAAATTTACCACTCATTTGAATTCAAATAATATTTTTAAATTTACTAGTTTTAATCCAAAAATCTAAAAAAATGTAAAAACTATATTAGTACAAGTGGATCTCTCTTCATGTATTTATACATATTAGCAATTAAAAATTTCTTAAGTATTTATCTAAAAAAATCCTTAATTATAAACTAAGTAAACTCAATAAGATCTCACCTTTAATTAATCAAAATTAAACCTTGCTAATTAATTATTAATATAAGCTGGTTTGCACTCTCTCCTTTCCGAACATTTCAAGAGACCAACTTTTTGCATGCAACTAGAGCAAGAGGAGAACCACTAATCCCATTTTTCTAAATTACTGTGAATCGCTGCACCGCATTCTATGATCAGCATAACAAAAAATGGAAAAAAAAAGAAGCTTATAGGTTAAGAAACATCGCCTTCTGTGAACCCTAAAAAGCACAAAACAAAAAGAGTCGAGTGAGAAGGAACAATAACTTAATTATATTTGTATATAATACAAACAAATATACTATATATAAAGGACCGTCCTTTTATTATTTTTTTTGCTTCTCTCTTCATTCCACTGCTCCACTTCTTTTCTTCTCTTTTCCCTTTCTCTCTTTCTCTAGCGCTCTCTCTTTGTTTGATGTGATTCTCCACTATTATCTCACAAATCGCAACAAACCTTTACAAAAGGAAAAGAAAGATCAAGAAACCATGGTGTTTACCTCCATCCCAGCTTATCTTGATCCAGCCAACTGGCAACAAGTAAGGGTTTGTTTTCTTTTTTTCTTTGAATTTGTTCTGAAGGTTTCTTTGCCGAAAAAGCAAAATTTTCAAAAGATAAATATTCCTATTACTTTTGTTATATCTTGTTGAATATACCAGGTATTTGATTTCCTTTTTTTTTTCTTGGTTCTTCTATCTTTACAGCATCCAAATCATCAAGCTGGTTCTAGTAGCAGTGCAAGCTCTCATCAACTTCCTCCTCCTCCTCCTCCACCACCGCCACCTCCACAACCACATGGAGGAGGTGGAGCCGGCTCGATCCGACCAGGTTCAATGGCCGATCGAGCTCGTTTGGCCAACATACCGATGCCAGAAGCAGCATTAAAATGCCCAAGATGTGAATCAACTAACACAAAGTTTTGCTACTTCAACAACTACAGCCTTACACAGCCTCGTCACTTTTGCAAAACTTGTAGAAGGTACTGGACTAGAGGGGGTGCCCTAAGAAATGTTCCAGTTGGAGGTGGATGCCGTAGGAACAAAAGAAGCAAAGGAAGTAGCTCGAAATCTCCCGTTAGTGGTGATCTGCAAACAGCTTCTGGTTCCTCAAGTACAATATCTTCAAACAGTACTGGAAGCACTGATATTTTAGGCCTTGGACCTCAGGTTCCTTCGCTGAGGTTCATGGCTCCTTTGCATCATCTTACTGAATTTGGTGGCAGTTCTGATATTGGGTTGAATTATGGGACAATTTCTGCTCCACTTGGAGGAACAAGTGACTTAAGCTTTCAAATAGGAAGTGCCTTAGCTAGTGGAGCTGGTGCTGCTCCTGGTACTTCTCTTTTGACTATGACTGGTTTGGATCAGTGGCGGCTACAACAAGCGCCGCAATTTCCCTACCTAGGAGGCTTGGAATCTTCTTCCGGCGAGTTGTACCAATTTGAAAGTGCAGGTGTTGAGCCATCGGATTATGGAGGTGGAGCTAGTCATCAGGTCCGACCTAAGATATCAAGCCCAACGGCCACCCAGATGGCTCCAGTGAAAATGGAAGATAATAATCAGCAGGAACTCAATTTGTCAAGGCAATATTTGGGGGTTCCAGGAAATGACCATTACTGGGGTGGAACTGCATGGACAGATCTTTCCAGTTTCAGCTCTTCATCCACTAGCAATCATTTATAAATTTGGTTCTCTCTCTCTCTCTCCCTCTTTCTCTTTCTTGTTTCAAGAACCTGGTGCTGAAGCTTTTTTTCTTTTTTTCAAGTGTAGCTTCAATTAAAGAAAAATTAACTATGATGAAGACAAAGTTACTTACTTTCCAACTTCATATGGCATCATATCAATGATCAAAACCTTACCTTATCCAAGATGGATCATCGAGGACTTGGTTCCTCAAAAATCGACCCAGACCCTAGAATTGCTAGGCTTTTTTTTTTTCTTTCTTTTTTTAGTAGAATTGGTAGATTTTCAATGTATGAGAATGTTTCCACAGTGAATGTATCAGTTTATAGAGCTTTTATCAGGCACTTACTGATGATATATATATGCACTCCGCTAAATATATGATCTGTTTTAAGTCCTATATATCATATTGACAATTTAATGGCTTTTGATGATCTTACAAGGGTAGCAAATCATTGTTACATTACTATAGCTAGTTTATATAGTGGAATTATTAATCATTTGAATTCAACAATTTAATCTAAACCTGGAGTGCATAGAATGCTAAGATCCATTCATTTTGGTTTGGAATTTATAATGACTTCTTCTTCTTTTTTTAATCGTTTCTACCTTTTAAAACTTTCATTTTTTTCTCAAGTTAAAGGGTGGGTTTAGAACTTTAAGAAATCATATTAAAGTATAACTTTAGTTAAATAATCATAAGCCTACCAATATGCAAAGTGCCATTTCGTCCTCTTTACAATGAATTCTTGAACAATAGACCATCGGACGACATTCGCGGAGTTTAGAATTCAAAGCTCTTTTAGTTGATTTGGATAGCATTTCACACTTTATTATATCAGGGTGGAAAAAGATGAAGTATCCTCCTACTCATTTTTCCATAATAATTTCTAACGTTAGCCTCCATATCAAAGAATATTTTAATACTCCCAAGTTAATTTTTAGCACTTATTTTATCAGAGACAAGAACATTCTTAACTCTGATTGTTTCCATTAACAAGCATCCTCCTAGTTGATATCAATATTATCCCGAAAGACGAATCTCTTTAGTCTTTATGAACAAATAGAAACCTTAGAATTCTTCCCATATAGTGTACTATTTTTTGAATGATAAAGTGATACTAATTAATTTAATGCTTCTATATGTATAGTGTACTAAATTTAAACTCGGTTAACAATTAGACTGAAATTAATTAATAATTCATAAAGGTAAAAGAATTCAAATTTTTACAAAATTAATTTATAGGACTAAATCTGCATGTTCACATGAGCATAGAAATCAAATGTAAAATTTGACCCTCTTTCTCTTTTGTGTAGCTATAGTTGACTTCACTTGATTCCTTTAAAGGAAAATTTTGGTTTCGCCCTCACAAAAACCAAGAGAGTACAGTGGGGGAAAGGGAACAAAAGAGCAAAAAAAGTGTTTTCCAGCTTAGCTTGTTTAAGAAAAAATATATGCAAGAAGGCCGGTTTATATTATTCAATACACTTGAAACATGGCCGGATCTGGATTGAATATTTGAGTTTCCTGTTTTTTTCACCCTAAATTTAGGAGACCCTAGACCCAGATTTTCAAGCATTCCATTCCAACTTTCTAAGCAATGAATTATTCACGATGCATGTTCATATATATCTGATTGCTGCCATTATTGCATGGTGAGACAAAGAAGAAAGAGAAAATTCCGTATAAACCTGTTTTGGTAATGATAATACGTTACGTAAAAGAAAAAACTCTCTTGCGGATAATCAGGTCAGACATATGAGACTGCTGCCATTGTTGAAAGGGAACAGATTTTGTCATGATTTGAGAACGTACTTGTTTGTATTGTGATGTGAGAAAAGGGAGGGAGTGAAATGAAATCATAGTCATGAGAAAACCAACATTAATTAATTATAGTAATAATTGTTAGAAAAATAATGTAAGGACAGGAGTCTCAAAAGACTCCAAAATCCCACTCATTTCTATATAACCAAAAATCATCATAGTGTTCATAAATATATAAATATATAAATAAATAAATAGGAAACTGTTGAGAACGTAAAAAGATTGCCAAGGCAGCAGGGTCAAAGAGAGGGGGGAGTTTTAGAAAGCCAGGCAGGGCTACTGGCTTTCGGACAAGAGAATGGAATGTCTGACCCATTTCCTAAGTTTGACGCGCGTGATCGCTTGGTGGTTCACGACTCACTATGAGACAAAGCACTTGTTTGTCAGCATGTGGACCTGACTGCTGATCCTTGGTCTCCGTGATTAGATCTTACAATGCACGCGCTTCATGGCTGCAGCTTTCTTTTTCCTATTACTCTGCTAAAATCCTGATGCTTTGTCTGTTTGTCATGCTCTCTCTTATCATTTGCTCATCTTACTGACACAACACACATTCTTCAGTGCTTTGGTCCAAACACATGGTGGTCTCCGCTTCCCTTATCCCTACCACACTGCTAAATCTGTAAGCTTAAACTTCAAGCTTCAAATCTGACCAAAAACTAAAAATCAATCAAAGGAATCTAAGTTACATAATATAATTTTTCTGATTCCTTGTTCTATTTAAACACCTAAATTTGAGTTTGAAAAATAAATTTTTCTTTAAGAGAAATTGGTGTTAGCATATTTTATATCGCATTAATATTTGCAATTGTCATATAACCGGTAAATTTGGCTTGATGTTTGCAGAAAGCTGGACAAAATATTCAGCAATATGGGGCTAAATGTACAATTGTGTATAAAACATAACAGGTGCAATCACCAAAATAAATAAATTTGAAAACGAAATTCATGATTAGAAATCACGGGTGTTGGTCCAATGCATAAATAAACCAATATATAGTATTAATTTTTTTAAAAAATAAATTCCAACTGTGTATCATCTCAGTTTCTTAATTGCAAACTTCCCTCGATCATCTAACCACAAGCATCAAAATGACAATAATACTGCTATTAATATAATGTTATTATAATCAAGCCTATTACTATATGTATTTATATTCCAACTGGAATTGGGTCATGTTGAAAGAAAGGAATCTGAGAGAGAGTGTTTGTGTTTGCTTTTGCAAGAACCAAGGCTGCTTACTAAGAACGAATAAAGCACATTCAACACCGTCAAAGGAAAAGCCCCTCTCACTCTCTCTCTCACAGACACACAATACAATTAGTCACAGAGAGAGAAAGTAGATAACAATGTTACAGTTTGGTCGGTCGGTGGGTTAGTCATCATCCTCGTTATCTCAGTAATCAAAGAATAGAAATTTGCAATGATCCCGAAATTGTCGATGTTGAAAATAACGTTAAGCCAATGTAACAAAAAGAAGGAAAAAGAGAAGAAAAGTAGTAGAAGAAGAAGAGTTGGCAACCCCAAAGACAGGGCCGAAGGGATTTAAAAGGCTCGGAAATTCAAGGAAAATCAAATCTAAACACTGTATCCAATGAGTTCCATGTTTGATGGGGGCACATGGATTTGTGTGCAGTAGAGCAATAGCTGCAGCCTTCACTTTGGTAACGTCTTTGCTTTGTTACTACAATATACCCTAACCCTAGATCTGATCAGATCAGATCCCTCTCTATCTCTTTCTTCGTTGAAAATTAAGACTAATACATGAAAAATTATTAAACGGCAGTTGGTGATGAAAGAAAGCGAGAGACTGAGATTCCAACTTCTTCTTCTTAGTCTGAGTCCTTCACGTTCTCCCACAAGTGCTCTCAATCATACACATGTCCCATGAATTTTAGATTCCCCAGCCCCTGTCAGTCAATCACTTCTCTCTCTTACCCTTCAAATATTGCCTACTCTACTCTCTAACGACCCCACCTAAATGACCCGGATTCAGGCTTTGCTGTGCTCTAGTTTCCTTAACAAGGGAAATAAAAACCACTGTAACATTTGTCAAAAAATAAAATAAAATTGAAGCTGAGGGAAATTAAACAAATACCAATATATAAATATTTACCAGATGAATTTTAAAGAAAAGAGGATGTGATATGATAATTGTTTCATAAAGGTGAAATGGTGTCATTTCCTTTTTTGCCTGAGCCATATTCCTTAAGCAGGTAAAAAAAAAAAAAACAAGTATAAGCAAGCAGAAATATCCTTGTACTCGATTTAAAAACAATGTCGTTAAGGGAACCTTTTGTTGCTGTCTCCATCATGGAAATGGGGATTTTTTTTTGCCTTTGCCTAGAAGGACCTTGGGTATCTTAATTTGATCTCAATTCCTCCATTTTTGTGGCTCGCTTTGGAGGTTTTTGAACCCCCCCCCCCTCCCCCTATTGAATAAACCAATTAAATCGGCTGATAGATTCCTTTTTAGGTTGAGTAGCATCCTAAGATGTCACTTTTTAGCTGTCCAAAGGAAAACATGGGGGTGGCCACTAAAATTTAATTAGCCAACATGCATCATTATTAGCTTAAGTTGTTTAGCCTTTGATGGATGCCAAATCTAGGTGGCATTCCGTGCATCAATTTATTTTTATATATGATTGAATTTTTTTAAAGATGAATTATTAGGGCTTAGTTCTTAAGAAATCATGTACATGACATGATTTTTTTTGTTTGATTGATAATTTATGACTCACTAATGCACATGCATAAACTTATCTTGTTGGGTTATTTAAATTAATTATATACTTATTAATGAAGAATTAGTGCATGTGGAATGTCTTACCAACTTAGGTACATGATTCTTATTATTGCACTATACCATTAAATCATATGTCACAAATCAAGCTTAATATTCAATCTTCAATTCTCTTAGTTATGCTTTGGCCAAAAAAAATCTTAGTTATGCCTCACTTATTTTAGGCCACATTCCACGAAACAACGTTGCATATTAATATAAGTAGAAAATTTATTAATTATATAATCTATTCTACTTTTCAGAAAGGAAAACGAAAGAAAAAAAATAGAAAATTTGTGGCAATATTTTTTATACATTATTAAAACATCTTATATATTCCGAGCATAAAACCCTATATAAATAGATAACTAAAGGGAAAATGGGATTTTTTTTTTCAAATGAAAAGAGAAAAATACATGTGTTTTTATTTCAAGAATATTAATATGCTTTTAATCGTTTGTGGCAAAGTGGGTGTTGTCTTGTTCTTCATGCAAAGCAGAATTTTGTTGATCGCATTAACGTATTTTAATGTCTCATGAAACATATTTTAAAAAACATTCTCCATCGTTTGTCTTTACACTGTCTTCTGATTTTTCAAATGGAATGAGTCATACAAAAAATTAGTTCTACAGATTTGAATGGAAAATAACATGGAAGCTTGCGTGAGGAAACACTCAATTTGATTATGATTGTTTGGTTTGTTTGTATGTTCATGTCCCCCAGATTTTTTTTTTTCTAAAAATTTCTTTTACTTCTTATATAAATAGAGCCCACATACCAGATTGGCGGGGGAAACACAGATTGTTGTCTGAACCATCATTATCAGGACTCAATGGAACAAATAAATTATAAATTAATTTCGTTAAGTATTTGAAATTTAACTTAGTTGGTTCATAAAATTAATTTTACATTTCAAGTCCGGGTCCATATCCTAACAATTAGACCATAATCTCTAATCATTTTGTTCAAGGCCCCCTTACCTTCATTATATTCTTGGGCGCAAGCTTCGCACTATGACAGTAGCATCAAAGATCTATGTCATTACTAATGTTCAGCCTTTCATACAGTGTATATTTGATAGTTTGGTGTCAAATCTGACCATTGAAATGGAAGACCAGTATGTATATTCTAGTCCTTTTAGAATTAGACAGTAGACAAACACATGAAATCTCTTCCAGCTCACTTTGAATCTGCCCATTCAACAACCTTAAAATTTTATTTTTGTTGCCTGGCTACAAGACAGGAAGGAAAATTGTCAAGACTCAAGAGTCAAGATCAGGAACGGGGCAGTTGATCTTACAATTTCATCACCAATTTTATACAATACCAGTAATCATCTCAATAATTTCCTCCCTTTTTCTTCCTTTTCCCAACATGAAAATTTATCCATGCTATAATATTATTAATTATTAAACGCACAGTTGATGATGGCCGGAAAAAAAAATAATACGCACAGGTGTCCGGCCAAGCTGTGTTGCCTGTGGGTCTGAAGGGAACTGGGCATCCAAGAACTCAGGCCCAGCCATGCTGACGAATTGGAATTTCTCTTCCAGAGGGTTGTCTTGGCTGTGAAGTAAGCACTTCAGAAGTTGTAAGCATTACGGAATATAAACAAAGAAAAAAAAGTTGTAACAACATGATTTTTACCAAATTAATCCAGCTTGATACAACGTAGGAATTTTCATGTATCATTTCAGCCACAAATTCTCCAGACTCTTTACAGGCCAAATATATGTATATCTCTTTTCTAACTGATGTTGATTAGCACTACACTGAAATATAATTGCACCAACTTTTTTTATTAGTAGTTTGTTTTTTTGCTTTTTGTTCAGTTTTGTCTCACTGCTAATTGTTTGATGGGATGCATCTTCCTTTTTCCAGCCACTAATATGGGAGAAACCTCAAAGTTGGCTTATGTTTTTGTCAGATTTTGTTTGAAAAATACCTTTGAATATCCCGAAAGGTTGAAATTTGATGCCCTCTTATCCATTTGGAAGGCACATTCAAATGACAATTTCAATACTCTTGATTACACATTCATCATCAAACAGTTGCGTCTGATTTCCAGTGCAAATTTCTTTTCTGTCCTAATGCAAGAATTAGTTTTCTTTCTTCAGTATCATATTATACATGCAAGGGTCACCAAGCATGTTTAAAATTTCTGCTATTTGATTATTTTGATGCCAGTGAGTTCTGAAGTTTGTGCAACATCTATCGAGCCCATGTCTCTTTCGGTTATCAATTGAAGATTGCAAATGGAAGTCCAAGTGATAAAAATGATTTTCCCTCTCTCCATCTTTTTTTTTCTAGGCCCAAAGGGAATGTAAAGTAATTTTCAATTGGTCCAAGACGTTGAGTACAAAAACTGTCAAAAAATCATGGGCCAAAACAAACCCAAGCCTAGTTTTGTCTCTTACTGCACACACACAAACATATATATATATATATATATATATTCAATCACTACTGTTTTTTAATTATTCTAATTTGGAAATGCCATATGAAAATTTTTTAGTAGGATTATTATTATTTGATTTTTTTAATATTATAACTTTGATATTAATTGTCTTTCAAATGAAAATTATGATTGTTAACAAAATTTGAGGAGATTAATATTAATAATGCATAAAAAATTAAAAATTTTTAAAAATATTTAATTATTTTAATAAAAATAATTGCTGTCACAATAAATATAGAACATAAAATTCGCACAGATGCCTAACCAAGCTAAACCTCACCAATTTCGTTTCCTTTATGGAATAGGAAACACCTAAACCGCCTTTAGGCATCTATTAAAAAACAACTTGGGATCACAATTTTTCTTCACAAAACTTTTCCAAAGCGTTCTCTAATTCTTCTTCTTTTTCTTTTTTTCTCGAGTGCAAGAATGGAGGTGTTTCGTAAAGGAGATGAAGTTGAAGTACGCAGCAAGGAAGAAGGGTTCTTGGGCTCATACTACGAAGCTACGGTGATATCGCAACTGAACGGCAATACTCGTTACAAGGTGCAATACAAGAACCTGGTGGAAGAAGAAGATCAAACTCGGCCTTTGGTTGAGATAGTTTCCGCTGACGAGGTCCGACCAATGCCACCAAGAACCGTAGGGGAAGCCACTCGGATTTTCTATTATCTCGATAAGGTTGATGCTTTCGACAATGATGGTTGGTGGGTTGGGAATATTAGTGGGAAACAAGGGTCAAAGTATTGGGTCTATTTTGATACCACCCAGGATGAGATTGCGTACCCTGTTTCTCAGTTGAGAAATCATCTGGAATGGAGCAATGGCAAGTGGGTTTCTTCCAAGTAAAGGTTCTTTTGATCACTTTTTTTTTTTCATTTTCTTTTCAAGGGGATTTCTAGTTATTGCTTCAATCTGATTCTTTTTTTTTCTTAGTTCTTTTTTATTTCAATGAGTTATTTGCAAACAATGTTTTGCTTATGGATTAATCTAAGTTTGATGGAACAGTGCTGTTGTTTGCCAAATTTCTTGGTTCTTAGTTCTTACATCTTCCCTCACGTCTGATTTCTTTTTATTTTTTTTATATTCAAAAGATATTCTTGTTCAAAAGATATTCTTGTTTACTTGTTAATAATCAATGTATAAACAAAGAAAAATTCCTAAAGGACATTGACACATAAAAACATATAGAAAAAGTACAGTAGGAATCAATCTTTTAAGTGAAAGAAAGCATCTTAAAACAAGTTTTTAAGTGATTTACGCATGGACAAAACCTTTTTTAAAAAGATAAAAAAAAAATCTGTAGTTTTTGAATTTGGAAAGTTTGAAAGCAAAAAAAACTTTGAACAAAATCAAAATATGTTTTATTGCTTAAAATCATGAGAATTTTGTTTATAGAAACCCAGTAAAAGTTAATGCGATTTTTCAGGAATAAATGTACTTTTCTAAATATTAAATTTGAGTAGGGTAGGTAAAGTACAAGCTTTTTTTACTAAAAAATAAAAACCAATTCATAAAATTAAAAATATTAAATTTGAAGATCAAATTAAAAGGGAAAAAAAAAGAAAGAAAGAAACAATTATGATCTCTAGCTTTGACAAGTGATCTTCGGTTATGGACGGGAACAAAAGTGTTTAACACCATTAGGACAATGTACCATAATAAAATTCTAATTCCAGCAAAGATCAAAGAACAATACATAAAAAGAATCTTAAATTGTTCGAAATGTAATTTGATAATTGCCCGAAATCTCGGACCAAACAAAAAGGCATCAGCTCCACAATGTCAAGTTAGTTGTACAAATAGATAGATAAACCAGTTCACTTTCAGAAACTCTCGGTCATTGCTACCATTATCACCGTCACCATCTAACAACACCACAACTTGGAGGTGGTGCGTGAGGCTGTCTCCGCTGGGACAGTTCTCCATTTGTAAACAAGTAACAGATAAGGTGGACAGGAAGTGATGGGTCGAATTAAAGGTTAGTTAAGGAGAAAAACATGAGACTGCTTTGCTTAGTGCTGTTCAGACAGGTGACCTGGAGATGGTGCAGGCAATGGTTGAGGCAGACCCAAGTGTCACGGACCTAAGGGGAGTCCTGAATCCCACATCGAACATAATAGGAGGGTCACTGGGGTATAAAAAGGTTCACACCATCTCCGCCTTGTGAGGCGCCTTTTGTAGGACAAAACCGTGAGGCAAGGGAGGCCAGAGCGGACAATACCTCACAAGGGTGTGAACCGTGGCGGTCAGGCTGATCCGGGACGCCGGAAGGGTGAATGCCCGGGTCCCGGAGCCGCGCGGGTTCGGAGCTTAAGTCTCGACCCGTGACAAGTGGTATCAGAGCCAGCCCTAAACCGTTCGATCCACGCCGAGCACCTCGAGGGAGGTAGGCAGGGTGGCCGGCCTCCGTGACGAGGGCGTCACGAGGTTGGGTGCGGGAGAATGTCACGGACCTAAGGGGGAGTCCTGAATCCCACATCGAACATAATAGGAGGGTCACTGGGGTATAAAAGGGTTCACACCATCTCCGCCTTGTGAGGCGCCTTTTGTAGGACAAAACCGTGAGGCCAGGGAGGCCAGAGCGGACAATACCTCACAAGGGTGTGAACCGTGGCGGTCAGGCTGATCCGGGACGCCGGAAGGGTGAATGCCCGGGTCCCGGAGCCGCGCGGGTTCGGAGCTTAAGTCTCGACCCGTGACAAGTGGTATCAGAGCCAGCCCTAAACCGTTCGATCCACGCCGAGCGCCTCGAGGGAGGTAGGCAGGGTGGCCGGCCTCCGTGACGAGGGCGTCACGAGGTTGGGTGCGGGAGAATGTCATGGACCCAAGGGAGAGTCCTGAATCCCACATCGAACATAATAGGAAGGTCACTGGGGTATAAAAGGGTTCACACCATCTCTTGTGAGGGCCTTTTTAAAAAAAACCTTGAGCAGAGTGGCCGAGCGGTCAATTCCTCACAATTTGAAGGGAGCATGATTGGACGCCAAGTTGAATGGGTCGAGAGGTGCGGGTTCGGAGTTTCTTCTAAAATGTATCAAGCTTAATTGTACCACGCGATCGTGAGGTAACAGTTTCCTAGTCTTTTTGAATGCATTGCCCAAGAAGTCCTAATTCTAATGCAGAGCATAAATACCAGTAGTAACATGGGATCAATATAAACTGGTGTTATGAGTTTTGTATCATTCATGCTTAGGGCTAGACATTATTGCGGTTACTATCTATACAAGGTGTCTTTCTTACTTGTTTCGGTTTTTTCTGGGACAAGAATGTTCTGCAATTATTGTTTTGGTGGATCATTGTTAGATTGGGCAGTCATATAGATCGGTTCACAATATCTATCTTAGACAGGCCATTTGGAAACAGAAATCCTTTTTTTTTGCTTTTTATTCCTATTGGTGAAACTGTTGATTTCTATCTCATGATCTGTTTGCTTCTGTGATTGGTATAGAATTGATATTCATCAACGGTGATAAGAACTGATTGTATTCAAGAAAAGTTATGTGAGCATATGAGAATATCATATGCAAGTTTTCACATTCTTTTTGATCTGACCAATTTACTACTTTGACTGTTAACAAGAATTGATCATGGTAATGTTTATAATAATTAATCAGGTATTAATAATATCTATATTTTTTTACAAATATATTGAAACTCATATTACATATTTTATTTATACGTTTCGAAATTTCCTATATATCTTAAAACACTAACAAATTTTGTGAATGCTTATGTAAGGGAGTTTTAGTTCAAATACTGAAAATGAGTAGAGTAAGACCTGGGGATGTAATTTTTTTTTCTTTTTTCAATTTGTGGACGTCAAATCGAGATTGAGAATAAATCTTAAAAAGAGAACATAATGAATGCTTCATTGAAGTCCACATTGAATGATTTGTCCACACAAACATGAAAGCAATAAAGGAACTCCGTACCCAGTGCCATTTTCCAATAGTTCTCTGCCAGATTTCATGCCATCTTCTGCATTCAATGCAGCATTAGAACGAGAAGCAATGTGGTCACCGACAAAGAGTGAATTCGATACTGGTGAGAAATCACTAGGTCCACAGGCAGCAGGGGTTTGATTCCTTCTGTAAATGTTGGCGGCTCTCCTTTCTACTTCAAGGAAGTGACCAAGGGACTGAGCGTTTTTACTGTCCACAGCATCAGTGCTTAGTTTTGAACATAATGAGAACAGCCAAGGTCTAGACGTATTCCGCTGGTTTCTCGAGGTTTCTGTGGTTCTTCTCCTGGTTGATCTCCTTGAATGCTCTAGAAAGCTAGAAATTCCTATGAGGCTTCCGAGCGTGATGCTCTTGTCATGGAAGAAAGAGCCAGTGGACTGAAATCATTTACAAGAAAAAAATTGTCAAAAAAAAAAGAAGAAAGAAAAGAAAACATGGTAAATCAATTAAAGTTGTTATATACATGTGTGAACTCAAATTAGAGTAGTGAAATTTAGCCTTTTTCATTTTTTTTTCTTCCAAACTCTATTAAGAGTTGCAGATTGTCCCCTTTTTAAAAAAGGTCAAGCAAAGATGGGAACTAGGAGTCCAGATTAAAGTATGCGGGAATAATTGCTGAGGCTTGGAAGTGACAATTTAATGATCTGTTAGACCACGCTCTCTGGGACCCCAAAGTCACCTTAGCTAGGGATCTGAGAGCACGTGGGCATCTTTCTTTTTGTATTCATCTTGTTAAACATATTGAGTACCTGAAGAAGCAGACTAATAATAATTTTTATATAAAGAGAGAGATTTAGCCTTTGCTGGAGCAATTGAAGAACATAATGCAGTCAAAACACCATCATAATAAGACCATGTGAAAAGGGAGTAAAGCTATTGCTTCAAGCTTTGCTTTTTATTGAATACTGCACGAGAGTGAAACTGAAAACCCATTACAGTAATATACGGAAAGAAGACGTGAACATTTATAGAAACGGTGCTCTGCAGTCTGGCTTAATGTAGTTTTCAGGATTCAGGAATCCAACAAACAAGGAAAAATGTGGTCACTGTAGTTACAGTTAGAACTTCAGTTTAATCACGTACAGGCTGTCTTGTTGATTGTTTTTGTACATTTACATGGAAAAGGAAACATCAGGCATTTGTTCGTTTGATCATAATGTTTCTTAAACCAGTTGGATACAAGTTAGTGGCTTTACTTCTGCCAAATACTAAAGATAAGGAAAATCAAAAGACTGACCTGTGTATCGAGATCTGAAGACGAAATGCTAGAGGAACTGGGAGAAGCAGTAAGCAAAGTACTGAATGAAACAGAACCAGAGAAATCAGGATCTCTAGCCAACCCAATTCGTGCATTCAATGGTTGAAGGCCTAGAGGCCACCCTTCTTCCTGCATCCAAAAAATGTTTCATTTATCGTGCAAATCAGAAGAAAGAACCATCAGTTTGTAAGAGAGAGACGAGTAGTACCCGTTGTGCCATGAGGTTTCAGTCCAATTACACTGGAAAACTGCAAAGATTGATACATGTACTAAGAGAAGTCACCTCAGATAGAGAATTAGATGTGATTTCCACCATCAAGCTCCATTATGAAAAGAAAAGAAAGAGCTGCAATACTAAAAATAAGAGATACCACCAGGAACTTAACAAAAGGGGTTGAAAAGAATGGAAGCTTATATAAAAATGGTGAGGATTAAAGAACCAGGTAAAGTTTGCTTCTCTAATCCAAGCCAAAGAGCAATTTTCCACTTCAAACTGAAAATTAAATGACAATTGAGAGAGAGAAAGAAAGCGACGAGTGACCTTTTTCACTTGGACATCACCCCTGTTGAGGAGACAGAAGGGAGGAGGAAGGAGAGGAAGTGGAATCAATTTTGTCCCGGGGCGAGAGAAAAGGAGAACATGGCACTGCAAAGCGGGGCCAGGCTCCTGGCTCCATAAAAGCAGGCAGCACCTTCCTCTATGACCAAAATAACCCCCTATTCCATTTTCAGTTTTTTTTTTTTTTTAAAGATCCCATATTTTGCAAATTCCCAATTTGCCAAACTTCTATTAAGGCAGTGTCATACAAGAGAGGATGAAAGGATTTGGGAATTGCCCAGCCAATGCGGTAATTTGAACCAACAACCTAGAATTTTCATCTTCAGAGGACTGATAATTGGCCCGGAATCCGAATAATTGGATCCTGAAAGGAATCATTTATTACTGATTGATATCAAAATTAAACGGTCCTTTTATCTTCAATTTGTGAACACATTCCTTTGGGACCCTGAAGCCATTTCTGCAAAAGGATAGCACGCCGGTTGTCATGACTGGTAACTTTTATTTTACTATAGGGGGAGAGAAGCAAAAGAAACTGTTAAAAAAAGAGCTGAAAATGGAAAAGGAAATGGTTCTGCTTTGGTGTACGTAAACTGTTTAGTCCTGCATTTCGAGGGGTTTACCTTGTACGTTTTGGTCCACACACAATCGATCATCAAAGCAGAGATACTGCAGTCGGTAAATTCGAATAACAGCAGCTCATTTTTTGGCCAGTTGTCAGCAATAGATTTGCTTCTGAGCGAGTAAAAGCAAACCACGAAAAAACAGAGCAGCCAAAGCAATGGCCATTTGTCAGAAACTAACACGACCATGGAGCGGAAACAGTGAATGGCTATATTTATCGCCGAAATTGGGGGATATATGTGTTACGTGTGAAGTAATAAATATAATAATGTAGAAGTAATATATAGTATATATTAATAGTAATAGATAATAATTAATAATATAAAAAAATTAAAGTATATCAAAATTTAATTAGAAAATTTTTAATATAGAGAGAAAATCATAAATTATTAAAAAAATTTATATTATTAAATAATGTATATACAAAATTCATCTGTAACTAAAATTGAAGTTAATAAATAATTAAAGAAATAATTAAAAAAATCACATCAAATAGGTGACTTAACAAATACACCATAGATTGGTTCTTATAGAGCTTCAAATTCAATTTTCACCGTTTATAATGTAAAACTTTGAATCATAAATTTATTGATAAAATGTCAGCTCAATCGAACTATGGATCGACTTCCGTTCAACTAACCCTCCTTTTTTTTTTTCTATATTTTTTGGCTTTCTTTTTCCCTTGGTTTCGGTGCCACCCTCTGTTTCTCACCAAAAAATGCAACTCCCATTTTCTTTTATTACCTAAGGCTCTTTTAGGATAACCTAAAACACACAATGGTTAAAACCAATTATATGGAGCTAGACCCCACATATTCTTAACAATTTTACCCTCTAGCCCTATTAGGAGGAGATTCATTACCATAGCAGTTTCATTTTAAACTTACCTTAGCCAAGAAATCTATTTGAGCCAAATTACTGCAGAGCTCAAGCTTTTCCTTAAGAAGTGTCTTAGTCAATATATCTGTTATATTCTCACAGTATAGACTTTCTGTAATAGCTTTTGTTATTTCTCAGTCACAAATGTAATCAATAATATTTAACATTAATATGTTTTATTCTAGCATGGTATATGATATTTTTACTTAAATATAAAACATTCTAGCTATTATAAAACACCACACTCTTTTTAACCCAAATTCAAGAAGAAAATATTTGATCCTAAATATTTCTTTATCTACTTTGGATGCTGCAATATACTCAGCCTCTGTAGTTAATAAAACAACACATTTTTACAACTTAGACTGTAAAAACATAACTCTTTTTGCAAAAGTGAACAAATATCAAAAAATAGATTTTCTACTATCAAGATCACTTGCAATGTTAGCATCAGTAAATCATTCTAAAACTGGTTATGAAACTCCATAATTCAAGCACATTTTTTGGTGCCTTTCAAATATATGAAAATCTATTTCACTATTTTTCAATAAACCTTTTCTAGATTAGAAAGAAATATGCTCACTACACCAATTGCATGAGCAATGTTATGTCGTGTATAAACCATAAGATACATTAAATAATCGATTGTAGAAGAATAAGAAAAACTAAAATAGTTAATTGCTCTTTCTTAGTTATCGGACAAGATTTTTTACTCAGATGAAAATGGTCAGTAACTTAACTACTAACCGATTTAGCATGTTGCATGTTGAATCTACTAAGTATCCATTCAACATATTTTTCTTGTGATAACCATAACTTTCTAGCTCTTTTATCTCAAATAATATCCATACCGATAATCTATTTTGTTGGACCTAAACCCTTCATATGAAAGACTTTCAATTGTTCTTTCAACCTATAAACTATACCAACATCTTATCTCACAATCAACATATTATTAACATATAATAAGAGAATAATAAAGTTACCATAAAATTTTTTTTTGACATACCCATAAAGATCTGTTACTATTTTTTTATAGTTGTGGCCCACTATAAAAGAATCAAACTTTTTATACCATTATCGTAAATCTTATTTTAAGCTATACAAGCTTTTCTTTAATTTGTAAACTGAGTGCTCTTTCTCTTTCACTTCAAAACCCTCAGGTTGAACTATATAGATGTCTTTTTGCAAGTCACCATACAAGAATACAATTTTAACATCAAGTTACTCAAGCTCAATATTCAAACTAGCTACTAATCTTGGTACCACTCGAATGGAACTCATCTTCACAACTAGAGAAAAGATCTCATCAAAATCGATACTCGATTTTTGAGAAAAATCTTTCATCACCAATCGAGCTTTGTACATTACTAGTTTGTCATTTTCCTTTTTCAGCTAAACACCAATTTATTTTTGAACGACTTCTTCCCTTTTAAAAGTTTAACAAGATCATATATTTTATTTTTTTGTAATGACTCTATCTCTTTTTTCATTGCTTTTAACCAGTACTCTCTATCCAAAGTAGTATGTACATTTTAAAAGCTCTTTAGCTTCTTCTTACTGGTAACTAAAATAAAATATAAACTTAAAAATCTGATAGATTGCCTATGCTCTCTAATAGATCTCTTAGGCTGAGACTTTACACTATCTAATGTCGAAGGTAGCTCTTTCTGCTCAATACTTTTCTAGTGGAAAAGACTATTCATCATGCTCAATACTCTCAAGTAGAGAAGATTATTCCTGTTACTCAAAATTGTTTGTATCTGGCTTATCACTAACTGTAGCTGGCTCATTCATATCTTCAAATTTTGTTTTTTGCTCATGTCCACCATTTGTGACTCTTTCCTATGAAACTTCTATCAGTGTTAAAAAATCACACATAATAATAACTCGTATAGTCTTCTCATTTTTTTCAAGGTCTGTTATGATTTTTTTTCATGAAAAATCACATCTCTACTTCTAACTATCCTTTTTTTCATTGGTTGTCATACCCTGTACCTAAATTCTTCATCACCATATCTTACAAACACTCATTGTGTGGTTTTACTATCAAGTTTTGATCTCTGCTCTTTTGGTATATGCATAAATACTTTACACCCAAAAATTTTTAAATGAGAGTATGAATCATCTTTCTCTGTCCATGTTCTTTCTAAAATGTCAAAACTTAAAGGAACTGATGGTGATTTGTTAAATAAATAACAAGTTGTGTTGACTGTTTCACCCCAGAATGGCTTTGGTAATATTGTCATCCTCAACATACATATGACTTTTTTCACAATTGTACGATTCATCCTTTCAGCTATACCATTATGCTGTGGTGTTTTAAGTTTTATCATCTCATGCCTGATTTCATACTTTAAACAGTATTCTTCAAAGTCTTTAAATGTGTATTCTCCACCATTATCAGTTTGAATACATTTCACAGGTAGCCCCATCATACTTGTCACCATGGCATAGAATTTTTAAAAATACTATGATATCTAGCTTTTATTTTTTAACATATATACTCAAGTTTTATATGAAACAACATCATTAAAGTAACAAAATACCTGTTACCATCCAATGATTCAACTTCAATAGGACCACATACGTCAAAATGAATCAATTCTAATTTATTTTCTTTTCCCTAAGAACTCTTATGAAAAGAAACTCTACAATGCTTATCAAATAAACAATGATCACATGAATCGAAAGACATACCTTTGATCAAAAAAATAGAAACTACTTTGCCAAACCCTGTAACCTCTTCTCACTCATGTGTGTCAGTCTCTTGTACCATAAGTTTGTTGCTGTACAATTGCATCCATATTTTATATATTGTGCAGCATAATTTTTCTCTTGCAACTATTATAGATCTTTTGAGAATCTTTCACTGCTTATTCTTTTGTCGACTCTCATTTTTTTCTTTATCAAGGATATTAATAGCAAGTAAGTTTATTCTCATATCTGAAATGTGTCTAACATCCTTTAAAGTCAACATATAGCCTGTACTAGTTTGTACAATAATATCATCAATCCTAATAATCTGTGACACGTTTTTATTTTCTATTTTGGTGCAACCAAAGTCTCTTGCTTTGTAAGTTATAAACAACTCCTTCTTATGAACATAATGATATGTCGCTCTTATGTTAACTATCCACTAAATACTGAGATCACCAACATGATTACAATAATTATGTGTATAAATTAAAGTAACTGAATCACTATATGAATTCATTGCTGCAAGATTGCCATCATCTGAACTTTTTTTTTTCATCTTTTCGCTCTTGCTTCAAGATTTTGCAGTATCATTTTACATGACCTGCTTTACCACTATAAAAATATTTCACTTTATCTCTAGATTGGGATCTAGTTTAGATTTACTTCGATTTTTTGAGTTATACCTTTCCATCGATATTTTTACCCATGTTCTTTATGACCAGAGCTTGATTTTCAGGGTCTCAATCTTTTTATTTTGTTTCTTCATTAATCATATTGTCATTTATTATCTCCAATGTCAATTAGAAGCTAAATTAAGAATAGTCACAACTAGAGAATTCTAACAGTCTGATAATAAACCCAAAAGAAATAACGCCTTCATTTCATCATCCATCTTAAGCTTTATAGTAGTAATCCAATTAAATATATCTTAAAAATTACACAAGTGCTTTGTAATCGATCATTTATCATTGACTGTAACGTTATAAGCTTTTTAATAAGCATAACTTTATTCATACCTATTTTTCTCTCATACAATACTGTCAATTTTTCTCAAATAGTGTGACATCTATCTCCCACTCTACATGATAAAATATGATGATATCAACCCATTTTTTTATTGTCGTCAATGTTTTTTTGCCTAATTTTTTTTAGCTTTCATCTTTTGTATTTGGTAGTTTAATTAAATCACCTAATACTGGCTTATATAAATCTTTACAGTATAAATGAACTTTCATCATAGGCTTTCAAATTAAATAATTTGATGCTGCTAATTTTATTATAGAACTTGTATCACTCTTCATGATCTCAAATAGAATTTATTTATGTCCTGGGTTTCTTCTGTATCAATGTCTCAAAATAATTCTCACTTTGATATCACTTGTTCGACATAAAAAAATAAACACAATAACACAAAAGTAATATATCACAATAAATCCATAGCAATAGACAACAATCAATAATCAATAATATATGAAAAATAAAACACACTAAGATTTATGTGAAAACCCCTTTAGTTTAGAGCAAAAAAATCACAGACCACAAAAAAAAATCCACTATCAAATAATGGATATACAAAGTTCACCTATAGCTAAAACTAGAGCTAATCAACAATTAAAGAGACAATTAAAAAAATCTCACTAAATAAGTGACTTAACAAATACATCATGAATTTATTTTTAAAAAGCTTCAAACATAATCTTCATCGTTTAGAATGTAAAACTCTGAACATAAATTTGTTGATAAAATTTCAGCTCAATCGAATCATGAATTGACTCATTTCTCTTTTTACTTTATATTTTTCTGACTTTCTTTTTCCCTCGGTTTTGGCACCACCCTCACTTTCTCAAAAAAAAAATGCAACTTTTTTTTTTTATTACTTAGAACTCTCGTAGGGTAGCCTAAAACACACAAAGCTCATGAGCTTTGAATGATCAAAACCAATTATATAGAGCTAGACCCAGGTATTCCTAACAATATCCCTAATTCATAGCAGGTCCTACGAATATATTAACAAAGATCTCAACTTTTAAGCAGAAAAAGTAGGCGACACATGAAGATCAAAGATTCACAATAAGACAGTTGCTGTGCAAATAAATCATGATTGATATGAAAAACAAAACTTTTAGATTATGGTTTCCTAAGATTGATACACTGAAGATTTCTAACTCAGATTCCTACGATTGGTAAATAACCTGAAGATTTCTAACCCGAACTAAGTAAACACTTGAACTTTACATGAATTTTAATAAAACTGAAGTTTCCAGGTAAAACAAACAGCTGGTCCAATCTTGGAGCAGCATTAAATAGTTATGAGACTAAGCCAAAGTTAAAATGTCGCAATGAAACCTGCAAATGTGAGTGTAGTCAATAGAAACACTTACCTGACATGCTTTATTTTTAGCTCTAGTTTCTGCCGTACTAAGAATATCATGGTTTGGTTTCCAGGGATATCATGGTTTGGTTTTAGAAATCTCTTCTCCCCATCCATCCGAGAACCTCCCACCCTAATAATGAATAAAAGAAAAAAAATGCAAAAACAGTAACCACTCACCATTAAATAAGTACTGTAATTTTCAATTCATCAAACGGGAAATTCGAAGGAATCAAAGCCGCTTTGGATAGATAGCTGTATTGATTATTAATATACGAATGAGTCTGAAAATAAAAAAAAAAGCTTAAACTTTACAAAATTAAAAATAATAATAATAAAAATAAAAACCACTCTTGCAGTTTAATTCACTGCAGGCAGCTGAATTCCCTGTCATGAAATTCTATACCACTTCCGGTTGTTTAATTCATATTCTAAAGACAAAAGCTTTATTGGGGTGAAAGGAAGAAAAAGGAACCAACAAAAAAATTGTTTCTGGATGCTTCCATCTAAGATATACGTCTTAG